ATACCATTCGAATGCAACATCAAGCAGACATACGACCACTGGGTGCAATCCACAACCACCTTGTTTGTCAATTCAAAATGACAAGGGAATCACAAGGAAGAACACCGAAAATGCATTACTCGTGAGATGTCGTCTCACACAGAGTCCAAACAAGAAACACACCGTTGCAAACAAACACTTATCTGAATATCGGTGAGATGCAAATGGCATGATGATCATCAATTAATATGTGGAATCATGGATAGATAGACCATGGAAACTCCTAACCGACAGGACATGCATGCAATGGGAGGTGCGACAATAGCCAATTCTCGTAAAATATTATCCAGAAATGTCACCAGTAAGTTCAAGAACAACCGAAGCGGAACAACTAGCCATGCCACTAAGCCTACGACTGTGCCACGAATGTATGCACAGAGCAGTAACTCGCCTCAGAAGTAGTCAACTTCTCCTCCTTCTCCTGCACAATGCGTTCCTCCATCTTCACAGTCACCGTCTCCTTCGATTCCACGATCTGCTTCACACCGACGGTCGCCTGCTCCACCTGTATTGCGGACTCCTCCGTCACTCCAACCATGCTCTTCACATCCGTCACCTCCGCCTCTCCTTCACTCACAACGGAAACAGGAACTGTCTCCTCTTCCACAGGTACCTCCTCCACATCAACCTCATGCACAGGAGCCTCCTCTGCCTTCTCCACCTTCGTCGGCTTCTCGGAAACTGCCACGGCTGCCTCACTCGGCTGTTCCACCACAACCGCACTCTCCGCACCGTCAGACTCATCCATCTCACTCACACCCTCCGACGCCCAATCCATAGACTTTGTCACAGTCTCTTTCCCTTCTTGTACAACAACATCCTCGGCTGTCGTCGTCAATGTGTCTTCAGCTTCACCCACCTGCCGGTATGCAAAAGAACGGAATTATGGTCACGATGTCAGTCTTAAAGCACGCGTTTCTCCGAAAACACACTCAATGAACGGGATCAAACTCATCTCCTTTCGGAGGCAGTAGATGCACACTATCACCATATACTACACAAGACATAGCTGTACGGGAAATACTTGCTGCACAACCCTATGAGATAACAAGGCTCGCACACACGCACACACACACACACGCACGCACACAGAGTCAGTTCAACACACTCCCTTCAGTAACCTACGTGAACCACAAACCACACACTACACAAAACATTACAACGGGAACTTTCAAAATCACAAAACTCACACTCACACACACACACATTCACACGCACACGCACACAAGGAAACAAACGAAGAGAAAGACAGATAAACAGAACAGATACGCACACATACACACTAGACACTGCCATGCTGTACTATACTAGATTATACTATTTTAAACTCTACTGTACTATACTTTACTATACTATGCTATACTATACTATACTATACTATAATATACTATACTTACACTATACTACACACACACACACGCCCACACGCACCAGCACACGCACACACACACAGCTTTCACACTCACACTCACACACATACACAACCACACAAACAGAAATAACAATGACAATGAAAACATCTGATTAGCGATGATCAACAATACCAATCAGTCGTCTAACCGTAGCCCAAATACACACCTACATCGAGAATTTAAGAATAGTTCACAGTGTTATCAACGAACCGAATGTAGTGGTCAGAAATTCACCTAGTGTAGCCAAAACAACAGACACTAAAACTGTCAAAATACACAATCATACCATTCGAATGCAACATCAAGCAGACATACGACCACTGGGTGCAATCCACAACCACCTTGTTTGTCAATTCAAAATGACAAGGGAATCACAAGGAAGAACACCGAAAATGCATTACTCGTGAGATGTCGTCTCACACAGAGTCCAAACAAGAAACACACCGTTGCAAACAAACACTTATCTGAATATCGGTGAGATGCAAATGGCATGATGATCATCAATTAATATGTGGAATCATGGATAGATAGACCATGGAAACTCCTAACCGACAGGACATGCATGCAATGGGAGGTGCGACAATAGCCAATTCTCGTAAAATATTATCCAGAAATGTCACCAGTAAGTTCAAGAACAACCGAAGCGGAACAACTAGCCATGCCACTAAGCCTACGACTGTGCCACGAATGTATGCACAGAGCAGTAACTCGCCTCAGAAGTAGTCAACTTCTCCTCCTTCTCCTGCACAATGCGTTCCTCCATCTTCACAGTCACCGTCTCCTTCGATTCCACGATCTGCTTCACACCGACGGTCGCCTGCTCCACCTGTATTGCGGACTCCTCCGTCACTCCAACCATGCTCTTCACATCCGTCACCTCCGCCTCTCCTTCACTCACAACGGAAACAGGAACTGTCTCCTCTTCCACAGGTACCTCCTCCACATCAACCTCATGCACAGGAGCCTCCTCTGCCTTCTCCACCTTCGTCGGCTTCTCGGAAACTGCCACGGCTGCCTCACTCGGCTGTTCCACCACAACCGCACTCTCCGCACCGTCAGACTCATCCATCTCACTCACACCCTCCGACGCCCAATCCATAGACTTTGTCACAGTCTCTTTCCCTTCTTGTACAACAACATCCTCGGCTGTCGTCGTCAATGTGTCTTCAGCTTCACCCACCTGCCGGTATGCAAAAGAACGGAATTATGGTCACGATGTCAGTCTTAAAGCACGCGTTTCTCCGAAAACACACTCAATGAACGGGATCAAACTCATCTCCTTTCGGAGGCAGTAGATGCACACTATCACCATATACTACACAAGACATAGCTGTACGGGAAATACTTGCTGCACAACCCTATGAGATAACAAGGCTCGCACACACGCACACACACACACACGCACGCACGCACACAGAGTCAGTTCAACACACTCCCTTCAGTAACCTACGTGAACCACAAACCACACACTACACAAAACATTACAACGGGAACTTTCAAAATCACAAAACTCACACTCACACACAAACACATTCACACGCACACGCACACAAGGAAACAAACGAAGAGAAAGACAGATAAACAGAACAGATACGCACACATACACACTAGACACTGCCATGCTGTACTATACTAGATTATACTATTTTAAACTCTACTGTACTATACTTTACTATACTATGCTATACTATACTATACTATATTACACTATACTACACACACACACACACACGCCCACACGCACCAGCACACACACACACACGCTTTCACACTCACACTCACACACATACACAACCACACAAACAGAAATAACAATGACAATGAAAACATCTGATTAGCGATGATCAACAATACCAATCAGTCGTCTAACCGTAGCCCAAATACACACCTACATCGAGAATTTAAGAATAGTTCACAGTGTTATCAACGAACCGAATGTAGTGGTCAGAAATTCACCTAATGTAGCCAAAACAACAGACACTAAAACTGTCAAAATACACAATCATACCATTCGAATGCAACATCAAGCAGACATACGACCACTGGGTGCAATCCACAACCACCTTGTTTGTCAATTCAAAATGACAAGGGAATCACAAGGAAGAACACCGAAAATGCATTACTCGTGAGATGTCGTCTCACACAGAGTCCAAACAAGAAACACACCGTTGCAAACAAACACTTATCTGAATATCGGTGAGATGCAAATGGCATGATGATCATCAATTAATATGTGGAATCATGGATAGATAGACCATGGAAACTCCTAACCGACAGGACATGCATGCAATGGGAGGTGCGACAATAGCCAATTCTCGTAAAATATTATCCAGAAATGTCACCAGTAAGTTCAAGAACAACCGAAGCGGAACAACTAGCCATGCCACTAAGCCTACGACTGTGCCACGAATGTATGCACAGAGCAGTAACTCGCCTCAGAAGTAGTCAACTTCTCCTCCTTCTCCTGCACAATGCGTTCCTCCATCTTCACAGTCACCGTCTCCTTCGATTCCACGATCTGCTTCACACCGACGGTCGCCTGCTCCACCTGTATTGCGGACTCCTCCGTCACTCCAACCATGCTCTTCACATCCGTCACCTCCGCCTCTCCTTCACTCACAACGGAAACAGGAACTGTCTCCTCTTCCACAGGTACCTCCTCCACATCAACCTCATGCACAGGAGCCTCCTCTGCCTTCTCCACCTTCGTCGGCTTCTCGGAAACTGCCACGGCTGCCTCACTCGGCTGTTCCACCACAACCGCACTCTCCGCACCGTCAGACTCATCCATCTCACTCACACCCTCCGACGCCCAATCCATAGACTTTGTCACAGTCTCTTTCCCTTCTTGTACAACAACATCCTCGGCTGTCGTCGTCAATGTGTCTTCAGCTTCTCCCACCTGTTGTTTGAAAATAGAATATATTTCGTAATTCAATATTGAAAGTTTTTCTATGTGTGTTTCGCTTTTGTTTATCTTTTTTATTTTTTTTCTTTGCTCTAATTTTGTGTATCTACTCTTTTTGGTTTTTATTCATCTGTTTTTCACTATTTATGTTTTATTCTTCCCTATTTTGTGGTTCATTTAATTTTTTTTTGATTTTTTTCTCTTTTGTAACCTTGTTCTTTGGTATCCTTATATTTCTAATCATTTATTTTTGTGGGTCTTTAATTTTGTCTGAGACTCTAAGCTTATTTTTATTTTTCTACTGTAATGTGTATCTGGTTTTCTTATCCTTTCCTATATATTTGTCTAGGCATACCTTATCAATTTGTGTGGTATGTACTTTCATAAGTGTGTAATGGCTTATCCTTGTTCCAATTATCTTGCACTGATAATCACTATCTCTTTGGTTTTCAGTTTTTATTTATGGTTTCCCCTATATTTCTCTTTCAATCGTGATTTTAGCTTTAATCATTTCGGTGGTTTTTTCTGGGATTTCATCATGAGAACCTTTTTAGTCTTTTAGTTTGTATGTTTTGCCTACCGCACACTAATAATCCTCACCAGTTTGTTCTTTCGTCTTGTTTGATTATTTATTTGCTTACCTGTTCTTCTGTTACTTTCTCCACTATTTGAGGGGTCGTTTCCTGTATTTTGACAGAATCTTCACTTGACACATGGTCCTTGTCTTCTATGTTTGATATTGTTTCCGTTTTGATGTATTCTTGGGATTGAACTGGCTTGAATTCTATTAAACTTGTTTCTGAAATTCCTGTCTGAGTTACATCATGTAAGGAGATCTCAGTCAAACTAGGAATCGATTGAGCTTTTTCCGCTTCCTCAACGCTGATACTAGTCTCGTCTACACTTATAGAATCATGGGGTATAAGGACATCTAGGACTATTGCGTGTGTTGGTGTGACGCCTTCCTCAAGCGAAAACTCAGTGTCATCCATTTCCAATGGTTCTTCTAAATCTACTTCGAATTCTGTTTCCTCTGCTATGTGTTCATATACTGCGGCTTGAAGGACTTCTGGTAGCGTCTCAATAGGTGAGTACATTTCTGTTCTTTCAGTTTGTTCTATATCTATTAGAACAGCTTGTTTCTCTAATTCTACACTGTCATTTATTATGTCAACTACTTTTATATCATCTTCCTGTAAAACACTTGGCTGTGTCCTTACCTCTACTAATACAACTACTTCGGTCTGACTGATGGCGGTACCAACATTATTTTGTGCTTCGACAGAATAAACTCCCGAATCTTCAGGAAATGCTTCAGATATTGTCAATTCACAAACTCCTGTCTCTGGACTATAAAAGATGGCAGCATCTGTACTATCAGGTTGCAGGACATTACCATTGTGTTTCCAAGTGACATCAGTTGGCTGTGGATTGCCTTTGACAACAGCTGTCAAATAAATCTCCTCTCCTTCAGAAATACTCAATGGTGTTAACTCGTTTATGATCACTGGGGAACGCAGACTGTCTTCTTGTACAACTTCTGAGTGAATTTAAGAAAGAATAAATAAAAATGAGAATAAAATTTTTTTAAACTATTAGTCACTATAATAATCTTGAAAATATTGACAAATATGTGATTTTAAAACAGTGATTCGTATAGGTAATACAGTAAACTAAGTAATCTGATCAGACATCTTAACGTCAGCTCAACTGACGAGTTTGTCTCAGATGAGAGACAACTTACTGTGCATAACTCGCAGACACATAAAAAGACACAGCCTTTCATTGACACACAGAATTATTGGATCCTCGTCAGTAGCTTTAATCTGACACATAACATATTTTACGCAATACGTAATTTTGAAATAAGGATTATCTATTAAGTGAGACCCAATGACACAAGGGTGTTAGGTTCCGGCATATATGTATGGTGGAGGCGATGGCAATCGGTCAATAAAACTTTGAACTCTGTACAAAAAAAGTCTGTTCAGTTTCTTATTCTATCTGGATCTAAATTTCTTCTCTAATTGTCCGCTTTTATTTTATTAATTATTTACTTTCACATATTCATTCTGTACATTTTCTCAACCTCTTCACGCTTGCCGAGTGGACACTGGACTGCCTTGCCTCTTATTCTATAACAGTTTTAATTTTATCGAATTCTAAAGCCTTGCTTCCACTATGTTACTGACTTGTACTCATTAATAGGCTATTATAAGTTTATAGTAAATATAAATACGATTGTACAACCTCTGAAGATGATTTCGTTAATAAAGAAATTTTTCCACTAAATTGCCTTTTATTTTCTTGAACAAAGTTTCCACAATGAAATTTATAGCACCACATGTAAGTGTGCGTTGGTGGCGCAGAGGTAAAGTGCTCACCAACCACTCAGGTGGTTGGGAATTCGATCCCCGGCGGACGCACTACCAAACTCCGCTTAACTGGTGATAAGCTCGGCAAAGAGGGAAGATTGAAGGTGAGACTAGCCACCCCCACCCCGTAAAAATAAATACCACTGCTACCGAAACTTCAAAGCACTAGCTCTAAGCCTTATGTTTCACTGGGAACGTCAAGGAATAAAATAAATAAACATGTAAGTGAACAGCACCACTTCCGATTAGACCGTGTCGGGCGCTACTGTAATTAACAAAACTTTACATATACATATTTATAATATAAAGCAATCATGGTAATTCGTCAACAGGATGATAAGATTGTGCATATAAATTATGCTCTTAGTCACAATAATAATAATAATAATAAATGGAGCGACTTGTGAAAATAAGAATGGTGATAAATCGCATGGTAACGCAAACAAGTGCTCAAATAGATATAGCAGATAAAGACAGGGACATTACGTAATTTCGTACGATTCTTTCCCTCGGTGAACTTGAACAAAGCAAGAACGACAAATTGAACAGAATAACATAGCAGTATGACTGTTATCGACTGCACAGAAACTAAAATATTTACATTATCAATATACATATTTTCACGTACTCCAATTAAATAGTTAGGTGTTAACCATTGATACAGCGTAATAAGAATAACTCTGAATCATTAGTTCAGGTTCGATTTTCAGACGATAACGGTAGTAAGCCTGGTAGTATAGAAAGGCTGGACATGAGGTTAGCAACCCCATCTGTAAAAAACACAACCGCTACTGAAAATTCAAGCCTCGAGATCGAAGTTCTGTTCCACGCGAAATGCAAAAGTACGGAAAGAAAAGAACTAAGAAAATGAAATGTCATGTTACCCTATTCAATTTATTGTTTTTGCTTTGTTCAAGATTAAGGGACACTAGACTGTAGGGGAAGTAGCTAGGTGAAGATGTATTAAGACTACGGAAGAGTGGACAAAAGTGGTAAGAAAGAGATTATTGGGAAATCATTAGGATTGGTTTATATTTAGTATTTAATTGTAATGTTATGTGTATTAGAATTAACTCTGATGATACATAGCTGAGAACAGTATTGTTCGCTTACACTCTTTGTATGAAATACGCATTTTATTAATCTAGCGGCAGTAAGTTTGCTATCAATAATACTCATTGTCAACGAGTCAGGAGGACAACAAAACTAGTGTAACAATTAAAGTTTTAAAAAATGTACGGCCTTATCGAGAAGTAAATTTTCAAGTGTTTGCTTGTGAGTCCTGGGCTTGACCCCTGGTGGAATCGTTGGGACATACAACTGAAGAGTCCCGGATAGTTCCTATGAGATGTCCAGTAACTCTGTGGTTCTCAGTGGTTGTCTAACTGATATCAGTCTGTGACCTAACCTGGGAAGTAAATCTCCTTTCGCTCAAAATGTTAACTTCTAAATGATTTAAAAGGGTTCTTAGCTTCGTTACACAAAAGGTGAAGTGAAACTCACTGCGAAAACCATTCGTTTAAAGAAGCTGTTATATAACAGACAAATAATTCAACTACTACTAGTATCTAAGTGATAATCCTGTATGTGAGTTAGGGGAAGAAATTTTAGTTGTCAAAATCAAAAGAATAATTATACCGTATTCCTCTGGTATAACAGTTTTCTTGTTATTTCTGTTCTGTGGCGAAACTGACTTTAACCTATAAATCCTTTGGCAACAGTAAAGAATAGAAATCAAAGTCAAATGACCTTGAATCTACCAATTATATTCTCCTACATGAAGAGTGGCATTTATTTTAGAAAAAAAGTGTATTTATGAGTCACATTTGTAATAAAACAGAATTATACAGAGTATACATCTCTTTAAGATGCTGTAAAAACTAGTCCCAGTTCCTCACAGGAGTGTCTGTAGACAGATCAAACCAGTGTCAATATAAAAAATCTAAATGGCTGTATATCATATCAGATTCGGAAACATTTACTATTATAATACGGTCTTTTTAGATGGACCCAGAATCCTCCAATAGAATTTGTATGAGTTCCAATTACAGGATCTACTAATTAAGATGCATGATTGACTTTATAATGAATATAGTCTGATGATGATAGTTGCGAATAACCTTTCCATTTGAGTGTATGAATGGTAGTACCTAGGAGGACTAGTCGTTGTATTATTAGTATTAAAACATCTGGGTGAAACTTGCAACGAAAATAAATGAACAACATTCATGTGTAATACCGAGCCATATTATCGGTTGATTCAAGGCCAGTTGGCCTTGGTGTCTGTTCTTTACTGTTACCAAATGAAACATTTGATACTACGTTTAAGATGGACTGCTCAAAATCTTCATTTAGAGCCAGGACATGCGTGAGTGTTTGCTCTTTTCAGGAATAAGGGTGGATCGCAACACTCAGTGACAGCCACCAAGGGTATCCGGAAATGAACTAAGTTTTTCGATCGGGTTGCCGAAGCCTTGGTAAGACGACTTTCAGTTACCAACACCTTTGAAACTGACAATTACTTAGTCACAGGATTTTCATCATGAGCTCGCCTTGTAACCAGAAGGTCCTGGGTTCGAATCCCGGTGGGTGCGTACTGATGAAGAGTCCCAAACTAGGATGAAACAGCTGTCCAGTACTCCCAGGTTTTCCAATGGTTCTCTAACTAATGTCAGCTCATGATGAAAATCCTGTAACCAATCAAATCCCTACAAACCAACACTTGAATTACTCAGTCTCTTTCATATGTTGTAGAACATAGTGTTTCTTTCCTTGTAGGTGGTGTGCACATGAAATTTAACACACGAATATAGTTGAATTCATGGACAGATATGACAAGACGATAGGAATATCATCAACTATGCTAAGAGAAGAGTGATCCACAATATATATATATGTATATATATGTATATATATATATATATAATTCAAAGCAGAAGTGAATGACAAGAGAACTTAGCACAGAGTGAACGATCTGACTACTACACTGTCTTCCTGAGAATGAACTATTGACACTCACATAGCTAGGAATGTATACAGATAAACTGGAATAATGAGTGAGAAGTTGAGAAGAAATATCGTCCACATAGACAGTTATATCTGGATTTATCCCTTAAAGGTTGAAAGTTATTCAGGTTTTACCATTAAGTGAAATATGGCATACTTGAAATCTCCGGAAGTTTCACCAATATATTTCAAACACGAATAAGATGAATGAATGCTCACCTTCAATAGTAACATGTGATGTTGACATAATCGTCTTCACTGAACGTTCACCTGTCTTCGCTTCAATCACTTCACCAACAACAACACACTGATAGTCGCCTGAATCACTCGGGCTCACTTGATGCACAGTCAAGTGGGCTACACCAACATCCTCCATGTATGTCATTTCAATTCGATCGGATTGAGTCAACTCCTTTCCATCTAGTTTCCATTGTACATCAACTGGTTTCAAATCAGCTTGAAATTGGCATTCCAGTCTACAATGAAGAAAACAATTACAATCATAATTACAAATTGACTAGTGAGCTTTCTGTTTTCTCTCCTTAATGCACAAGTAATAGCGAAGATTTACATCTGAGGTGAATTCTTTCGTTATAGTAGTGTTCTCTGAGCTGGACGGTTTAATTACGAACTATTTATTGTCCATCTGCACAAGTCTTCATTTTGAAATCATCACACAAAATGTCGTCTTGAGTGACAGTGACAGCTTTGCAGTTAAACCATTCAACTCAGTGGACGTAAAAACAATAAAAATCATTTCACCATAACATTCATTTAATTACTAAACAAATGTTTATGTAAAAAGAACGAAGTCACTCTATCACACTATATGAGTTTTTATCTATGTACTGTATTTCTAACTGAAAGCGGAATTACTCTTAATTAGCACTAAGTCTTGAGTTGACTCACTCCGTGGTGAACACGTACGTTTTAGAAAACTGAAAGATAAAAACTATAGCTCAGAAATGATCCCTGTATTTTCTGAAAATGATCAGAAGATATTGTCTTTATCCTAAAAATAACCATACTGTACCACTACAGGGTACTGTTGAATTTTGTTCTCATCCGAAGATATCCACCTTGTCTCCAAGTTGCATTTCTTAGCAGTTAAAACAGAAAGATTTACACAAACAACAATAATCAAATGACACCTTCAATCAGTACAATGAAAACATCAACAGGTCCCAGTTCAGTTAGTACAAATAACACAAATATCTAACCATCTGGCATAACAATAGAATGTAGTACACATCGAAAATGACTTACTCAAGTTGTCTTTCCTGCTCGGACACAATATTCAGCTGTGGTGTAATTGGCTTCACAAAGCACAAATCAGCAGGTTGTACTGGGACGACAGTTGATTGTTCCGGTTCACTTGTTTCAATTGGTGCAACAGTTTCTTCGGGCAAGTCTTCTAAATACAGGTTGAAAAGAAATTAATGCTTTCTGGTAACGATGACGATTCATAGGAAAACTTAGAGTCAAATAAAAAATGGAACTCCTCATTCAACTATCTATACACTTATTTATTCTTTAACTGGACTTCATCCCGTTATCAAGAATTCGATGAATTACATACATTTCAGCATTTCGTTATTTGCTTACCAGTCAAGATTTGGTTGAATTTTGCGAACTTACATCTTGTCTTTGTTGAGGTCAATGAAGAAAAATGGCTGACTGCATAAGACATGTTGTCAATTCGTTCAAACATACAATTACTAGGGAACTAGAATTCAGACACACTTATTCTAATGTATTTCAATAGCCTACAAACGTATTCTCTACCAACAGCTGGAAAACCCTGTTATTGAAGAGGACGCTTGGTATCTAAATCGAAAATAAGTGCAGCAAGTTATTTATATGAATTAACACGCTTGTCTCTGACCTTTTCCTACTAATGAGGTTAGGACACTAAGACATTTAGTAATCCGCATATTTCCAAGAGGTTGAGGAAGGATAAGTGAAAGTAGTAACTAAAAAACGAGGGAAAATTATTAATTGTTAAGTGACAAGAGTAAACATCAAGTTATGCGGAAAACTTGGAGTGTCCCTTAGTTAAGAAGAGTCAGAGAATGATAAGCCATTGTCAGGATAATTATTTCCTCTAATATCCACCGTCGATATGACTTTGGGAAAGGCGAAAATCCCCTGATAATAGCAAAATAAACTCAATTAAGGTCAGGGGTGGCGAGGAATCATGCTCCTATCGACGCCAAGTAAAATTCTGAGTCGCATCATCCTGGAGAGAAGAAAAAATGACGCACTGGATACAGAATTAGGACCAGAACAAGCTGGATTCAGGAAAGGCAAATCATGTTCTGGCCAAATCGCAACTCTACGCATCATCATCACAGAACAAAGCATGGAATGGCAATCAAACCTCTACCTCAACTTTATAGACTTTGAGAAGGCCTTCGACAGTGTTGATCGCGAAGTAATTTGAAAACTACTCGAGTACTACGGCGTACCCCAAATATTCATCAACCTTATTCAACAGCTGTACGACAACGGCACATGTCAAGTGATCCACAATGGAAAACTCAGCGAGGCGTTTGGAGTAAACACAGGAGTCAGACAAGGGTGCTTATTATCACCAATGATATTCCTAATTGTGGTGGACTGGATTATGCGCCGGACAGTGGGAAACGAGAAGACAGGGATATCCTGGACCGACGTGAAAAATCTAGAAGACCTGGATTTCGCGCGTGGATGATTTATGTGTGATGTCACACAAAATTGAAGACTTACAAGCGAAAACCGACAAACTGGTCGAAGAAGCAGCCAGAGAAGACAGGACTCCAGGTGAACATAGACAAGACGGAGTTGATGAAAATAACCAACCAACCAACAACAACAACAACAGCAGCAACATCCAGTGCCAATCACCATCAACGGGAGGGATTTGAAAGGGGTTACTTCATTCACTCCTCTAGGGAGCATTGTCTCAACTACAGGAGGAACGGACGAGGATGTCAAATCGAGAATCGGGAAGGCGAGAAACACATTCATCAACCTGAAACCAATCTAGAAATCTTCGTTACTCAGCATCAATAACAAAATTCGGATTTCCAATACAAACGTCAAGTCAGTCGGTTCTTCTATACGGATCAGAAACTTGGTGGGTCACAAAGAATATTTCCAACAGCCTGTTGCAGACCTTTATCAACAACTGTCTTCGCTCTATACTGAAGACCAGATGGCCGGAAAGAACAAGTACCAACAAGAAACTATGGGAGCAAACAAAACAAGGACCAACCGCCACCCAACAAATATGCAGGAGAAAGTGGAGATAGATTAGACACTCGCTGAGGAGGCCGTTGGGTGACATCACGCGTCAGGCCAGTGCTTGAGTGTAACCCGAAAGAGAAGCGGCGAGTGGGAAGTCCAAGGGTGACATGGAGGAGATCGTGTGAAGAGGAGCTGAAACAGTATGGACTAACATGGACGCAGGTGAAACGTACAGCAGAAGACAGAAGGAAGTGGAGACGTGTGGTTGAAGCCCATTGTTCCACTAGAAACCCAAGGGAACAATATTAATAATAATAAGGTCAGTAGAATCAAATTTTGATCAATATCTACCTCAAAGAAACGAAAACTAGTTTAGCATCCTCTGACATACTGTCTCCGTGAAAATAATCATTATGAATTGAAGCACAGCATTCAAAATACAATTTTACGGTCTTCAGATAATATTATGTCAAATAATACACAGTATTTATTATAGTAGTAAACTAACCTTCAATAGTAACATGTGATGTTGACATAATCGTCTTCACAGAACGTTCACCTGTCTTCGCTTCAATCACCTCACCAACTACGACACACTGATAATCGCCTGAATCACTCGGGCTCACTTGATGCACAGTCAAGTGAGCTACACCAACATCCTCCATGTATGTCATTTCAATTCGATCGGATTGAGTCAACTCCTTTCCATCTAGTTTCCATTGTACTTCAACTGGTTTCAAATCAGCTTGGAATTGGCATTCCAGTCTACAATGAATAAATATGAAATTATTTCACAATTTTAGTGTCAGTTTCTGGCATTTACTAAGATTATAATGCCTCTGAACTGTTTCTGACGAATCTAAGTGTTGCCTAAGAGCGCTGAATTTCAATAGCGATAGCCTCATTCACAATGCCAACATTTGTCTTTCTGACTATGCTTTTCTTTTTCCTTCGCCTCCCCAGTGGAACATAGGTCTTCAGGCAAAAGACTTGGAGTTTCTGTAGCAGTGTTTATTTTACAGGATGGGGTTGCTAGCCTGATACTCAACCTTTCCTCTTTACCAGCTTTTATTTCTGGCTCAGCGAGGTAAAGGAGTGAGTCGGCCGAGGATCGAACTCCGGACCATGTGCATGGTTGGCAAGCGCCCTTACCACTGTGCCACCGACGCACTTCTGACTATACTGCCTACACAATATTGCTTAAACTATTTGGCAAATGTAATTTCCACCTTGATTGTAACCATACAAAAGCCTGTTATTTTCAGTGTCGCTTGTGTAACATTTAATAGCAGTCATTGGGAAATGTGCTGGACTGCAGTGGAATTGATGACATTGGACAAGTTCATTCATATGTTTGAATGATATGATTATGAGTACTAAATTGTGTTTGAAACGTCATCCAGTGACTAATACTGTATCACTGTGTAATTCATCACGTCCACTTATCAAATATGGAATTATATCCTGCCACAATGCTGAAATTCTACTCTTATATTAACAAAGGACTTTTTGTGTTTTCTCAGCTCCTGTCACTCTATTGAACATCTTCAGTAATAACTTCAGAATGAAGCTGTTGTCCGGAAACAGAATAAATTCGTCGCAATTAGACTGTTAAACTGAAAGAGTGCGACAGTCCCGAAAATATACGCCTGAGATAAATACTCAAGTTGCCACGAACAGTGTTAATTCTTAGATAGGAGGAATCACTGTAGTGTGAGACCTCATCTCACATCTACTTAATAGATTTCGATTAACTCACTAAGGACTATTTGCGATTAGATGGCATAAATAACTCAATCCTGATGCCCATCGGTCAATTACAAATCGAGCTGATTCACAGTACACCCGTTAACTCAATTAACAGCAGATAAGTATCCTGCCCGTATCAACTCCAACAGCATTTACCGATTCACTCGCACTTGCGGAAGCAAGTATACAGAAAGTACTGAGAAGACAGAGTCTGCTACATTTTCTGAGTGTATACATAAAACTCTCTATATGAAAGACAGCAGTATGATCTCAATTGCAACTGCCAGATACCTTAATTGACAAGGGAACTCAGTCATGTTTCCAACATAATCAATATACAAAGAAAACTCTGGTTACTTCATCTTTCAGAAATCATTGTTGTCAAAAGATTTCGACCTAACCTCTGTATACAGATAGCGTTACAAATCTCTCACTATCCTGAAAACTGTATCTGTTTTTATGAGTTTGACCATGGATTGATATCAGTTAGAGAACCGTTGAAAACCAGAGAGTACTGGACAGCTGCTGTTTCATCCTAGTTTGGGAATCATCGGCAGTACACACCCACCACCAGAGTTCGAACCCAGGACTTTCCGGTTACAAGGCAACCTCGCATTCCATTCAGCCACTGGGACCCAATTCAGTGGTCAGTGCATGAAATCTGACTTTCACCAATTCGTGATTTAGCGTGACCACCAACCAATGTCCTCGGTGGGAAATTTTGAGTTTTGTTCTGTTGTATAACATTCCACTTAATTTGGATTTTGAATTTCACCCACTGAGTTGAACTCATTATCGGGTTGCAAATTTAACTACTAACTGTTTGTCTATGTCATAATTCTACTTGAATGTTCACTTCCAATCCCTTGAATTCTGCATCATATTATGTATAAACTCACTCTGTTGTTAGATCTTGTATTCTGTCTCTAGTCAATCATTATTTCCAGGCGAAATCTGAACTCTATCACCGTTATCTAATTATCCTATAAATAGTTACTCTTTTAACACTAAATAATTTATCTACTTATGCCAGTTTTGGAATTTTATTGCTTATACTTTCTATCTACAACTCGATGTCACTGTGAGAAAAGTTTGTTCAGAAATTGTGTAACTTGTATTGCTTAGGATGTACGGAGTTGGAAAAAAGTCACAAAATAAAACGAACTCGTAACATTTCTTTGTTCAAACTAATAAACGGAACCGGTTGTACGAAACCCTCAAAGGATGTGCAAACACCATGAAAACCACAGGAGCAGGGTAGATTGATGATCAATGTCTCACCGTCTAAACTTAGCTATATCTCTCTATCGACACTCTTACTGAAGACAATCAATCGGCTTGTGCTTCAAAAACTTGAGGCCTTCGGAGTAAACTAGAAAGTTGCTAGAAAGGTAATCACTGAGGTCAGGATTCGGTGACGTTTGGTTGCTGAATTATTACATCGAATGCGTCGGTTGATCTCTTGTTATACCATTGTAATAAGTCTAATTACACGGAACATTGTTCTAATCATCTCCAATAAAATACATAAATAAATATCAACAGGTATTACTTAGTATAAAACAAGGGACCTACTCAAGTTGTTTCTCCTGTCCAGAGACTTCACGAAATTCTTGTGAAATGGGTTTTACGAAATACAGATCAGCTGGCTCGACTGTAGTAAATACTGGTTGTTTCGGTTCACTAACCTCCAGAGGTATAGTTACTTCTTCAGGTAGTTCTTCTGTTTCGAATAGAAAGAGAGTTATTAAAGACCTTCACCATATGAAACTTAAACGTCTTGAGTCCTGATAATAACATACACTAGTCCTTGAAAATAACCATTTAAAATACATAAAATGATACTAAATAAACATAAAGTCGCTAATATTAGTGACTGGAAAAGACTTTTTAGTAGTGATTTTTCCTCCTCAAGCTGTACAGCTATTATATTTACTGTTTGTACACCTGAGGTGAATGACACTGTCAAAAGAGACTGTTCCCCTCACTAACATCAGTAACTTCCACTTCCTACTGTTTGATTTAAATGTTGCAGTTAACTTCACAAAAGAGGTTGTCATACCTTCAATAGTAACATGCGATGTTGACATAATCGTCTTTACTGAACGTTCACCTGTCTTCGCTTCAATCACTTCACCAACAACAACACACTGATAGTCACCTGAATCACTCGGGCTCACTTGATGCACAGTCAAGTGGGCTACACCAACATCTTCCATGTATGTCATTTCAATTCGATCGGATTGAGTCAACTCCTTTCCATCTAGTTTCCATTGTACTTCAACTGGTTTCAAATCAGCTTGGAATTGGCATTCCAGTCTACAATGAAGAAAACAATGAAGAATCATAATTACAAACTGACTAGTGATCTTTCTGCTTCCTTATTTTCCTACAACATTCGGTCAAAAAAACACAACTATTCACGTACCTTCGAGTGTGTAGTAGAAAGGAAGAATACATATGTTAGTTTAACCTCCTTTAGTCCATGATAAAACTGTGCTTTTGACAGGTAGTATAATCTTTCAGTTATGAACTTTAAACCTATGACAAAGTTTAGCAACTGGATATTTTTGTCATTTCAGCTGTGAGTAGCTTTCCCTCGTAGCATTTCTTTTTGCAAAAATTAGATATTGAGCTTTAGGCTGCAACTGAAACTCTTCTGCTTAAAAGCACAAGTGTCATAATTTTCACTCAAACGAGATGCTGGTATCCTAATTTGAATGTGTTTCTTTCCGACACGTATGGTGGATAGTCTATTTGTGTAGTATAGCAAACAGAACAAATATTGACTTGTATTCTGTGTCTAAGAACTAAAGACATACTGATTTTTTTAATTTGTCATTAAAGGGTTTATGCTACGGTACCTTTAGATGACTCCCTTGTTTAGTCTTATTTTGGTTCCTCGTTTGTTGCTTTATGATTTGTTGTACGAGGATTGGGGTTCATTAATTAATGTGAAATTCGCTTATTTCATTCCCAGTAAGTTATTGTACAGTAAGAACCGTAGGCTTAGTTGACACTCAGCTGTCGTTGTACCTACTTGTCATTCTAAACAAACCTGAAAACCTGCCATCTTTACGATGGTGTTGGATCAACAAAGTATAACACATTGAACTTAATGGTGAGTTGTGTTCAAGACATGTGTTCAAGACAACTCATCACTTTTGTTGCTACCCTCTTATCAACATCCAATTCATTTGAACTTACTAACCGTATTTTGTTTGACAAATTTAGTGTATACACACACACACAAAATAACCATATATATTTGCGATTGTACAGCTTTGAAAATGAATTCGCCGAAAAGAGACTCTTTGCTGATCTACTTGTCTTTTGTCTACTAATTCAAGACATGTGTTAACAGATTTGGGTGAATAAGGGATAGTGAGATACACGAATGTTGACATCATATGAGTCTCTATGATACGTGTAGTTCTAGGGTATTAACCAATGATCACGTGCTCTATAGATGACCTTAACTTTAAAGTCAACTGATGAATCATTTTTCAAAAGTTGTACATTTTCGCCTACAACTACAGCTGGCAGATTTATCGATGACCATCGGACGGGCTAAGGCTGGAGCTCATTGTAATTCGTTGCTATATTTATCAACAAATAGGCTGTAGGTTTGAAAAGCGACAGCATAAAAATCTACATCCGTTAACCAGTTTTCAAGATTACTTCAAGATTACGAGTATGATAGTGAACAAAATAATTTGTAGAAATGATCGGTTGTGATTCATTCGCAAACTGAAGCCTAGAGGATTACATTATTTTCTCTGGTTCATAGACTTCGGTTAGAAGTGGACAATGCGATGAGCATGACAGTAATTTGCTCCCCATTTAACCATATATCCGTATCATTTTATTCTTATCATTATTCCCTTAGGACTGGTGTGGAACACAGGACTTCAACACCATATCTCCATTTCATCCTGTACTCAACAGTCATTTTGAGCCAGTTGCATGACCACTAATGAGCTTTCATCTCTTCCTTACACGATCTTCCCCGTGTCACTCTCAGGCCACGCCCAACTTGTCGTTCCCCATTCGGGTTTCATTCAGGGCTTTGCCATGTACGCGACGTTAATCAACCGTCTTCTCAGTGCGTGTCCTATCCATCTCCATTTTTTTGCCTCAGCATAACCATATCAAACAATTGAATAAAAAACTATTTTCTCACTGTCATCGGTAATGAAAGGTACTTCTTGTGATACAGATTGTTTAAATTGACAGAGTACATTAAACTAAAGATTAAAATTTTTATTGAAAACAATTACTGAATCAATAAACTTACTCAAGTTGTTTCTCTTGATCAGAAGTTTTGTGCAATTCATGCGCGACAGGTTTGACAAAGCATAAGTCGGCTGGTTCGACAGCAGCAATTGATGGTTGTACAAGTTGAGTATCTTCAGCTGGGACAGTGATTTCCTCAGGTTGATCTAAATTGTGTGTTGTTGTTTTTTTTTAAAATTTATTTGGAAGACAGAAGACAGTAGGTTACAAAATGCTTCAACAGCATATAGATACGACACAATACAAAAATTATGAATTCATTCAAGAAATTGATGATTATAGTGAACCTGATTAGGTTTTCAATTTCAGTGGGTGAGGCAGTAGTAGCAGCATGTTATGTTATAAACATGTACTAAAAACAACACTCAGACATAAATCAGATTGACGAAAGACCTGAGATTTGAAAATGCTCGAACTAACTGTGATCAAGTCCAAATTGTTAATAACTATCTATGCAATAAACTGAATTTTCGACGTAGAACTTTGCACAATCGTCCAACTTGTCACACAGAATAAAGGATATACAAAGGTACAGAAATACAGGCAGACCAGAACAAAGGGAAATGCTCAAGAGAAAGAATAACTACATTAAGAATAATGAAGGATCAATGCAACTGCCCAAAATAAGTAACGTTGAAAATATGTATGCTCCTCCCAGTAGTGCCTTAATTTACCTCTTGTACTTAATCAAGCCCCATAAACCTGTTAGGAAAAAAACCACGGCCTAAGAATGATTACAATTAATTTTCTCATTAAATGTTGTTCCGTTAATATACATTAAAGTTTCGGGGTTTCATCATGAGTTGACATCGGTTAGAGAACCATCGGAGGGCTTGAGAGTACTGGACAGCCATTTCGTCCTAGTTTGGGACTCTTCACAGTACATACCCACCCAACGGGGTTCGAACCCGTGACCTTCCGTTTACAAAGCGAGCTTGTGGACCATTAAGCCACTGGTACCCAATCCAATGTCCCGTGAATTCCAACTTCTGGTACTTCATAATCTAGCGTGAGCACTAGACAATGTCATATGCGAGTATTTATCCTCACACCCAACCTGCTGTACCTCACTAGTCACGACTTCCTGATAAAACCCACGTGACTACCTACCTGAATCGAGCCAGTCTCTACTGAGCGTCAGCTCAAATCCTTGTAAACTAACACTTGAATACGTTTCAAATCCATAGTGATATTAAGGTATTTACAGTATTCGCTAACAGGAAGAAATACAATTATGAAAAGCAACCTAGAAAGTTGTGCTGATACCGTAATACGATTATCAGCAATAAATTTTCCTCGAAACATCATCCGCTTATTGATACTGTATAAGTGCGTCGCAGCAAATGAACTTGCCTCACTTTTGTGCCTTGATAGATGGTGTGAACAAGTCACTGGCAAACAGAACTCGACTTAAACTATTCATGGCGTCAGAAAGATACCCGAGTGCTTACCAACAGTTTCATTTATTGCAGAATAGCACATTTTTATAAGAATGAGTGTCTGTGAAGCCTAACCTGTAAGCGCTTGAATTTTGAAAACAAAAACATGAAAAATTTCGCCTCATTTCTGTGTGTTAAGTGAAAATACAACTTGAATATCCGAGTGATGAAGTCTCCAACTTCAGAAGCGTCACTGCCCCAAATCTGTGAGATAACATGGCTTTCTTCAAAGTTGCAAGCATACCTTACTGATAGGTGCCAAAAAGTGGGAAATCTAGGAGGAGGCTTTTCAGTCGATTGATCATTAACGCGTAACAGCAAAATGAAAAGCACACAAAAGTAAGTCTTAACATGTTAGTCGGTATGTTTTTACATCTATTGTATTTTCAGTGTACGATACACATACCATACAACATCACATATCAGTATTTAATAATACAACTACTGATAAAATTGTAATTTTAGAACAGCCTGATTTTCACTCACCTTCAATTGTAACTATTGAACCGGAAGAAATTGTTTTAGTCATTTGTTGTTTTGTTTCAGCCTCCACAACTTCACCATGAACTTTACAAACATATTCACCAGAGTCTGATGGAACAACTTGGTGTACTATTAAACGAGCTATCCCACTGTCTTCGAAATACGTCATTTCTGTACGATCCGATTGAGTTAATTCTTCTCCGTTAACTTCCCAGACAAGTTGGATAGGTTTCAAGTCGGCTTGGATTTGACATTCCAATCTGGAGATAAATAATGAAATGTTTCGAGTTATTTTAGATCTAAACAGATGTTGACAATGACAGAGGTTGAAAGCATCTGTTTCTTAATACTATAATGGACTTCGTTGTGAAACGACTTACTGACATGATGGCTGACCGAAGAGACGTATTCACAGTGTACAACAATTCTTCATTAAGAAATAAAATTTGAGTGTCAGAACACAAATAAACAATAAGTAGAGATTTAAAAACATTCAGGAAGAATTGCCATGACTAATGAGGAATTCTGTTGTTCGAAAAGCAAGAAACCTTCGTCTATGACTTCCAGATGACATTAATCAACGCCTCTCACCATCTAATATGTACAAAGTGAGTGTCAATTTGTGACATTATTGTTGTGTAAGTATATATGGACTTATAAAGTAGTCAAGCCTGTCTCAGATACTCTAAACGAATAATTTTTTTAAATGCATCAAGTTCAAACAGTATTAAAGCCCCCAACAATTCTACTGAACTTGAATAACTCAATGAGAACAGCTTTGTAGCATAAGATGGAACAGTTTAACTGGACTGAGCTATCATCAGCTGCGTACAACCAAAAATAATAAAATACAGAAGTAATCACCATGACATAACTTCCATATATTTTAACTAAGTAGACGACCCATTTAGGGAAGACCGGAGGTACTGTGGTGAGAGCTGGCTGTGTTGATTTTCCTTAATAAACGATCTGTTACCTGGCCCTTGTCTTCTGTTGTTACAGTACGATTTTCTACCTGGGTGGTTGGACACACGTGCCAAAGAGTCTACACATCGCATTCGTTTTCTGAAGCTTTATTGTACTCTTCCTAAATGTACTCTTCATGCATTTTAGATATTTCGAAGATAATGTTACAATGATTTACTCATTTAATTGTCATACACTTATCCCCCTTTACAAATTTGAATGAAGCTAGAACAACAGTGGTTCATGCAGAATAATATGGTACCATCACTGTTTATTTCATTGGCTCCTCATCAGTTGCTGCTTACAGCCGAAATAAACTATTAAGTTTATGTACAGAAAAGTTCTAACATACTTGCGAATTTCACATCATGTCAGTTGGCACAGGAGGTTCTAGACTTAGTGAACAGTGCTCAGAAAATTACGCTTACATAGTTTTTACACAGGGAGTCCAAGTTTAAACAAATTAAATGTATGCATACAATGGTAAAGGAGTTACGTAATAAAGACGAGAGGTACGTAAGATGATAACTTTGTTTAAACTTGAACCCCCAATGTAAAAACTGTATAAGCACAATTCACACTTAATTGTCATTTACGGACGTAAACTCCTTATTCTTCAATAGTTGTTCTCAGTGTGAGTTATCCAACTTGCATTAAAATACTCAGAATAAGCCGATACAATAAATAATAAGCAAGTAATCGTTGGGGGAAAATAAACCGAAAATTTGGTTACTTACTCAAGATCTTTATGGTCTTGTACAGTGTGAATATTTGGTTTAACAGGTTGTAAAAATGTGAGTACTTTCTCACTGATTGTAGGAACAATTTCAACTGTTTCAGGAACTGATTGAAAAAGAAAAAACATTAATTAAAATGTTACACAAATGTTATGAAATAAGTTACGTGTTAACTAGTCAGTCTACCGTAAACTGTCGGCACAAAATATACACCTCATATAGGAAATTGGGTTGTTAAACATTGCACCGCATATGTCTAGTGTTTGAACAAAATATAGAGGACATTCCAGTGAGGAGAATTTTCTTTATCAACGATATTTGTCTACTTTTTAGCGTATTCAAGATTACTATTTGTGTATGCATTTTGTCGTTATTAGGACGCATCGGTAAGGAGTATCCGAAATATTTCATACATAACCTCATATCCCATTAAAAATGTAAAACTACAGTAATATCGTGTTAAATGTAATACTGAGACGGCAGTCTGGCGAAGAAAGGGTGTGAGGACAAATACTCGCCGAAGACATTGGCTAGCGGTTGCGCTATATCGTGAATTGGCAGAAGTTAGAATTCATGGGCCATTCGATCGGGTCCCAGTGGCTTGATGGTAAACGAGCTTGCCTTGTAACCAGAAGGTCCTGGGTTCGAACCTCGGTGGTGCGTAGTGATGAAGAGTCCCAAACTAGGACGAAACAGCTGTCCAGTACTCCCAGGTTTTCCAATGGTTCTCTAACTAATGTCAGCTCATGATGAAATCCTGTAACCAATCGACCAAATCCCTAAAAACCAATACTTGAACTCTTAATTCACTAACACAACCTTAGGAAGTTTAGGCAGTCTGGTATAAAGCAGTCTTTACTTTCTCAGTTTGTCAATTCCTGTATTCTACCCATCCCTCTTTACTGCTCCCCATTAATCTTTCCAGGACTACTTAAGAAAGACTTTGCTTCGCTGCGTAGGGCACTAAAAGCTGTTAGTAGGGCAAGTGGGATATCGTTAAACCAACTAGTTAACACCATAGTGGATAGACATATAATGTCATGTAAGAAACTAGTGAATACTATATTGTCAGACCCTGAGCATCCTCTCTATACACAGCTCTCTCCTTGCATATCATCTGGTAGAACTAGAAGTAACTATAGGAAGCTATATGCCAGGACTACCAAGTATAAAAACTCCACAATACCTTATCTGGCACAGCTGTTATGTGATGAGAAAACTGTTAGGCATGACATGATCAATTTACTGCGGCACTCTAACAAATAGTTCCCATTAGCTTTTGTTCTCCTTTCTTTGTTACTATTATATTGCTGCTCATATATTCTATTACAGACTAATTTTATATATCGTATCCTGTGGTGCACTGTTTAAATATGTGAATGCAATGCTGTTCTCTTTTTATTTTATTTCTTTTATTTCTCTTTTTCTTTTTGTTGTTGTTGCTTTATATTTCTAAATCCTTATAAAATTTATGAGGTAATTAGATGCAATATTGTAATGAACGCTGAAAATTCCATACCTGTACCATAAATACTGTTTGGAATAAAGCCATTATTATTATTATTATTATTGTTAATTTTTGACAGGGCCATGCAAGCCACATTATGTCTCAGGATAGTCTTTAGTTTATTGAAATGTCTCCAAACTTATACTAATTAAATCCATTTCCCTTGTAACAACCGAAGGCAGTACACGGAAGCTAAGTTGTGCTATTCATTAATTAAACCGCTGTTTAAATATCTACAGTTTATATTCGTTGACCAATCACTGAGCTTGGGATTTCGGTTCACATCATACGTCATGAAATGGAATGATCAAATATACATGACATTCTGTTGTCGATGCAGTACTGAACTGTGGGAAAGTATTCTATCTCTAACATCAAATAGAATGTTCACATAGATATATCGTATTCTGTTGTTAATGCCGAAGTGAAGTGTGAGAATAGCATATTCCGTTGGCACACATTGTCTGTATCACACCTCCACACTCTCACCCCTTAACTTTAGTACTTGGCTGAAAGAAAGGATTCCACCAGTGACTGACTCTTATGCTATTAACTATTAACTAGTGGTACTGAATAATTTGAATCACATACAATTTCCACATCTTTCACTTTGGATGTCTAAAGTGCTGCTTGCAAACTACTTATGACATTTACAGACAATATAAACTACCTAACAGTTGAGGAATAAATAAAACTATATATGGTAATGATGAAGAAAACAAAAGTTGATCACTCACGCTTACCTTCAATATCCACGACTGTACTGGAGGTGATAGTCTTTTGAATGGGTTCAACTTGTGTCGGTACAAGTTGGGTTCGCGTTGCAGTACATGTGTATTCACCCATATCTTGTGGGGTAACATTGTGTATAACTAGTTTAGCCAAACCGCTTTCATACTCATAGACTTGTTCAATGCGATCGGATACTGTAAGTTCGGAGCCTTCATGACTCCACTGAACAGATACTGGCTGCTGGTCTGTCAGCAGTTGACACTCCAATCTACAAAAATATGATATGAGAATATTGAAATATACTAAACTGAAATACAGGTTCAATAAAGTAATTGGTATATATATATATGAAATGGAACAAATTTGTTCGAAGTTTGCCGCATACCGATCTAAGAACCAATGGAAGCTACTGACCACTGGACACACCTGCTTCCACCCAATTTTTGGACCTTAGAAGAGTCTCTGATAAAAATAACTTTGAAATAAACCAAAGCCCTATAACCATGACACGCGGAACATACTACTACGCTCTCTGAATCCTACTTCAAACACTGCCAGGCCCACCACTTAGGACACTCACTATTTCGACTGTACCCCTTATTTCGCTACACTAATTCATTATTTCGGATTTGAACCAATGCATTGTTAAATAGTGTTTTAACTCAGTCATTCTGGTTTGGTGTTTAACAATATAATAGTACTACAATCATTTTATTCCAAACAACAATAATAATTACACAGAATGGGATTTTCAATGTTTGTGAATATTACAACAAGATGTCGACCAGTGGCCGAGTTAAGTTTGAGCTAGGTTCTGAACTTCATTTGTGACTGAACGGTTAAAACAACTGAATTCTGCCTTTTTTTCTTTCTGCCTAGTACTTTATATTTCCAGCGACTGAAGTTGTAGTTGTCACAAAATATCATTATTTATTTAAGTAGACTACACTGTGCCTCATTGTAGGGAAGTTGCGTAAACCATAATGAACTGACTGATATCGAAGTCTCATATTGAGTCACTCCTAGAGTGGGTGTGATATGCGGATGTCCACCAAAGGATCTGTGTACTGAACAGCAGTTCACCCCGTCCTCTTCTATGGCTGCGACACATAGCAGTTAAAGTGAAATGTATGAAGATGCTAGCCTTATGTGTCTGTGTTAGGCAGCATAATATTGTCAGTAATATTGAGATTACTGGTAGAATGTTGGGTAAAGAGACAGAACCAAACAGTAAAGCTGAGATCATAGAAACACCTAGGACATGTGTTACGCACCACCAGCCATAGCTTTCCTCGACGAAAAATGTTTCCTGGTGTAGGATTTAGGTGGAGGAGTCAGGAGTGAACAGACAGATTAACAGCACCAATACAGGAAGTCTCTGACTGTTTATTTGAGCTCATTAGGAATGCAGTTGTAGACCGTCTGTCTGACTGAGGTCCTCGAGATGCTAGTAACCAATTAATGGGAATTGTTTGTGATACACCTCAAAATTATTCTCAACATCGGAGATGCATTCATTAATTTCGACCTTCTAGATTCATTGAATCCTCATTAACTTTAGCGTAATTATGCTTTCTGTCGAACGTTTCCATTTATTCGCGTACAATTTGCCAAGTGTGACAGGTTTAACTACTGCTCCTCTGTATAAGATTCCATATCCAATGTTCAATGGTTCAGTCTGGTTTCGACTTACAGTCTATATATTTAATTTCACTAATTAACGTCGCGTGGCAACCATTTTCACTATCCAGCAAACGTTTTTGATATCGTTGTTTTGTTGTATGAGATGAAAAAACTCATTGTAAGAATGTACGCCGTAACGACTGTCTCACTTCTTCTGTCACACACAAATAAGATTAATTAAAAATTGCATGACACAAGATTCATTGAAATTTCTATCAGTGACATATAAATACTACAATGTACCAGTAGATTCTCACCAGTAACGATGCATATTAAATCAATGATGCTAGTTTATAACACGTTTAGATATACAAAAATACTCCTAGTCTTTTGAAATGACCAGTAGTGATACTTACTCTAAAGTACGTTCTTCAGTTGAATCTTGGTGAACTTCAGCGCGAACGGGTTTAATGAAACTGAATTCAGTTTGTTCTTCGACATTTTTCAATTCAACTGTAAACGTTTCAGGTGCTGATGGTAATTCAGTGATAACATCTTCAACCACAGGCATTTCTACTTCAGTAGCAGTATACAATTCACATGAGCTAGTCAATTCTCCTTCAGGATGCAAAACAGAAACAGTGATGGTTCCAATCATTTCAGAATTAATTTTTGGTATTTCTAAAATTGATGAAAACTCTGTTGTCTTCACTTCACATGGTATTTGTTCTTGAGTGACTTCTAGCCCTTTAACATACCAACGAAATTCAATTGGAGCTGTTGTCGGTTGAACAGAGCATTCTAACTGTAGCGGTTGGTCCAGTGCAACTTCTAATTGTGAAGTTAGTGTTTTAGCGAATTGCACATTGACAGTCTGTTGTTCCCTTGGTTGTATATGACACACCGATGTTGCTTGTCCTAATGGGGATGTAGCAATCATCTGGAGTACAGTATTATCATCTTTTTCAGGTTGATAATTGTGTAGCACAGCTCTGTATTGTAATGTATCGTCATCAACTTGTTCTGGACCGAAAAATTCGAATCTTTCAGCCGTTGACGGTGAACTAATTGCCCATTGAATATCAGGTGATGGATTCGCCTTCAATATGATATCCATAACAACTGTAGATCCTACTTCTGGTGTAAGTTTTTCTGGTAAACCTTGAATGAATTGTGGAGCAAATTCTAATTTTGAAACTACTGGTGCTTTTGGCTGCTCTTCCGTCTTTGGTGGCTGATAAGTTAATTCGAGATTACATGAAGTGTAAATCTTCTCCTCCTTATCACCACTTAAACGTGTTACCATACAGGTAACTTCGCCAAAGTCCCAGGTACCAGGATTATTGATTGTCAGTCTACTCTGCCATGGTTGATCTTGAGTTACAATGTATCGTTCAGGGTTCTTTTCAGGTGGAAGTAGAAATATTTCTATTCCATTCAAATACCAACTAAAAACAGGCTGAGGAACATCTGTAAATGATTCTTCCGGTCTATCAACTTCAACTTCAAGTGTAATCGCTTCATCTTTTTCACTATACGTTAAATGTGTTGGTAGTTGTCGAGTGAAACGAAGTTCAGGGAGTTGTTTTTCCGGTTCCGTTTCTGTTATATCATCTGTTTTAGCCATCATTACCAATACTGAAGAGGTTACAATCTTTGTTCCCGTCTGTCCAGCAGCTTCTATGGTAACTTGACTGGGCAGTATTTCTGGCTGAACCGATGGAATGATGAGAGTTGTACGATTAGTGTCTTCAAGCACTTTGAATTGTTTCGCTGTCTGGTCTAGTTGTAATCCATTTAAATACCATCTAAATGTAACCGGTGGTTCGGATTCAACCTCACATTCCAGTCTAGCACTATCACCAGGTTGTAATTCAATCCTTTCTGGTGGTTGACGCACAAAACGTGGTTCAACAATCTTTCCATCAACTATCTCTAGTTCTAATACACTACTGCACATAGTTACACCAAGTTCATTTTCTGCGCGTACCATTATTTCGCCTATATCAAAGGCATTTAAATCGTGTATACTCAACGTATATGTATGTGTTGATCTGTCAATGTACAATTCCTTTTTAGCAGATGCTTGTTGAGAAGGTGATGAAATTATTACTGGTTCAAATTCCACACCATTATGAAACCATCGTAAAGTTGGCTCTGGATATCCATTGACACAGCACTCCAGTCTAAAGGAAAAGTGTACATTTGATTCGAAAATAAATATTTTCATTATAGGGTTTATCAAGAGAAATCATTCACAGTTATTATCAATCCTTCTGTATTAGATACGTTTATCTAGACGTTGGGTGCCATACAGAACAAAATCCGTACACTAGATTCTACTTGTAATCACCAACTATCAAATAATCTGTGCACAATTTGTTCAAAACCTATTCAGTTAGTCCCAACAGGTTAAAATATGCTGATCGCACAGAGCTAAGAAGAAAATCAATCAGTAAGCGTGGTTATTCGACTAAGAAAAAAATGTTATTGGTTCCTTCTGGCTCGTCTTTTTTCATAGCAAATACACGATGTTTGTTACTATGATGTACTATTGAAATGGTTGAAGACAAGGGACTTGGAAAAGGAATGTTTATCAGAAATTTGGTATCTGTGTATGGCGAAATTATGTAAAACCTTATCTTCAAATGACTAATTGCACACATCTTCCGTGTTGTGCTACTTCGATCCTCCATATTATGTTTCTTTCACGTTTCCGATGTTTTGCTGCAGCGCTGAATCACTTCCTTTCTCTGACGTCAAATCCATCTCCCTGTTATTTGATATTTTTACGCCAAAGAAAGTCGCTTTATCTGTTAATATAGTAGTACCGTATTGTAGACAAACCCTATGGTATGGATTCTACGCAAAATTTAGGCGTTTCGTTTATTTCCTTAAAAGTTCACTGCCCAATTACCTTCCCAGATTTCTCACAAGAAATATTATAATAATTATGGAATTTTCAACCGAAAGTGAAACGAATTCTCAGGCAGTAGTGTAGGACGTCACGGAATTTGAATTATGCTGCATTCAAGGTCTCCTTTTCATCTTCTATCACGGTTTCAAGAAATTAGACGATGGATTTTTCGGAATTTTATGATATTATTATTATTGTTCCCTTGGGTTCCTAGTGGAACATAGGGCTTCATCTACACGTCTCCACTTGCTTATGTCTTCTGCCGTATTTTTCACCTGCATCCATGTTAGTCCATACTGTTTCAACTCCTCTTCACACGATCTCCTCCATGTCACCCTTGCACTGACGTCCCACTCGCCGCTTCCCTTTCGGGTTCCACTCGAGCGTTGGCCTGACGCGTGATGTCACTCAACGGCCTCCTCAGCGAGTGTCCCATCCATCTCCACTTCCTCCTGCATATTTGTTGGGCGATTGCTTCTTGTTTTGTTTGTTCCCATAGTTTCTTGTTGGTGATTCTTTCCGGCCGGCCATCTGATCTTGAGTATAGAGCGAAGACAGTTGTTGTTGATAAAGGTCTGCAACAGGCTGTTGGAAATATTGTTTGTGACACGCCAAGTTTCTGATCCGTATAGAAGAACTGACTGACTTGACGTTTGTATTGAAAATCCGAATCATTTTGTTATTGATGCAGGCTGAGTGACGAAGATTTCCAGATTGGTTTCAGGTTGATGAATGTGTTTCTCGCCTTCCCGATTCTCGATTTGACATCTTCGTCCGTTCCTCCTGTAGTTGAGACAATGCTCCCTAGATGAGTGAATGAAGTCACCTCTTTCAAATCCTTCCCGTTGATGGTGATTGGCGCTGGATGTTGCTGCTGCTGTTTTTGTTGTTGCTTGGTTATTTTCATAACCTCCGTCTTGTCTATGTTCACCTGGAGTCCTGTCTTTGCTGCTTCTTCGACCAGTTTGTCAGTTTTCGCTTGTAAGTCTTCGATTTTGTGTGACATCAAACATAAATCATCCGCGAAATCCAGGTGTTCTAGGTTCTTCACGTTGGTCCAGGATATCCCTGTCTTCTCGTTTCCCACTGTATGACGCATAATCCACCTTGATTGTTACTTTAAGTTCTTATCTTCATTAGTTCGTTGATGTAATCCTTTCCTTAATCATGCTGATGATTTCTCTTCCATAGTAAAACTATTTATTCAGATGAAGGTGTGCTTTCCGATTCACTTTACGTAAACATTGTGAATTCCCAGATTCTGTATTGTGAATCTATTAGCTGAATGAGTAAATTGACGTCTGAAAGGCTTAATTCTTCTTTTATACTATTCCGATAAAACTAACTTTAAGAGTAATGCCAGTTTAGCATGATAAGAATGAATTAAATTTGGACATCACTGGAACAACTTTTTAGGGTGAGTGACACTCTAACTTATACGAATTCGAATTGCACTATTTTTCTTTTTAACTTATTCTCTAGTAAATTTTTCCTACATAACCGATCTTAGTAAACTGACCTTCATATACAGTGAAGACAGAGTTTCTGAGCTATAGCGAGATTCATACAAGAAAGGCCAGTGTTACAAATTCTACTACCGAGAATCTGCTGTCTTTTGATATCAGTTATCAACTTCTGCATTAGGAGATATTGTTTATACTTCCCTCAGAATCCGTATGTGTGAATTTCTGTGCAGTGGGAAACACTATTCCTACTTATTTTCAGTCGAAGAAAATCAACGAAAACGCATGAATAGTATTGATAATAATAATAATAATGAGAACTCACGTAACAGTATGATTTTCCAGTACTTTGATTCTAGGTTGTAAGCGTTTTTCAAAAACTGGTGGTTTCGGTTCTGGTCCTGTGAAAAGATGAGAATAATTTCAGCTATACAGTTTGTCGGTTTATTAAAGTCAGACATAAATTCTGTTTTATTTTTCCAGGTACAATCCCTGTTTGTTTGCTGAATTTTTGACTTCAACTGAACATTAACGTCAAACACATTTTTCACACTGCATTTCATCGAATGCTAGTAAGATGTACTTGAGAATGAGCTTAGGAATATGCATAACACCTTAATTAAAAATAGCTATCCAGAAAACACTACGAGAAAGCTACAATAGTCGTAAAGAAATGTTTTGCATCTGCGAACAAAAAGAAGTAGCTCTATATGCGACTGCAGTTTAGAGGTGAAGTAGTAACCAACAAACTAAAAAAAAACAATCTTTGCCAGTCAGTTACAGCCCATATTTCCTACACGACCGGTTAGGATTCCGGAAGTGAAAGACGAAATGACACCTCTGTTTAAATCTGTCAATTCAGCTGCATTAAAATCCTGTAGGCACCAGATGTCTGTTCTATACCAGTTTGGCAGTCATCAGCAGTCCGCTATCACAACTCTTTTAGGGATTAAGTTTCTTATTTGGTACACCGAAAAGACTAATATTTCTCTCTTTTTTTTATTCCTTTACGTTCCCAGTGGAACATAGGGCTTCAAGCTAGAGGCTTGTTTTTACAGGATGGGGTTGATGGCCTCATACCCAACCTTCCCCCTTTGCCAGTTCTATTACTAGCTTAGCGAGGTAAAGGAGTGCGTCGGTCGGGGATCGAACCCCAGACCATGTAAGTGGTCGGCGAGCATCCTAACCGCTGTGCCACCGACGCCAAATATTTTCCTATAGATGGTAAAACCCACTCAGTGTTGAACATCGAAATTTTGTCCAGTTTGAAGATTAGTTTATTTCAGAGTAGATTATGTCACAAACTGGAATGGATTCCAAGTAAGCTTAAAATGATAATCATTTAATTAACTAGAAATGACTTTACAGAATACAGAAATCTACCACATATGATAAAATTCATTTTAACGGAAATCATTTAATCGGCAGTTTTGAAGAGCCATCATAGTCAGTCTGTTAATTCAACCTAACCCATCAGTTGTAAGATGGAAGGAATCCATAAAACTGGGTAATTACTCTTCGAAGCCTGGGAAATTCAACTTTTTGATGCTATTATTATTATTATTATTACTATTATTATTGCTTCCTTTAATTCCTAGAGGAACATAGGGCTTCAGCCGTGCGTCTCCATTGTGTTCTGTTCTCTGCTAGAGTCTTCACCTGACTCCATGTCTGCCCACACGTTTTCATCTCCTCTTCACATGATCTCCTCCAAGTCACCCTTGCACTGACGACTAACTCACCGCTTCCCTTTCGGGTTCCACTCGAGCAATGGCTTGTCTAGTGATGTCACTTGATGGTTTCCTCAGAGTATGGCCAATCCAATCCATCTCCACTTCTTCCTGCCTATTTGTTTCACAATCGGTTCCTGCTGTGTTGGTTCGCTCATTGCCAGAGATCCCTGTTGCTAATCTTTTCTGGCCATCTGATCTTGAGTGGTATTGAGCGAAGACAACTGTTAATGAAGGTCTGTAGTTTGTTTGAGATGCTCTTTATGACGTACCAATGATAGGAATAATTATTACAATAAATTGTTTTACAAAATACCCCTAGTTCACCCACCTAGACGAATAATAATCATTTTTGTTTGTGTGGTTGTTTGACCTGCTGGATTAACTGCTCTGACAAGTATTTCTCCAGAGTTATTCATTGACACAGTTTTGCATTCAAGGCGTGAAATATATCGGTCCGTTGTTACCTGAAAATGAATTAATTAATGAATTAATTAGTATAAACCAGATAATGCATATGCTCGCTTGAAAATTCATCTATTAATCTCAGATAGTATCTAAATAACCAGAAGTAAGAGAAGATGTGCTTTATCAGGTGTCACTCAGTGGATTTCAAAGCAATGACGCTTTTTGTTTGATGCACGAATGAAGTCCCCTAGTAGTTCAGCTTTGTCTTAGTTTGCAATGCATCCCGACTTACAGTGAAAAAATTGTACTAAATTTCAAAGTGAAGTTGTTTAGTTTGTGAATCAGAGGTCATTATCACATTGATATGGAAATGCCCAGTGTGCTAATTAATTAATTACTGGATAGTTATCTGGAAGGTACTCTGAATTGTAATACTGCAGTGTTCTCTTGTATATCAGTGGAATTTGTAAAACTCTCTCCTTTATCAGTTTGAATAACACCCCCTCCGCATATAATAATAAATTGAGTGCTTTTGAACAAACATTTATTATTTAAGACCAAGGTAGAATAAGAGACTGGACAAACTTTTTCTGTCTGCAGAGTTCAGGGTTGTGTTGATGAATTGCCAGCGCCTCGGCCGTACACAAAAGCCGAAACCTGACACCCTTCGTAGCATTTGGCTTCACTTTGTAGATGATCTTGAAAGACGACTCCGGTGGAGCTATTGGCCGCACAAAGCGCACGCTTTTCAAACGCATCTCTGAACATTATCCGGCATGGTTAGCAAAGGGACAGTGTAGGACAATTACTGGCTCAATTCTCGAGCATTTGGTGAACTCAGGCCACGAAGCTCCACCGGAGTCGTCTTTCAAGATCATTTATTATTTACAAAAGTAAATACCTCCCAGGACTGAATTCTTTTTTTCCTTCACGTTCTCCAGTGGTACATAGGGCTTCAAGTTAGTGGCTTGAAGTTTCTGTATCAGTGTTTATTTTTACAGGATGGGGATGCTAGCCTCATACCCAACCCTTCCTCTCCACCAGTTTTAGTTGTGGCTTAGCGAGGTAAGGGGAGTGCGTCGGCCGGGTATCGAACCCCGGACCATGTGCATGGTCGGCGAGCGTCCTAACCGTTATGCCACTGAATTTCACCTACTTTTATTAGGCCAAGACTAAACCACTCAACTTCATTATGACATAAAGATATGCATTATATATATATATATATATATATATATATATATATATGCACTTTAATACCATCCTATTCAAACTGTCTCCTGTCAGTCTATTGACTACGTTTGAATGGTAATACAGACTTTTTCGTAATCCTACACACAGTCTGGATTACGATTTTTCCGCAAATATGTCTACAATCGATAAACCAACCCCTCACAGAATCGCTGAAGGGAAAGTTATCAAGAGAGTGAATAAGCATTGAGAAATCAAAACAAATACTAAACTCGTTTGTATAAAGTGATTTCATTTCACTTACCTTCCAAACAGGACCTGATTGTATTGGCTGTCCATTTTGATACCAGCTAATCTCAGGCAAAGGTTCACCTGATACCTGAACCTCTAGACAGACTTGTTCGCCTTCTTTAACTTCTATCGGCTCCATAGGTAAGGGTTTGACAAATTGTGGAGCGATAGTTTGCGGAGCTGAAGATTAATTTATAGTATTACAAAATGTATATCAATCCGACATAAAACCTGTTTTGAAATATATACAGTCAGTATTTCTAATGAAAGATACATTGTCATGATGAACAGAAGCAATAGTTAAGTTATATTATCTCCACAAAAACTGGATATACTTCAGAATTCTTTGTGTGGTCTAGTTCACAGTGTTACCAGAGATCGCAGGGATCACATCTTTGTTGATTTGCATTTATGCAACAACACTAAAGAAACCCAGGACCGTTCTGCAGTGTAAAGCAAAGTATTTGAGGCTGCAAATCGTATCATTAGAGTTGCTTGAAGCATAGCTAAGTCTCTCAGGGATCGAATGTTGTTGTAAACAGTATGACGAGCAACTTGTAAACAGTTTCACATTCATATCTCAGAGTAAGCGAGTAACTAACGTGTTTATAATAGTATATCAGTCAATAACTTGATATCACCTAGCCTGGAGACAATGCGTTGACTGCTAAGATAACATGGTCTTAATTTCTTGGCAAGTGCGTTTTGTATGAGATACTCAGAAGGAACAGAACTTATGCAAGAGACCGCATACTAAAAGACATTCATTCATTTGTTGTTAACATCGTTTGCAATGGCCACCTCCATCATTTTGACACACAATATTCTTCTGAAAGTTAATCGTATTTCCGTGGAGTATGCTTTACTACGCTGACAACGGAGAAGACGGTTTGAATATTTGGAGTATGAAAGAAACGACAGCATTACAAAACAAGCAGTGTGGTAGGAATAAACTGTAACATTTGTAATGGAGTGTTTTCTTATGAAACAATGCATCTCTATAGTATTCACTTCACTAATACACCTCTCATGAAGTCACAGATTAATTGTCATGGTGAAGAGTTCAGTATAGTGCAGAGATTTCTTCAGATTGCGAGTTCAATTCACATCATCCCAATGATCAGTTTTACACACACATTACAATTTACTCCTGCTTAGTTTGTGGTGATTGGATTGATTTCAAGGCAAATTCCATAACAAACCAAAACGACTGTGACGACAGACACTGGATAATGATGGTGGATGATGGTAGAGCTCTATCACTAGTTGACAGGGATTCGATTTCATGGGTTATTGTTTCGAGACCCTGATGGTAAGATGCTCACCCCTTAACTTAAACGTTCATGGATTGCTCCTTGATGGGGTTATGAGTGCAAAATACTGAAGAGACCCAAACTAGGATGATATGCTTGTCCAATACCCCCTAATTTCCAATGGCTCTCTCTCTCTACTCTGTCGAAGGTGAGTGTTACTGTGTTATTATAACAAATGAAGTTGCCTATTAAAACAATTACATTGTTACAGTTAAATAAATTACCCTCTTCTAGTTAAAACGCCTACACTAAAACATTCTTAAACCCAGATTGCTGGAATTTATCCATTGAGTATTCAGTGCAGTCAGACAGTTACTTGTTAGTATTAAAAAGCGAATGAAGAGTAAGACTGAGACTAACCTGATAGGCAAACTTCAGCCGACGCTGTTACCTCACCACCAGCGTTCATAGCGCGTACTGTATAAACTCCTACATCTTCTGGATAAACATTTGAAATATTAAGTATTGTGTAACCATCTGGTCGAACTTCCGGAAGAAAGTATTGAGATGGTTTAATAACTTCATTATGCAGTAGCCAAGTAATTTCTGGCACTGTTAACAAAAAAAACAGTTTTTGAAAATTTAGTCTACTGTATACCAGTTATATACAAACACGTATAATGTGATTATCACTTTATAAGATTGCTTTAGAGAATGTTCAGGTAGACAGAGCAACGAATGACTCACAAATATAATTGTAGTGGAGATATAACTCACTGACAAAAGCACTTGGCTTTCAGCCAATGAGCCCCCAAGCTCGAATCCCGTTTAGTCTATTTCAGCTTTGGCAAGTGGATAATGTCACCAGCCCTTATTATAATGAGTACGGTTATACAGCCAGACATATAGAAAATTTGATCAGGGTAACTAGGTTTCAACTAATCGGAGTCTAAAGTCAGAAGGCTAAATGCCCTAGGGTCAAGTTAAAAATAACTATCCAGGAGTGTGAACGCACCAATGACCCTGAACGCATACTACTGGTTTGACAACAGGACCTGTCATTGTTATAGTGCCATTATAAATGCTGTACATGAACTGAAGTGGAAATTTCCTCTCGAACTGGTTCGTAATCATCTTTTTGGGTTGATAGCACGAACTGATAAAGACTCTTGTGGAAGTTGTATATGCATCCAGAGCTGTTCAGAAGCAACTGGTGGACATTTATTCAGGTGTACAGACTGTAGGAGAAGAGTCAGTGCTCAGAATGGCAAGTTACATGCTGAATTCACTCATTTCTAAGAACTTATTGTTCAGAATTGAAGCTATCGCTGTCTAGTATACTTTTGATTTGCCATCAGTGGTTTCTGAACACTGAGTTGGAATCTACCGCTGCACAGACAAAAAATTTGCGGTGTCTACTGTGCAAAGATGCCAGAATTGAAGAGATGTTGCATCCTACAAGATGAATGACGTGACGCAGCTTTTGGGAGGAGTGGGGGTTGTTGTTTACAAAGGCGAAAACGTCTTGGTAAAGAAGGAACACAATCAGGGGCGGCGTAGAGTGATATCATCACAGTCCGGAAGTGTTTTTAAGTTATGTGAGGGGAGAAATATCCTCTTTGATTGGCTGGCTTAAAGTTAGTCTTGCGTTCGCATCGCTTGGATAGCTATTCTTTAGTCTCTCCCTCCCTAGTATATGCATCCACCATGTTAGACGGTTAGGCCTAGTTTCAATGAGAAACTGAATCTCCAATTCTTATCCTACTAAACTCACCTGGTAATGTGCACTTCTCCTGAAGTTAGTGCATATCGGCTAACCACCACCTCTGTATCCCTACTATCACCAGTAAATTGAAGTCAATTCACATAACTTTCTAAATACCAGTTAAGTGGACAATTCAACGAGATTTTACTAAAGGTGAGATCCTTCCACTGAATGTCTCCTACTGACAAGATAGAAACTACCGAACTTTATTCAGCTATTTTCTCAGACTCCTATCCAGAGCACATTTTTTAGACAGAGTGAGACAGAGTTTAGAAGAACTTCAGTCTTTGTAAGAAGCACAGTGCCAACTAACCACTCCAGTAAATACCCAGCACCTACACAGCAACAACGTTTCACACCGTCGTTGTTGAACACTCTTGGTCACAACTTTAAAAGAGGTAATCGTGGGGATTTCTTATTTCTGGAGAGAAACAGTTATTCAATAAATTCTGAAGTACTAAAGTAGTATTGCTTGATGATAGAGACAATGTTTCAGAACATCAGAAAGATACAACAAGAAAGTGGACGACTTATGAAACATAAATGGATTCGAATTTGAAAGGGGAACATTATTTTTGTCTTTGCAGCAAATATTCTGAAATTGTTTATGGTAGAAATTTTCATAATGAAGTTGTGATGTAGATGCTATTAGCACTTAGAGAATTCAACGTCGAAGGACGATAAAAGTGCTTTAAAAAAATGCTAACTATTAAAGTAAATTTCATCGAAGACGTAAAGAATATACAAAATAAGAAAAATCCATAGTGATTGCTGGGCAGGTTATCACTACCGCCAATTATCGACCCAGCACTGACTGGTTAATACTGAAAAGCTGAAATCAGCTGACACAGTTTCTAATGGTTACCGGTAAATATCTGCCTGGATTCCTGATGCAGACTACCCACACGACGTGATTGCTTCGTCTACAGTGGATGGCAATCTTCCTCAGATTGTCTTCTAGTAGACTGTTTGAAAAATTCTACTAAATTTGTATCTCGATAGTTTTTTTTTAATTGTAAGATACCAAGTGGAATAGAACAGCTGAGTGATACTTCGTAATTATTTTAGTCTACAATTATTCAGTGAATTTCATCAAACTGTGTAAGTCTGTGGAATTGATGCCTTAGTCAAACAGTTATACACTGACCATGGATAAATATAAGTACAAAGGAAAACAGTTGATGAACTGAAATGTATTCATCACTTACTTGGCGTGCCTTCTATCAGTGCAGTCAGTTGGACAGGTTCTGATTCAGCAACAGTTACACTCTGTGGTGCTTGAATAATTCTCGGTGGGATGACAGTAACTGGTTTGGCTTGAGAAGAAAAGTAAAGCAACAAGATAGGGAAAACTTAAGCATTGCATATGATACTTCGATCGAAAATAGCTATCCTGAAAAATTTATCGAGAAACAAATGACAAAGAAAGCGGAAAAGGACTACTCACTATCTGTAAACAAGAAGCCACTTTACATACGACTACAATTCATGGGCGATATACCAAGTGAGATAATTACGAAGAAATTAAGAAAATCAGTTCAAAGAACTTTTAATGCTGGCGAACTACACGTATTATTCTCTACACGATCGATGGTGCTACCTCGACTGAAAGATAAATTACCTAGACTAGCCACTTCAAATTGCATCTACCAATTCAACTGCGCTTGTGTTGGTGGAGCAAGTTATATTGGCCGTTGCTCTAGGAACTTGATTTTTCGTGCTCGAGAACATTTCCCACTATGGCTAAGTAAAGGTATAGTGAAAACCATTAACAGTTCGATATTGGACCATCTGGTGCAAACCGGCCACAAAGCCAGCGTGGAAGAATCCTTCTCTATAATCTACCGGGTACCTAGTAAATTGCCAAAATCATCGAAGCACGGCATGCTCCAAACAGCAGAGGCTATTGCAATTCGCCTCAAACAACCAGTTCTTTGTGTTCAAAAGAAGCAAGTCCAGCTCCTACTACTGCCCTGGCCTTCAGTAGAGACTATAAATTCATGAATTTGTAATATTATCTTTCCTAATTTTTATGACATTCAGCTTATTTTATGTTGATGCTATTGAGCTGTAATCTATCAATATTACTGATTCGATGTTATTTAAACATTAATGTTGTTCATAACACCAATTCATTCATTCACTATAATGTATGTATAACTGTAGAGCCTGATGATGAAGTTATCGAAAAGAGTACTCTTTGTTCAGTATCCATTCTTTTGAAAACTTAAAACGTCTCTAATAAGAAAATTTTCTGTCTTCGTCCACATAAAATGAGCAGTGTCAGCCAACAACCTGAAGCTGACAGAATTGGATGCACTGATAAAGACTTAGGATATCTGCTTAGAAAATCCTTTAAACACTGTATGAGAGAGTTGCAGACAAATAACACTGTTTCACTCAGACCAACGAACTATTCAATTTCGGAATTGTCTAGATTCTTATGGTTGAAAGTAACTAACCATTGCCTGATTATAAGGAATTTATTATTTGTGGTTCCTATTCGTGTGTTAGAAATAATTAAATGACTTATTAGCTCCAGAATTCCTACGTGGTGCCCATATTTAAACGTAAGCATTTGAAACGAAAGTACTGCATAAAATGTACAGTTTACTTGATGTAATGTGTGGTAAAACTGGATTGTGTCTGAGGCTGTGTCACCTGGCTGTTCAAATACATACGACTATGAATGCACTAGCATTAGGACCCGACTATCTCAATGGACTTAGGTGGCAACATGTCAGATTTCGTCAAAGCATCCTTCTCCCAACTTTTATGTAACCATAACAATGACCTTTATAAATTGCTCTGGTGAATTGTACATTCGAGGTTACCAGTTTGAAAAAGTTAGGCTGATGTTTCGTTAAAAAAAATATCTTTCATAAAAGAGAAGTGGAGAAATAAAGTCAGTATGTTCTCGATTAGTGAATGTAGTCATGCGTATTCATGCCTTTTCTTTGTTGCACGTGTCAACTGTCATTTACCATGGTGGTAATGTCACCAATAATTTAACAGGATAAGAGAATAAATTTCTGGTGAAACACCCTAAATCTTGAAAATGATCCCATTTTAATAGATGAGTGTACAGACACTGGCAATCTTGAGACATAAGTTAGACAAAATGTCTTCACATTTCTTGCTACTAATTACTTCACTCGAACTAAACGGGTTAAAATAAACATAATCAAATGAGCTATCGCGAAGTGTCAGTGACTGGTTACAGAGTATCAACAAATCTGCTGAGCATTCATTTTATATGAATGTTTACTCAGCTAATACTGACTCGTGCCAGTAAAGTTATAATACTGAGAGTTATTCCTTGTAGTAGTTTACTCGAGACACATCTTCAGCAAAAATTTCATCCCAGACAAATCGCATATAAGCTTTATAGAATAGAGAAGTGCGCCCGTTCAAGCTGTCATACTCTGGAGAAGCTGACACATAAAAGAAGCACACAAAAGGTCAAAGATACTATAATGGACAAATATTCATGTCAACATTACGAAGATGAGCAGGATTGAACATATGCGCACCGTAGCAGACAATTTTAGACCAGTATCACAAAGATAACTCAACTAGGCATGAATAGGATTCAAATTAATTTAAAAGTAGTTATATGATAGCAGACATGATCGCAAACAGTTACATTAAACATATTTCATACTGAATTCTGAAATTACCTTTTACAGTAACATTAGCCTTGCAAACACTATGTCCATGCGCATTAATCGCTACGCACTGATATTCGGCAGAATCTTCTGGAACAGTTTCGCATAGAACAAGAGTATGAAATGGCGGTGCATCAAATATTCGCATATGATCAAGACTTTTAAGCGGTAGTCTTTCTCCATTACGTTCCCAATGCACTTGAGGTGTTGGCTCCCCAATAACCTAAATTTATTTTTTTTGCAATCAGAAAATAAACAGTTTAGGCTAACATTAAGATATGCAAGGTAAGAGTTAATTGTTTAAAAGTCATTCAAGAATTACGAACTATACTCACTCCAGTTGTGTATTCATTAGTCGCTGTCAAGTGTTCTTATACAAAAAGTAATGACTACCATTCAGTGTACAACTAGCTGTTCAACATACTTTGGTTACATTTTGTTTGTTTTTCCCTTTATTAATAAACTTGTATTCCTTATGTAGACTTCATTCGAACACAGTTTACCGTCTTTTCCATTCTCATGTCTGTTTTGCACTTTACGTCTGCTGCCTCCACCTATCCTATTCTCGTGTGTGTAATTTTTCACACTACTTAAGACTTTCTCTGGAATATTATTATCGCCCTTATTAATTCTATTTAACTGAATTTTAGATTTTCCCGTCGATTGATTGTACCGAAGTGCTCGGTTTCAGGTTGACATGTCGGCTTCTTGTGCAGGTACTTCGACGATATCTAGGCATGTGATTAGAAGTTAATTGGTGGATGGTGACGAGTCCCAAATAGGACGAAATGCGCATACTGCATTCCACTGCTAGTCACCATCCACCAGTTAACCTCTAATTACATGCCCAGATATCGTCCAAGCAGCTGCACAAGAAGCCGACATGTCAACCTGAGACCGAGCACTTCGGTGCAATTAATCGGCGGGAAAATCTAGAACTGAATTAAATGATTAATATGGCCAGTTGCACAAGAGGTGGCTCTCGTGGCCCAAGTGGCTTAATGGATAACGCTTTGGCGTTTGAAACTATGGGCATTGGGTTCGAGCCTCGGTGGGACTGTCATCACTCACTGCGGAATGCAGGTACATTCAGATGATGAGTTCCAAGTAGGACGAAATACGCATTGTGGATTCCACTGCTGGTCACCATCCACCAATTAACTTATGAATTCTACTCCGAATATAAATAAGATTGTAGAGCTTTTGTAAATGATTCGTCGAAAAAACTACAAAGATGTAGGTGAGCAAAGAATATTCTTTTCTCAATTTCACTTGAAATCCATACAGCTATGTAGTGTTCTACAAGGTCATGGAAATGCCCAAAAGGGGCAGATGTTAATATCACTTGGTGACGAAATATATGAAATTTCACATTAGTAGAAATAATAAATACATTACGAAAACTTAGTCAAGTACTGTTACGTAATCTAAAAGCATTAAGTGATGAATATCGCTCAGAAATGATTATCATTAAAACTGTATGCGACTAAAAACAGGAATATTGCTCATAGGAGTACGTGGTGTAAAGTTAGGAATTTGAAAGTAAAGGAGAAAAACCGAATGGATATGGACTAATTTCAGCTGTTATATTTCTTCACAAAGCAACAAGAGTTGGAAAGATCATTCGAACTAGAGAGCACTGGACAACTGTTTTGTCCCAGTTTGGGACTCTTCACAGTGTGCAAACCCACAACTCCACAGGGGACGGAACCCGAGACATTTAGGTTACGAGAAAATACATATAGGGCAGTAAAGTGTATTTTAAAATGCAGATAAAAGGAAGTACTTGATCACAAATGGGTGGTAAAGACTTCATGATTCGTGTGCTCTTTTCTTTGGATCTTTTCTAAGGTCAGAAGCTAAGTCACAAGCACATAACTATGACTATCATTCTTATCCCACAAAAACCACTCCCCCGCTTTAATAGCAGAAACTACCAAGTGCTTAGCTAATGGCAAAAAATTGTTTTAAATGTAGGAAACGAGCTTTCTGCCTAAAATAAACCACCACCCTCTTTAGGGAAATATTTATGTCAGGAAGATGGTACCATTATACCCACCTTGATTTCTACACTATGAAGTCATCATGGTAACTAAACCAGTTAAGGTTTAAGAGTGAGTGTGTGAGTGATAACGTTTCACTAACCTTATGAGCTTGCATGGAAATGCAAGCAAATGAAATGTAAGAATAACGCTTGAGTTTACTGCTTGAATGATTTTATGAATCTAAATAAAACACAAGTCTCAAATATTTCGGCTCCAGTTAGTGAGTTGTATTGCTACCAACCTACATTCCTATTTCATCAATAAATCGCTGTCTATACATAGAAAAGCTGAAACGGCCATTATACTTCTTGTCATGAAAACAGTTTAGTCACTCTCTAATCTTTAAAATCAATCAATACGCGTATATATTACTTACCTTGCATTCAAATGTAATCGGCTCTCCAGCCTCTACAACCTGTGATTGAATAATTGGTGGTACGAATTCAGGTGCTTTCCCAGACACTTTCAGCTGTGTCACTGTCAATCTTGACTTACTACATGCCTGTCCAATTGGATTACGCAGCGTAACTGAGAAATTGCCCATATCTTCTAAGCGGACATTGGAAATTACTAGCTGACTTGTTGTAGGTGTTGTGGTTATCTTTGTGAAAGATGAAAAAAGAAAGGCGAAGCATGCACTGACGAGACGCTTGAAAGTTTAAAATACATTTTTTAAACACTGGCTGACAGAATCCTCTTAAAAGAATTTTGTACTCAAGGAATCTCCAGAAGCGTACATCTTAGAATCATCTTAGCAATTATCCCAAAGTATTTGTGTTTCTTAAAAAAACATGTTCATTCTTAATTGGATCTTGAAAATATCAAAGAATGACAGTTGAAACAGGACTCCGAAAATAATCTGAACAATTGGCTTTTAACAGCTTCCCACCTGTCCAATGACCTTACACTAAACGATTCTCAGAATTCGCAAAAGTCTTCAACTTATCCGCTTGAAATAAGCGCAATCGGGTGTCGACATGATCATTAGCTTTGAAGACCAAGCTTAGAATGCGGTCTGAATGTGATTGCTTTTCTAGAAAGTTGCCAAATATCCATTGAGGTTGGCAGTTAGGGCTTTACTGGAACAGGAACGTTTTCATTTTAATTTGATCGTGTAACAAATGGATCGACGTCTATCAGTACGGTCAACATAAAGTCAAATTTCTGTAAAGTTTCTGTATTTTGATTCTGAAATGAAGTAAATGCGACCATTTGTAGCATCCTAGTGACTTAGACAAACAGGATAAGCAAGTGCGATGGCAAATGAAGCTTAATAAGGAGGTTTACGCAGGGTCGAAGGATAATCTATTCAGTAATGGACAACAGATTTTTCCTCAACGGTGTGTTTGTACTACTCTACTTAACTCCCTTCTCTCCACCACATGTATAAGGACTTATTATATTCCTTCCTAAGTGGGCATTTTTTTATTCCTTCACGTTCCCAGTGGAACATAGGACTTCAAGCTAAATGTTTGCAGATTCTGTAGCAGTGGTGATTATTTTTACAGGATGAGGTTGCTAACCTCATGCCCAAACTTTCCTCTTTACCAGCTTTTATTACTGGCTTAGCAAGGTAAAGGATTGCGTCGGCCAGGGATCGAACCCCGGACCATGTGCATGGTCAGCGAGCGTCCTAACCGCTGTGCCACCGACGCAGTGGGCATAATGGAATATAAAATTAAACTTGGCATCTGAGTACTGAATCATTTGCATGCAATAATTATTTCATGTAATACAGTATAAACGATCTTTGTAATAATAACAATTTGTGTAAATACCTGATAGTTTTCCTTATTACTTATATCCTCTTGTTCATGCATCCAGATTACTTCAGGCGATGGTTCACCATCAAATTCAACCGAAAACCTATGAAAATACAGTATTAAAAAGTAGTTTTATTGTCAGAAAATATTCTATGAAATGTCTTGTGACTCCAGTTAACAGTTCAGTGTTTATTTCTATCACTTTGAGATGCATCACTGGTGTATCAGTACTACTGAGCAAACGGTAATTGATTCGAAACCTGCTCCACTTAACTCTTCGTTAGCCAAGCTCTTCCAATAGCACCTAAACCATATGTGTCACAAACTATGGTAGTCACAACTGAATAAAAAAAGACCATTAGTAACTGACGGTTCCTAGAAGTATTATCTGATTACTTGTAAGATAACTGAATCACCACAATTTCCCTTAGTAGAATGAGTATATTCAGTTGGAATTTGACTTTTGCTGCAGTGAAAAATATTAACCAGCCTGTGCAACTTACTGACTGCACTTTGTTTTGATTGCTCACTGTCTACAACTACACTCTTAACGGTAGATGAACACCTGGATTCATGGAACTCCTCCACCGAAGTGTTTTTTTATAGGTAGTAATATCATATTAAGACTTGACACCTTTTTGTAAACAGATGAATAAACAGCAAGACTTGATGATTTCTAGATCTACTTATTACCTAAATAAACCTTCTCAAATAACATTAATTCAAGATAATCCAAGTACACTTTGAATTATCAGTGAGCCCACTACTATTATATGGACGTAGCTCTCGCTGGCTTAAGAACCCGGCTTTCAACTAACGGGTCGCAGGTCTGATTCCTAACCCACCTACTCTAACCTGGGCAAATCAGTATCAACATCCTTCAGTCGATTAGTTTGGCTCATAGACTGGTACATAGGAGATCTGCTCTGCCTAATTAATTTCAAACAAACACTATCTATAAGAAAAAGACCAGCTTTAACATCATACAACAAGAGATGTAGAGTGGTAAGATTAAGTGAGGTAGGCAGCGTTTTGGTTAGACTGCTTTCATACTATTACTTTTATACTCCGTGGGGCAGTTCATAAACGAAATATAATACCCGACCTGTTTTTACCCCCACACACTTTCATAATCTCCATATAACATCAAGTTTGTATAGGAAAAATAGCAAGCTTCTGTGTAATAGTAATCTTACGTTATTTGTGAAGATTCTGGTGCTGTTACAGGTTGTAGAAATTTAAGGAAACGTGGTGCACGACCTTCAAGCTTCGGTTCAACCTTTTCAGGTATGATTTCAGTAGAGGTTTCTGTAAGACAAGAAAGATTTCACACATGTAAGATTAGGCACAAGTACGATAAGAATTGTTTCACAAATATCAGATATTTTAATCATTATGCCAGCATAAAATTGCCTTGAAGGGCAGTGATGAAATGAATTCTCTAATGCATTAAACCCATGAATACAAATCATTGTAAGCAGAAGCAATTGGATATAACAAGATACACTCCACTAAAGGATATAACAACATCTTATTCATTGCTATTTCAAAATCCCAACTTTACATTTTACATTAAATTAACGTGAGACTGATCGGAATTTTGTGATTTCACTTTTGGATTCATTTGGTAAGTACTGGCAACATATCGTTTCCTTCTCTTTCTGATTAAGTTGAAGAGATCTGAAGTCAACAGTGTGTTGGTTTATTATGACCTGAGATCCGGAACATCTTCTATCTTCCGTTTTAAAACTTATCTGCAGTAGTAGCCATTTCAGTGCAGTGGTCGACAAAAGTCTTCAATGTTCTAGATGGTTTGAATAAACCTCTCAGGGTAACAAATTCAAACTCTGTCACCGTCTTCGTAGGTCTCGTCCATATTATTAAATCAATAACCTTCTGTCAGATGAATTCTCTCCTATTCTTTCATTAGGTTTTATCTCCACTCGAGACTTTTGTTACTGTATGCTATTCAGAAATTTATCTCTTTATACCTTTAATAGATCAAAACACCGAGCCAATCAAATGGCAATCTCAAGGTATAGAATGACTGCAAAGTAATCAAAGAAATCAAGGCAAGAATTGCAGCGTAAAATGATCGAATATTGTTTGTTTAAGTTAATTTTGTATATTATATTGTGACCGAATATGTTGAACTGAAATATTCGATCTATGTTGATATGTCAGCTCCTAATGCGGACGCTTCAGAGATGTTTGAGGATTAATATGCTGTTATTTTGGTCAGTGATGACTAGCAGTGGAATCCAGAATGCGCGTTTCGTCCCATCTGGGGCTCGTCTTCTGGATGCAGCTACAATCTCCAGTGAGTTATGTTGTTCCCGCTGTGACTCAGTTATAAACCAATCGTGGTAGTTGGGCACTAAGGTGGATATGAGTGAGGATTAATAGATAGTAACAGTAATCACAAATGATTAATTAATCAGTTAATTGAATAATGAGCAAGTGTTTATCATTATTATCATTATTGTTTCCTTTAGTTCCTAGAGGAACATAGGGCTTCAGCCGCACGTCTCCATTGCGTTGAGTTCTCTGCCGAGGTTTTCACCTGGCTCCACGTCTGCCCACATTCTTTCATCTCCTCTTCACATGACCTCCTCCATGTCACCCTCGCACTGACAACCAACTCGCCGCTTCCCGTTCGGGTTCCATTCGAGAGCCTTTCATGTGATGTCACTTGATGGTTTGCTTTCTCAGAGCATGGCCAATCCACCTCCATTTTTTCCTGCATATTTACTGCACAACTGCTTCCTGCTGGGTTGGTTCGCTCCCAGAGATCCCTATTGCTGATCTTTTCTGGCCATCTGATCTTGGCGATATAATATTTAAAACACTGTGGTTATGCAAATAAATATGGATCATATTGAAACGCTTATACTGGTAGGTGATCATTTCGGTTCAGTGGGAGCGAACAACTGTTTCAGTCACTAGATCAGAGAATAGAAGCTGAGTAATACGATTATAAATAGTCCCTCATATCATTTCGTTTTCTACCAGTATTATTATCATCATTATACTAGTACCTTCCTTGCTAAAGCATCCATAAATGAATATTACAGCTTTTAGAATCAAGCCTGAACTAAGGAGAAGGTTTTATTCAAGTTTCCAACTGCTCAAATCAAAGGGGTTTCTGTGTATACACATGACTGACTGTAGAAATGAGCATATAATGATATTCACTCATGGAAAAGTGTTGGTATACGCTACATAGGGACAGATCACTTTCATTTTTACAAGAAATGAAAAGAAAAAGATGCACATTTTCCCAAATATATACATTAAATTATTCATTCGTAATGCAGTACAACTTGTAATTAATTCATTGACGGGCTAAATCAACAAGAACTTACTAGGTATCGGTTTCAGTTGTGCACGTAGATCAACAGCTGGCACTACTTCTAGATTAGCAGATGCGCTTACAACAGCATTAGGTTCATTGGCTACTGCCTCCGGTGAAATATCACTACGTTGTGCTACAACATAAATTTCACCTGCATCTTCAGGTAGACATTTTTGCATATCTAGATAGTAAATCAAGCCATCGAAACGACTTAAATGTCGAATTTCTTCGCCTTCTGGTTGTTGTTGTATTGTTCCAACAGTAGGTACTGGTTGACCTTTAATATACCAAGATACAACTGGTGGGGGATTTGCAACTATATGAGCTGTGAAACGAGCATTTTCACCTTCATTTACACGCACCGACTGTGGTGGAGACATAATTATTGGGTTCGGGGAAGTAACTTCTTGAAGCCTAAAAATGCAGAAAAATAAAGTAAGATTTTTTAAAAATTAAATTCTTGACTTTCATGTATATGAACTATTTCATCCTGTTTTATAGTAATAATAGTGAGGTAAGTGTAATAGTCCCCGATTCGTGACAATATATTGGATTCTAATCAGTAACTGGAGATTTATTAGGAACTTGCTGTACAGTACTGAATATGTTACATACATTAGTTTTGGTGTTACCACTAGGTCAAATGGTTCTGGTTGTTTAAGCTCAGTATGACAACAACGATCAGTTGATAGGTTCCCATACCTTTTGACACAAGTCAGTTAGGCATATTCGACATCTTTATGCAGTAAAGTAACTATCTTTGATAATTATTTCCTTGATTCCTAATGTCACTCAGAAGGACGCTGTATTCTTGTTAAGACGACGCACAATCATACCAACACATGACAGAGTCATTTCCTTTCATGTGTACAAGCATTTCTAAATATTTGTGGGCGCAATGGAAATAGTACAATCCAGAGTGTCTGTTTTTCATCTCATCCTTCTACAATAGTATAGCTTAAATCTTTATGACGAAGACTTAAACGTAAGACCGATCAATACTGTGTCAGTGAATCAAGTATTTCTGATGCCCGTAACACTAGATAAGATGCTAATCCAAATGGCCTTTTCGAGTAGAACAAGGCGAGCATTCTGAGTGTCACTGATAACCGCTACAGAATATAGTAGTACTTTACAGTGTATTACTATCCTTGTGAAAGCGATAATTCTGCTTTTTGACAGAGAGAAGACTTTATTAAATGATAATGTAAAGCTTGGTTTCAAAAATATGACTGTTATTTATTTTTTGAAATGCTCCAGATGGTTCTCCACTGTCACTTCCTGTGAGCCTTTGGATATTACATTCAGTAATAATGAAGTAATTGATTATTTGCTAGTTTGCCTACTAACTGTCTGTAAGTAGTATAAAAGTAATGCAAATATTTTGAACTACTTTGGTTAATAAAGGGGTAATGATCGACAACACTTTAATCATTGAAGTGTTCAATATCACTTACCCTTCAGGTTGTTTTTTCGGTATACTGTATCTTCTAGCTGGTTCTTTAGGTTTTTCTTCAACTAAAATAAAAGATCAAAAGAAAAAAAATATATTAACAGGCATTGATTCCTTTTATACTTTTTTAAAGTCATTTATGTGTAGTGGGTGATGAGGAAATGGGATTTGGAGCAGGTGGCCTGCTGATTACTAACCTGACACTCCAGCAGTTGAGATATGTTACCTAGGAAGTTAATCAAGTCATAAATAGACTGTAACAAGTACATGGAATCTGTTGTCTATTGTAAATAATTTTGTAAAGCTGCCATAACAGTTGGTCCGGCGAATGTTCTTCAGTTCTCTTCCACCTTTGATACTTAGACGTCCCTAACAGGTATTTTACAAATCAGCCATGCCCAAGGGATTTTTTTATTACGACAACTAGACAATCAGACCAAGTAATCAGATAGTTTTCTATCCAGGAAACAACCGTTAGTAATGAACACTGTCGCCAATTCCGAATGTATAGTGAACTCTGCTTAAAACGTACATCGTTCCAATTTATTACTATACAGTAGTATATGCTTATATTTGGCTGTTATTTTCTTATCCCAATAGAAGAAGTGTATATTTCGGCATCTGAAATATCTCAGCATTCTGTTTTTGTCTGTAGTAACTCTCATCTAATCACTAAACGGTAACTGCTGTATTAACTCCTGAAACTTGTTCATTCTTATCCTTTTATCATTGCTTTGTACATCCATGCATTATTTATCTTTAACCGTGTACCGTTTTTGACACAGCTGTGTTGTTAATTTATGACAAACTATGACAACGCTTTTGGCAGCATTCAGCCTAGATACCTGATAATATGATTTTTGTAATTTGTATTCATTTAGCAGTGCACACCTTTGACCCGACCATTGGGTTAACTCGAGACTTTTCGGTTAGGAGGGGAGCATGTTTAGTCATTCATACAGCCTATGAATTCTGTCTCCTGTCATCTAACCACATGGTGCCAACGCAGTTCAATGCCATCAGCAAGTAATCCTCCCTAAACTAGTCTTGAAGGGTGCACCTTCATTTCACGATTATTCATTAGAACTTTATAATGCTCATCCTAGAGTTAGGTGTCATCGAGCAGCGCATCAGTGATAACTCATTTTGAAGTTTTGGTTTGTAGAGATTTGAATAATTGGTTACAGGATTTCACCATGAGCTGACATTGATTAGAGAACCACTGGAAAACCTGGGAGTACTGGACAGCTATTTCGTCCTGGTTTGGGATTCTTCGGCAGGACACACCCACCATGGTTCGAACTCAGGAACTTCTGGTTACAAGGTTACGAACTAGCTCACCTTGTAACCAGAAGGTCCTGGGTTCGAACCCTTGTGTCGGGTGCGTACTGATGAAGAGTCCCAAACGGAGATGAAACAGCTGTCCAGTAATCCCAGTTTTTCCGATGGTTCTCTAACCGATGTCAACTCATTTTATTCTCCGATCTTGCATTCTAGTAACGAATTTATATGCACCCTCAACTAACTTAAATTAATCACCATGGTTGTGAGTTGTATTGTGTATTGAATGGTTGGTGAAAGCTATCGGGGAATCCCATGTCGTTCTATTTGATGACACCTTCTGATGACCCATAGTATGTGACTGGCTAGAACTCATACAACTTCGACAGTCTTTTTGCCTTTGTATACACATCAAGACATGATTAGTTCTCATATATTAGCTAACTGCATATGTTCTTTTAATTCAGGAATGCCATTTTTTTCGTTATCAAGGTATCCATGAAGATATTTCTTCAGCTTGACAGCTATTTGCTATTCATTCAAGTATTCAGATGTCGAGAACATATTCTATGGATCTTCAATAGAAGTCAAGTTCAAAAGTAAATATTTCTTCCTGGTTAACTTTGTGGTTTCGAGTACTTTTAATATTTATCCGTTCACTCCATTGAATAGTACTCGAGAACAGCTTGAAGTATCATTTTAAAAAATGGCGTTATTGGCATTTTATGACTTTGTGGTGTTGATACTTAAGATATCTTTTTAGCTTTTTCCCAAATGCTCGCTTACTCACTCAAATTTTAAAAAAACAGTCAAAATAATGTTTGTGCTGAATATATTATAAGTTAGAAACTGATTCTACAAGATAAAACTTACCTGGTGCTGAAATTTTACATCTTGCTGAAGCACTTCCAGATGTATTTGCAGCAAGACATTGCCATGTGGCGAAGTCTTCTGGCTGTAAGGAGGCAATATACAGTGTTGTCTCCATTTCATTAGTTACAATCTGGATACGACCGTCTGCAGTGCCAGTAAATAACCTGAAATCAAAATGTACAGCAGACCCCATTTTAGTAATTTATTTTTACATAAATGGAACAGTTTAAGAGGTGATAAAAATCGTCTATGCAGTACCTTGGTGTGGGAACCAAATCGACCATATTTGATCTTAGCTAAGTTTCTATATTGTGCAAAAGTGAACGATTTCTAGTGTCCAGTGAACATATATACTTCCCCCAACTGAAGGCTTCATATGAGTGAAGACGCCACCAATCACTCTGATAAACAGTCGAACCAGATACACCAATGATGATGATGATGACGAGCACAGCTCCAACAGGGCGAAGCATCTCTATCTGGTGTTTACATCACTTCGATCCGGCTAACAAGCTCTACTAGTTGATTTGCTTGGTATCCGTCTACTTATGTCATTCAATCAGTAGTATACAGCATTATGCATTTATGCCTATTTTCCTGATTGGCATTTACAATACCAATTTTTATTTTTATTTTACTCCTTCCCGTTGCCAGTGGAACATTGGGCTTGAAGTTTCTGTAGCAGTGGTAATTATTTTTACAGGATGGGGTCTCAAGCCTCATGCCCAACCTTCCCTCTTTACCAGTCTTACTACTGGCTTAGCGAGGTAAGGAGAGTGTGTCGGCCGGGGATCAAACCCCGGAGGACCATGTGTATGCTCGGCGAGCCTCCTAACCGCTGTGCCACCGACGCACTTTTACAATACCAAGGAGACCTTACATTGTGATCTAAATAATTTCCGTTGCCAAAGGAAACTGTGATGATATTTCACTTCGAAAAGTGTAAACTAAAAAATCTCTAATTAGTCTGCGAATCGAAAATACGATTTAATTCAGTGCAGTTCTTTCAACGTTCTCAAATCAGTATTAGGGTTTTTTTTGTAATAAGAGTTATCCGAAGTAGTCTAGTCGGAAACTGGTGAGTTTTTTCTGACTCTTTGCTTGTAATCTTGAACCAGTCATCGAATGAAAAAATCTTCACTTCTGGGTCCTTGTTGTTATGCAGTTTAACCAAGACATTGTCATCAGTTTCGCTTATTGGATCAGTGTTGTAGACTGTAATTATCGCAACCTTATTTAGAATATGAAGAAGGAAAGTTTTATCAGACAAAGTTTTACAAAAAAACCCAACTTACTTTCCATCTTTATGCCATGATAAAACTGGTTTCGGTATGCCTTCTGCGACAGCGTACAGTGTAACCTGTTCATTCGGTGATGCTGTCAACTGAATTGGAGGTTTTTGTACAAATCGTGGCGCCTGAGAAATGGTCTGGGGTTTACTTTCAACATGAATGTTAAATTGAAGTTCAGCTTGACCAAACTGGTTAGTGGCTATACAACTACAAAGGCCAGAATCCAGATTCGGCGCTGGTGAATCGAGAATCAGTGAACACACATTGGCACGAAGTGGGACAACCTGATATAGAACAGATTTTGTAAGGAAAATATTAAGGTAATAAAAATGGAAAAGAAATTAGACAAAAATATTCTGGTCAATTATATTCTGGCTCATTAATCGATTACTTCACTGCCTCTCTTCTTTTTAGAGTGCCCTTTTAACGTCCAACCTGAATGTTTTGATTTTTATTCTTTTATAGGCTCGACATGAGTACCTAAGAGATTCTAAGCCTGACAAAACAACCATCCTTGATTTTCATTAGTTCTGAAGTGCCTCGCATGTTATGTGGACAGTGTGTAAAGATAAAAAGAAATTTAGCATTCATTCTGTGAAACTCAGTCACTTTGTATATTACCTTGTGTGTTTTATCCATGCTGATAGATCGTCCGTTGATGAACCATGCTATTGTTGGTGTTGGTTTACCGATCACTTCAACTTCTAAGCGAACAGACTGACCTTCCTTTAAATTTAATACTCCAGGGCAAACAATCAGTGGACCAGTTTCTGCAGGCGACCAAGGAAGTGGACCACGACAGAATACTGGCGGTTGGCCGGTCGGTGCAACACTTACCAGTGGTAGAACGGATAGCTATAGTAATAAAATGTGAAAGAGAGTATTTTTTTTATTAGGGTAAATTAATCGAACAGATTTTATGCAAAAGAGTAGACAAAAGAATAAACAGTATCACTGGTTAAAAGCGTTATACTTATTGCCTGTCTTTGAAGACAAATCTCATGACTTATTAGGATCATCTCACTTTTGCAAGACAGTGTTATAACAACTTTCTATGGCTTTACTGCGATTAATTCATCAGCACAAAGATTACAGAGTAAGTAACATGAGCCTCAAAGTGAATTTCACTACAAATCGAATCTCGATAAGCACAACAACTGAAAATGAACAGCAGCAAAATACAACCAAAGTTACCATGGTGAGATGCTGAGCTGCTAACTGGTGACTTTCTAAAGATTGACTACTTTTTGAGGTATCCAACAGTTACATATATAATCTGGTAAGAATAACCAGTTAGTTCCATGAACCGTCAAACAGACAACCTATCCAAACAGCTCTGTTTGGAAACCATACTGAATAAAATCCTACTGTAATAAACAAGCATGATGACGGAGAAACTGTGTTTGATTCTTTGTTTTCATGGCGAATGGTTGAAGTCGGTCAGAAATCATCAACATTTCGGGCTCTTATTGAGACTAATCAAAGATGTGATACCTTTAGTTTTATGCTTCTTGAGATATTCAACTAAACCTTAACTACCTCTACCAGTCAAATATAAAACAGCTAAACTGATTGTGTCTTATGAATAAATAACTCAGTAAATCAGTAGGCAAGTTATTATGTTCACTTTACTTACAGTAACAATACAGTGATCTTCTCCAACGGGATTTTCAGCTGAGGCAACATAAACGCCTGAATCTTCTTCTGTAGGTTCTGCAATTTCTAAATGTACTGTTCCATCATCCTTGAAGAAGGCAAAAAAAGAAGAGATTTTCGAAGTTCAAGAAGTTAATAATACTTTCACAAATTAATTGTCAGGGTTAATTATTACTTTCTGATTATCACTCCGGATTTCTACTAACCTTCTTCTCAACAAATCTGATTCATAACGCTCTTCAAATCGGTGACATAGGTAGACTATGTGAATTCCTGGTTGACGATATAATACATGCTGGTAAGCCATTCAAATACATACAAGCATTTATGAACTTGGATTTAGATACACTTTCTTGTGAATTTCAGTGGCACACGAATATGCCTCACTCTGTTAGCAGACTTTCCTAACTCGGTCAGTAAAAGCCAAACCATTTAGGTTCGACTGCTAGTCATCCACTAACTGAATTAATAAACAGTTACTTTTATCTGCTTTATACGACTTGTGAAAACAATCGATGACAACTTTTAGAAAATGTGGTAAAACTCTGAAATTACGGCCTAGATCTTCGGTGAAAAAAAAAAATACATTTAGCCTCCGTCCGAAATAAAAGCAAAACTTTCTCAATTTCTTGCCAATTTCATCGGAAGCTGTAGGTTTGCGTAGTTCTAGTTCGGCCAACAGAACCACAGCTTGTAGTTCAAATACTAAAGCTTTTGGTAGTATAGAAAGAGCAGTCAGCACTTTTATCAGTTACTGTTGATGAGTCTGTATTTTGATGGAAGTCTAATTGTTGTGATCTTTCTTAGTAAGTCTAACTCCTGATTTATTAGAAACATGTAACTTATATGTCTGAAAGTCAATTTACCCACTAGATTTTATAGTTATAGTTCCCAACTTTTATTCATAAACGGTGAGTATCTATCTTCACAACCAACTTGATGAATCGCACTGGTTACAACTTCCAATTTTAAAAATCCCTGGGCTTCTTTTTTCTGTATTTAGTCACTAGTGAGCACTGGATTAATTCTGAAGTTCTCCTTGCCAGATTTCATTGATTTCAGGTTATATGATGAAATGATATCATTTAGAGAACCATTTAAAACCAGAGGGTACTAGGCAGATGTTTCGCCCTAGCTTAGGACTATTTGGCAGTATGCACCCATGACTCTATCTGGAATAGATTCCAGATTCCTTTAGGTTATGAGGCGAGCACGTTAACTATTCAGGTACTGGGATGAAATCCGATGACTTGAAACTTCTAAATTCTGTCAGTTAGCGACATACATGGCTCAGGATTTAAGCGGTCTCATTGGCGAGTACACACTAACGATTGTCGTTCTAGTGAGAATTAGTGACCAGTGAGGTCCGTCAAGTTTTCTTCATAAAGTTAAATTTTACCCCAGTGTACATCCATTCCAATGCACTGTTTTTCATATCAAAGTCTTGATTTTCTCTGTTTAGCTATGTCCATAGACTAGCAAAAGTAACTGAATAAGAAGCAAAGATGTAGGTTAATAACTAATAACGATACTATCTCGGATAAGCTTGTGTTGTCAAATTTCTGTTAGTGTAATGTGTTATGATGGTCATTACCCACTATGTCAACAAATGTAAACTAGTCACTTGAAATGAAGGAAGTAACTAGTAGTTAGGCCGTATCATAGCAGTCTGAAAAGCGACACAGTGTACAGAGAAATGAACAAAATGTGTAAGGTAAATACGCCAGTCATATGTTTCTTCCGGAACACTGAGAAGTCACTTTTCGGCTTCACATTAGTTACACTGACTTCAAGCTACAGAAGTTCTTTGATTTTATACTTTTTACCAAGGATAAGGAAAATCGTCCTACCGTACATTTTCGAAATTATTGCTAGAATATTCCTACCTTGTCGAATAGGTGTCATCCATAAAAGAACACAGTCTCTTCACCCTATACTGTTTAAAATAAAACACACACTAGTGAAAGATGACAATACCTGTGTCATATATAACACAGATTGCATGAACTGAAAGAAAAACACTTCATTGGCCGAATACCACCCCTCTCATTCATATTCTCGTCCACGAAAACAAACTAACAGCCAAAATATGTGATACACATTCACTTATATCAGTGCATGGCGACAACTACAGGCACTAAATCCACATAAATAACGCCAAATTCCTATAAAGCGAAGCAGAAAGAACGTCATTCAATTCCTAAAAGCTCGGTAGTCAATTTGCAGACACATTGCTATAGATCAAATTTACCAGTCAACGGAAAAATTGCACAATCAAAGGGTAAGCGCGAGAACAAATATCAACATAAATGAATAAAGTCATTATAAAATCTCCTGGAACAACCAGTCATGGACAAGGTCATCAGAAAAGATGAATATTCCAGCTCCGGTGAATTCTGTAAGGCTTAATTCACACTGAAGTAAGTGGTGAAGGTCTCTGGAAAGACGATTGACGCTTCACAATATAATTATTCAGATTAAAGAACCCAATTGTGAGGAGAAAATTTAATCAAATTTTAGAATAGTATAACTACTTGTCCCCACACCAATAGAATCTAATAGAATCCATTCGCAAAATTGTGATACTATTTAAATTATAAAATACATTCATTCACCTCGTTTTTGAATAAGGAAAAACAGTCTGTAATAAATCACACTTACCAGTGCATAATAATGAATTCTGTCACTTGGATATAATGGTTTACCATTTTTAAGCCATTTTATGGTTGGTTTTGGTTGGCCATGAACTCTACCATGTAGAATTAACGGTGTTCCTTCATTGATCTTAATTTCACTGGGGAAACGTTCTACAAAATTCGGTGGAATCATTTCCGGTTGTATGAATAGCGTTTGTTGTTCATAGGTATAGGATAAATCAGTGACATCAGACACTGGATGACTTAATTTCAGCTCATATTCTGAATGGACAATAGGCTCTGGTTGAATAAATCTAACAAGGAGAATTTAAACAAAAGGCAAAAATCTAGCAGTCAATAGAATATCAGTCAAATATCATTAGTTAACCTTTCCAATGTTGAGAACAATTCATTTCATCCAGCAGATATTTTTCTGCTAAATTAGAAACACAGTCCGTAAATCCAGTCCATAATGAATTTGGTATAAAAGAAGCCAGTGCTGAAAGTGATAAGTATCGTGTATGTAGAACAAATTTGGCGTTTTACAAAGAAGTCTTTTACAGCTTTGTAATCGCTGGATAGATTTAGTTTTCACTGTTAACGCAACTCTACACCATAGTGTAAAGGGAGACTATTTGAACTCCCTGACAATAAACCCTATAGGTGTTCCTCTGTCTGTCACACAATTCCACATCCTGTGAATATAGGAAGGGAAGCACTTGAAGTGCTGTAGTGTGTTGTCACCCTCAGATACAGTTGGCAGGTAAGGGTGGTTGTGTGTCTTATGGATGAATAACTAACTCTTAACCTTCAAGCGCTCCAGTTAGCTTTAGTTGTCATAAAACCTTAAGAGGTGAAATACGAACAAGACTAAGAATTTGAAACAGTACGATTCTATACACGCTTTACAAAACTCACAATAATACAGTGTCAGTTACCAAAACAAGTTTTAGGAAGCAATTAATTGTCAATAGTTATATTATTAAAATAATCACACAAATTTTAGATGAGAACTTTATGACATTCATCACTGTTTCTTCTTCTTCTTCGCATTGTCTTTAGTCTAGGAGGAATTGAACTCTCGACTCTGACTGATTTACTGGAAAGTTACAGTTTTCATTGGTGAAGTTGATTTCTGTGTAAGAGTCTGTAATCTGCAATGAAATTCTAACTTATACTCTGCCAGGGAACAGTAGAGATCAAAACGAAAGATAGAATATTAGGCAAGTGTTCCTGTCAAGTGATTTCTTCGTGATATTTTTGTTCGAATTCATCCATAAGCCTTATCTTTAATTCATATCTAGATAACAATTACCTGAATGTAGTCACAATGCACGAGTACTGAATTGTATGTGGTTGGACGATGTCACTAAATGTGTAGTTGCTTTTATCAGCTTATCAGGTATATATCCATCATGAACACACCTACTTTAGTCAAAGAGCAGTGGACGAAATATCGCGGGATGTTAATGAGCATATAAAGCATAATGAAATTAGTTGAAGAAGGCTTGATTTGAATAATCCAGCATTAAATTCACTTCTACAATTAGAAGTAGATTCTAGTACTCACCATTTGAACATTGGTCAGTCGTTAGGTATTTATGTTTGAGCAATGGGTAATTAGATGTCAACGGCACTCCAATTAATCTTCGTTGATAAGAGCATCTAGTGTATCTTCAAAATATCTTATTAATGTAAAAAGATGGTGTTAATAAGTTGGTTAGCTATACAATTTGTGTATTTGATGACCGATTGCTGTGTGGGAGCCTATAACGCTCATACTGTTTTCATATTAGTACTGTCAATTAGTCGGACCGATAACTCGAATTAGGAGGAAAGCCTAAACCTAGATTTTAGTACATTTTAGCAGTTATCATCGGGGTACATATATCTGGAATCCTGGGAGAAAATTCAAGCCCTCTGTCTCTCTCTTTTTCTGAAGTTTGGACATGTGACATGCAAAGTTAAAAATGTTACCATTAAGGTGTTCAGGGGAGAACTGACTCGGTTGTAAAAGGTAACCACTGTGATTGCTTAGACCTTATTGCATTGATCTCAATCTATCTACGAGGTGTGCAATGTGATAATTTGGCTAAACGGCACACCTAAAATTGATGTTACGTCTGAGAAGCTAATTGGTAGATAGCTGGAATTATTTATCTCGAAGTCTCCCTCAAATCTCCAATTTTTGTCACCTTATAACAATAGAGTTTAAAAAATATGATAAAAACACATTTATGCAAACTTACACAGTCTCTTCACAAATTACTCGAACAGCTCTAGAGCATGAACCAGCCGGATTTGTAGCTGTCACTAACCATTCACCTTGGTCATCTGGTTGCACACATTTAATAAATAATCTTGTGATACCAGCCTCGGGTATATTCTCAATGAATACATTCTGATTATTATGAACAATCATATTATTGTGATACCAGTTCAAAGAGGTTAAAGGTAGGCCTTTAACTTCGACTTCGAATACTACATCCTGGCCAGATTGCAGCTTCACTGGAGATTCTGGGAATCTGACAAATTCTGGTGGTTGAATTGATGGTCTCTGAATTTCGCGAATTGCTGAAAATAAGAAGAAAAAAACAGATCATTTTATTTCCAACAGTTTATAGAATCGCTTTAAAAACAGACGTCTACTAATGAAATCAGATACTTTCATGGGAAGTTTGGAAAATGGTCCATTGAAATTGATCCTCGACAGTTTCTTTCTGTCCAAAAAGTATGCTGATGATACTTTTATGATTTCTGATAATAAATATAACCTAAATAATGATCAATAAGTTTTCAATAGCCCCTACTCAGTTGGACAAACAATCTTCTTTCTGGATGTTCGACTAACGAAGAAAGCCAATGAGACACTGAACAAATCGTAATATAGAAAGCATACGTGGAACGGGCAGTTACGACGAGGTTCCTAAGAATCCGCAGCCATGAGTCGGTAGATAGAGATATCACTATTCTTAAGAGGACCCTAAGTGAAAATGGCTACCCCCACGCTGTATTGATAATTACATAAAACCCAAAACCAATAAAGCTCAGCTGTTATCAATATTTTGTTATTCACACTATATTTTGCATTCTTCGCATGACATTTATTAATATCAATTTTTTAACTAACGTTTTCTTCACTCACTTCACCTACTACACAATTTATTTTCATACATGTTTTCATGCTGCTTCAGATTAACACCCACTATTTTCTGAACATTTCTCATATTATCAAGTATTGGTTTTGTCGGGATTTGACTGATTATTTGGGGGGTTTCATCGTGAGTTGTTATCGGTTAGAGAACCATTGGTAAACATGGAAGTACTGGACAGCTGTTTCGTCCTGGTTTGGGACTCTACATCAGTACTCACCCTACACAGGGGTTCGAACCCAGGGCCTTCTGGTTACAAGGCGAGCTAGTTCGTAGACCATTAAGCCACTGGGACTCAATCCAAGCAATCAAACAGGCAGTAACTCATCGAAGAAGACATTGCGAAATGGTCGCGCTATGTCATGAATTGGCAGAAGTTAGATTTCATGGACCAGCCATTAGATCGGATCGCAGTGGCTTAATGGTCTATGAGCTAGCTCACCTTGTAACCAAAAGGTCCGGGTTTCGAACCCCTGTGACGGGTGCGCACTGGTGAAGAGTCCTAAACGGGGACTAAACGGCTGTCCAGTACTCCCAGTTTTTCCAATGGTTCTATAACTGATATCAACTCATAATTAAATCCTCCAAACAAATTTCTCATAGTACACAACCTTAGCCTAAACTTACTAATCTTCAGTCTGCCTGCCTTAGTTACAAGTTGATTATTCATCACTACTTTGAAATGTTTTGTTGATGTCACCATAGTCCAAACTAATTTTTGTGCTTTTGTTATATTTGACAGATCAAACAAAATCACTACAAAACCCCACACTTGAAGATTGAATATGCACACACCTCCAAAACTAATTATTTATAATTGCGATTGTACAAGTAAGGGGGTCTTTGCTAAACTGTTTGTTCTTATTACCATGTCTGAATGGGCGTTTTATCGCGAAATCATATTTAAATAAGGCATTTACAAGATAGCTAATTAATTTTATGAGGGAATCAAAATTCAAGTGCACTTGATGTAGGAAAGAATTTAGCATCATCCATCATGAATCAATTATTTATATCCCGTGACAAAATAAATACTAATTACTGTCTCTCACATATTTCAGATACTGGGTTAACAGACATTTTGACTCATTTCAGTGTAGTTTTTGCCACAAAAAGGCATTAGTTGGAGAATCTTTAAAAACTAGGGAGAACTGGACAGTTGTTTCGTTCTGGTTTAAAGTTTGTCAGCGGTGTACCCCGGTGATTCAAATGGGGATCAAACTAAGGATCTTCTTATTTCGTGATAAACACTTAATTCAGTCAGTCATTGGTTTGAAATCCGATACCTCATGTATTTCAGTTTCTATCAATTCCCACTACATAGCTACCACTAGCCAATGTTACATATTTCTAAGTCACGGTTATTTAAGTTGAGAGCAGTACTTCGGATTAGTGTAATGCATCCCGAATTGTGTACAGTGAAGTACAGATTTCAACTTTGGTCTAACGTCGACTGCTTGACCTATAACACTGTGACTGATACAATGAATGATAATTAAAAGTGGAATTCTGGGTCGCTGTAGTACTCGAACTGCCAACCTCCAAATTATCAGTCTTGCGCTCTACTTGATGAGCTACAGCAACCATTATGACTTTACTACAATTAATTAAATTCCAGTTGATGGATTTCCATAATGAATCAACATCAGTTAGAGACACCATTGCAATCATTTAGCACGCTGAACAGCTGTTTCATCCTATTTTGGAACTCTTCATCAGCGCAAACTTGCGATCCTGCCAGGGATCGAACCAGCTAACTTCAAGTTACGAAACCCAAACTCATAGTCCATTCAGCCACTTGAACTGGGATTTAGTGACCCCTGAATTCTAGACTTGTCAACTCGTCGTATAGCTCTGCCCTCACCACTGCTTTCGATGCTCATCCACTTCACCTTGGCATAGTGGACCCCACTGGTCACAACTTCCCATCTCGGCTTCAGGAAATCCGTCCAGTAGCCATCAGAGAGTTGGTGATTGACATTCAGATTATAGGATTTGTGGGGACTTAGGATTAATTTAAAATTGTTAGATTTTCGTCACCAACTAACATCAGCTAGAGAGGAGACCTAAAATAGGACGAAACAGCTATCCAGTACTCCCAGCTGGTTTTCCAATGGTTCTCTAACTGATGTCAGTTCATGATGAAATCCTCCAACCAATCAATAAAATCCCTACAAAACCAAATGCTTGAAATTAAGTGATTGTGAAACATTTAAATAATATAAACGACAGTGGTTTCAGTGCCAATGCGCAGAAACTGTAAAATGAAACCACTACACAGTCTTTGTCTTCTGAACGCGCTATTTTGATTTATGAGAACAACTGATTGAAATTTCCAAAGTCAGAAATCTGAATAATATGTTCAACATATTTCGAACAATCTGATCACACACGGACTTGTCATAGGAATATATATGCAATTAATAAAGAGGTAAGAGGTGAGAAAATAGACTTAGGTCAAGTTGAAAGGACATATTCAAGGTCAAAGTAACAATGAAGACCACTAAACCAAATAGCAGAGGTAATAGTACATCTGTTATGGTATCAAAACAAAATTTACCAAGGAAGGTTTAATGTGATGACGAATTGCTTTTGAACGCATAAAGATGGCTTAAACTTTCTAATTGCCAGCTAGGGCTTCCACAAACTTTAGGATACGCCCCAAACACGTTTTATAGATAGGTTTAAAAGATCTGTTAACGTCAATTTTATGTCCTGTCTCTATAATATGTTTTGCAATAGAAGAGCTAGGTCTCCTGTTCTCACCATTAATAGGTTCTGAAGATTCCATTTGTTTCTGGAGCCATTTAGGAATATGCTTTGAAGCCAGCCTTTACTTGCAGAGATCGATGAGTCCTCCCTATGTATGTGTGTCCACACGTACATTCAAATTGGTAAATACAGTGGTTTAGTGGTCTTCATTGTTACTTTGCCCCTGAATATGTCCTTTTAACTTGACCTAAGTCTATTTCTATTTCTCACCTCTTACCTCTTTATTAATTTCATATATATTCATATGACAAGTCCGTGTGTGGTAAGATTGTTCAAAATGTTTTGCGCAAATACATTACAGGATTCAGACAAATTACGTCTTCTTATTGCTTTATCTAAATTCATAAAGGGAACTAATTGTTTTAAAATAATATGTTCGTCTAACCTAACACACATCCGGCTAGCGCTCTCATCACATTAATTTAACGGTGTGACAGTTTATTGGTCTAACTGGATACATTTTAAAAATTATTCCCCTCACCCCTCGTTCATTCGCTCATTCTTTGATTGGTCACATTTCTATGACACACAGTGAGTTGTGTATTCATTGGCTACTCATACAATATACTCCCTTTAGAAATGATTAACGCTAAAACGATCAGGGCAATTATATTTCCACTCATTATTTTCATTCACTGTTATATTTTGTGACACCTACACACCAAAGTGGTTCATACCGTTCTTTGTAACGCACATATAAATATTATTGCAATGTAGAAAAATGAAATAATTATGAGGAAAAACAGTTTTTCCTTATGAATTAATGGGTGTATTTCGCAACTGGAAATAATTATAAGCAGAATTTCATTCATCAAAATACTTATATTTATATTTCAGTGAGAATTAATAATGTAGAAAAATGTGCAATACTGATTCATCGAGCAAACTGAAAGCACGATAGTGAGTGATCCTAGGGACCATCCTAGCTAGGCGTATTTCTCACGACTGACACGAATAAGAACAATAAATTGTGTTTGAAACGTCATCCAGTAAATAATGCTACTGCATTTTGTGATATGCACGTGGTTCGGGGTTCGATTCCCTGTCAGTGCCATACCTTTACCTCCTCTAGTCGGTTGTATGCCCAATAAACACGGGAGGTTGGGTGTGAGACTAGCAACCTCACCTCGTAAAAAACATTACTGCTACTGAAACTTCAAAGCTGAAGCTTGAGTCCTTATTTTCAACTTGGAACGCAAAGGAATAAAACAAACAATAATGAGTAATTGTGTGATATAAGGTAAATAAACAAATTGCGTAATATTTCTCATAATTATAAAACCTTTCATTCACGTTATTTGAACTTGTTGTATAAATCTTATTAACAGACACAAAAATGCGCACCAGAAGTGTGCAGCATTGTTAACAGGGATATTCTGAGTTGCAGTACTCAGTTCGTTAAAACAAAACGCATATGTATGAATTTTCAGGACTTACGTTTTGGCACAACACTTATATTCGCCATAACTTCTGCTTGACCAGCTATATTTTCAGCTACGCATGTGTAGAGACCAGAATCTTGCAAGAATACTTCATTCATGACCAAATGACCTGTCATTAGCACTGGATGCGGTTGTAGCTGATTGACATCAGTCAACTGTGGGCCAACTTGAGATTGTTGATGGTCAGGGCCATCGACTAAAGGTTGACCATTGAAGTACCATTTGATGATGGGAATGGGATTGCCCCAGGCTTCAGCCGTCAAAACTAATCGTTCACCTTCATTTATCTCTATTTCAGGACTGAAGGCCTGATAAATAAATAAATTTAGAAAGGCAGTAAAGAGATAATTACATGTTACATACGTCTAATGTTCAAACATCCGAGTGTAAATTGTTCTGTTACCATCTGGACTTGGTTGTTTGTCTTCACTGAGGATAGAGTACACAAGTTCCGCTAAACAGTCATCAATTCTTATCACCTTTTTAAGAGGTACTTCCCTCGCAAAATCAGTAGATGTATGTTTAGTTAAATGTTTCTCTATCCGACTTAGGATTAAAGAACGAAAATATTATATTAGTGAACAACTACCCAAAATATTTCATTCAAAAGTGTATGATGGTCCATGAGAAAAATGTGCGTATTAAAGTAAATGACGGTAATAATATAAATAATCAATTTAAAGCCTCAACAGTGCAATTGTTTAAGGCAGAAACGTCAGAAGCACTACGTAGGATTCTTGATAAAACTGGAATTAAGGTGACATTTAAACCAACCAACTTTTTCACAGACAAACTGTGCCAGCTTAAGGATCCAATTAGGAAAAACAAATACAATTTGACCAAATGCCATGTAATGACTGTGAGGTCAATTAATACAGGTTACATTAGTAGATCAGGGTATGTTAGATTATCGGAACATAGGGATTCAGCTAGATATAGAATGACTAATCCTTCTAAGTTAAATAAGCTCAGTCATTGCTATGTTGTCATTTCCGTGTAATCACACAGTAGAGTGGGATAGGGTAGAAGTATCGATAACCAGTAGGTGGGGCAGAAGGTAATCAAATCAACGTCAAACGTGTGCAGTCAAAATGACTCGACACCTACCCCTGATACGTGGAAAATTATAATAAAATAATAGGAGGAAGTAAAGGTATAAGAAGCAAGTCGCGTGAATATATTCACTGATATGACTATAAGCAATAAAATATACTACAAACTTCATCCAGTTACCAGTACTGTAACACATTGTGTGTTATATCAGACTTCTCTAATATAGTATTATATTTTGCCACAATTCCCCAAATTCTACTGTTACACTCAAGAAATTAGTGGTGATTTTTCACTTTTCAGACTTGTAACTGATAGGTGGAACAATGGCAAAAAGATATTTTACTAGGCTATTCAAATACAATACAATGGAATAAATGTATCTAAACTCTATTTCAGGGATTCTGGTATGTATCTAGACGGTTTACCTACCGTCCAACTACTCTTATTCTCATGATAATCGGATCAGTTACTCCATTACATGTGCGTCGGTGGAACAGCGGTAGAGTGCTCGCCGAACATGGATGTGGTCCGGGGTTCGATCCCCGGCCGACTCACTCATTTACCTTAGTAAGCCAGTAGTAAGGCCGGTAAAGAGGGAAGGTTGGGCATGAGGCTAGCAGCCCCATCCTGTAAAAATGAACACTGCTACAGAAACTTCAAGCTGGAGGCTTGAAGCTCTATGTTCCACTGGGAACGTAAAGGAATAAAAAAAAACTCTATTACATGAAGGTTGATTTCATCACTAACATCTCTATAACGATAGAAATTCGTTTCAAGAGTGATATGGGAAGTGGGAACAAAGATGGCACTTTGTTTGTTCTTTCTTCCTCTTAGTAGTGCATTTTATTAATCCTTACTATAAGAACACTACTCAGTCCTATTATCTATTGCGTTAAACAAGTCAGAAGTTAGCATATTGGCTTCCCGGAAGGAAAATTCACATTATTTACCAGTACAAATAGGCCATGAAAAGGATGCATGCAATTCACATGCGGTCTGTAGATATTTCACTTGACACTTTGCCTGAACTACTGGATAATTGATGTTATTTATTGGACACTCATGAACACAAAGACTCATTAAATGAAGTAAAGAGATTTTTAGACATAAAACTGATATTTATTATACGGTAAGCCATAAACTTGTATGTGGTAATTTTAAAGAAAAGTAAAAAATAACTTGACTCACCTTTGTGAAATAAGGCTTCTCTGGGTGTGGCTGAGGCACTGGTGATGGTAATCGAACCTGTTTCAAACCTTCCACTTGTACTGTCAACTGGCTCTGACATAATTTATCTAGTCCACCTGGATACGGTCTTTCTGGTTCTAGAAGGATTTAAAGCAAAGTAAAATGAACAAATTACTGACCCACTAGTTCGTGAATGGCAATATCTCTCACATAGAGGTTTTTCACGCATGGAGAGTCAAGATATAAGACTTTAAACTGCCCACTATTTTTTGGCAGTGGAAATTACTGCAGCTTTGATCAAGTATTGAAATGAAGGCAAGCCTTTCTTTGCCTAGGACGTATGGTTTTATGCTTTAACACTGAGAAGAATTTTATTGCTGACTTTTATGTGAAAGTGTAAGGGCTGAGTACAAAATCTTTTAAAACAAAAATTCAAGTGTGAGTCTGCTAGGCGTAGGTTACCCTAAGCCTGTAAGTTATCTTGGTGATGACCGTAGAAGAAGGTCATGATTACGTTTAGATTCCTTGAATAACTTCAGCCAACTGAGTTTTTCAAAAATAATAAAGGCTATTATTCTGAAAAATGTATTCATACACAATAAGGAATTTTCAGCGAGTTTCACTGCAAGGTGTTTGCCCCTTCTGTACAATACTCAAACAGTATAATAATCGATAATATGTTATCTGAGGAAATATTGTCCTATCCAAATTATGGTCCAATGCTACTCCCCAATGTTCTTCCTCTAATTCTTTCAAAAAACTAGCGGTAGACAGAAAATTATTTCAAATCGCACGCAGATACAGACTGCGACTCACTGCGTTAATTAAGAGACTAAAACAATCTGATAAGGAGTAAAAACGATGTGTTTTGGTGGGTACAAGACTTAGATAGGCAAGTGATTTCAGCAGGCTGCCACGATGGCGGCTGCTTAGTACAAAATCCTCTGCGTTGGTGGTTAGTGGTAGAACACTCGCCAAATATGCACATGGTCCAGAATTCGATCCCCAGATAAAACACTCCTAAACCGCATAATCAGTAGTAAAACTAACTAGTAAGGATGTGAGACCATGCGTGAAGCCAGTAACCCCATCCAGCAAAAAAACAACACTGTTGCTTCAAAGTTTAAAGCACGAATCTTTGTGTTCCACTCAGAACGCGAAAGAATATAGAAAATTACAGACGTCAACTAAGTTTCTTTCTAGACTTATGTGAATTCCATATAGATGTGATTTATTCGCTCAAACTCTTGACATTTAGCCAACAAGTCCTGGCTTCGACTCCCACTCCACACATTTCAGCCAATGAAACTGGGTAGTATCATCAGCTCTCACATACAGCATGTGAGACTCGTAGCCTGATACATGGAAAATCTGCTTCAGGTAAATGAGTTCTAGCATGAGAAAACCATAAAAAGCGAAAACACTTAAAAACATACCCAATACTGTAACCAAGCCTGAAGAAATACACTTTCCAGCTGGATTTTCTGCAATTACAGCATAACGTCCAGAATTTTCAAAGAATGCCTCTGGTATACTAAGCGCATAAACACCATCACCTTCTTTTTCAAGTATGTAATTGGGAGAACTTGTGATTTCGTGACCGTCACGTGTCCTAAAATGCAAATAAGTACATGGCGATATTTACTTTTAGAGAATATGGGGATGCTTCAGTATTTTTTTGTTTTTGGTACCGTTCTGTCTTATTTTACCCCGAGTTTAGGTCTCCGTATTCACATAATTTTGATTATTCGTTCTGCTTCACAAAGTACCCAACCTCTAACTCCATTCAGATCATACATAGTAACCTTGTTTCTTTGTCTCTCCTCTGCCACTTTTAACGCTTATCACCCTTTATCAGTAATATGCTGATTTTCAGGTGTTGGGTTGTAGAGATTCAATTCACTTCAAGTAAGATCACAGACTGACATCATAGCGAATTATTATTTCGTTTAGTCTCAATCAGTTTCCCAGTGTGCTTAGTCATCGTAATAACGTAGTGTATATTTACCTATAATGATCAGTCAGGTTATGAACTAATTTATTTTTATACCTAAGCATATATATGCGCATATACATGGGTGTGAAAATATTTATTTCGTACTGATTCTAACACCGAACGATGTTAAATTATTTGTGTTCCGCAGTAGTTTGGCTGAATAGTTTCATTTGTCAACCTTAAAACATGCTACAGCTATATGGATGATATATTTACCATTATTAAGAGAGCTGAATACATATAAACTGCACCTCAAATCGTATAAAGTTTACTAACGAAATCAAGTCGGATGGAGAAACACTAAATTTTCTAGACTGTCTTCTGAAAAGACAAACTGGCTAATATTTAGGAAACCGAATTTTATTCAAACAAACATTTGAATTTCCTATGTGATTAATCAATAAACATGATAGTTTCAGTTGCTTTAAATCTCATAAACAGAGTCAGAAACATTATGACTGTTAACGGTGGTGTGGAGAATGCGATCTCAAAAGTGGTTATCCGAAAAAGTCGCTAAATAAAATTTTTAATAGAAATAGTAGGAAGGAACAGAAAAGGACTGAAAAATCCTGGGCATCAACAACAGTAGCCATTCCATATCGAAAAGATACGGCTGGACGACTTCAAACGGTATTTGCTTCATAAGGTATTAAAGTCTACTTCAAGCTTTCTAATTCTTTAGAGAAAGCTTCAGTCAGTGGTAAAGATATATTTCTTAAAATGACACAAGACCACTGTATCTATATGATAAAATATTGGGAATGTGAGATCTGCCATATAGGGGGGAAAGAAGTAAACAGGGGATGGTTAGAGTGAATGAACAAAGAGTGTGGACAAAAAGTCCACCCAGAAAGGAAGCAGAAGTAAAGAGTCCGGAGAAAAGATCAGCTATAGAAATGCATGCTATAGGAAGCATACATAAGATCGGTTTTAACAATATCTAGATTCTAGGAATAGTCTTGCATTCATATAAAGAAAGACTGACATATGAAGCCTTGCATAGTTTAACTATGTCGAATGCAATAAGTAGGAGAGAAGGGATAGACCTACCACTCATCTGACAGACTCAAATGTAACAAAACTGATGAAAACTATTCGTTACTATCTTTTTTTGGACGCATTGATATGTTCTCCATACAATAAACGACACGTAAGTACATGCACAAACAGATATAAGTATACTGTGACAATTTAAAACTGACATTTTGACATTATCACTACAAATATATGAAGACCACATTAAACTTATTCAGTTACTACAAATATTATTTACCGGCAAGTGACATTACATCGACTTCATCTTAATTTCTTTCCTATTTGACTATATATTTTGATGTTGAATAAATTTCGTGTTATTCTGCTGAAGAGGCTGCAGTGTACACAGCTAAACTTTCAGGAAAATCTTGTTTTGATAATCTAAACACACGGATTATAAGTAATTTTGTAGTGATTCAATCTGGCTTGGAGCTCAGATTTTTCCAAGGGATTCGCAACATGTTTGGACTATGATATTTTAATCTGTTAAATTGCACACAAACTTTGGATTTAATGCTTGCACTTTATTGTTATTATTGTTCCCTTGCGTTCCTAGTGGAACATAGGGCTTCAACAAAACATATCCACTTTGTTCTGTTTTCTGCCGTCCTCTTCAGCTGGGTCCACGATTGACCAAACTCTCTCATCTCTTCCTCACACGATCTCCTCCATGACACCCTAGGACGACCCACTCGTCGCTTCCCATTGGGATTCTACTCGAGCGATGGCCTGCATTGCCCACGATGTCATTCGACGGCGTCCTCAGCCTATGCCCGATCCATTTCCATTTTCTCCTACATATTTGTTGAGTGATCGGTTCTTGGTTGGTTTGTTCCCTTAGTTTCTTGTTGCTTATTCTTTCTGGTCATTTGATCTTCACTGTGGGGCCATCGAAGGTAGCTGTTGATGAAAGTTTGAAACCTGTTGGAAACTCTTTTCGTTATATGCAGTGCAAGTTTCTGACCCATATAGAAGGACCGACTTGACATTGGCGTTGAAAATGTGAATCTTGTTCCTTGTGCTGAGTGCAGAAGATTTCCAAACTGGTTTCAAGTTGATGAAGGCGTATCTTGCTTTTCCGATTCTGACTGACTTTGACATCCTCATTCGTCCCACCTGTGGTTGAAACGATGCTTCCCAGATAAGTGAAGGAGATAACCTTTGTTAAATCTCTCCCGTTGATGGTGACTGATGCTGGCTGTTGTTACTGTTGCTGTTGATTGGTTATATTCATGCAGTTTAGTTTACAGGAGTTCGAATACTATTCAGATGTTAAGCCTATTGATTCCATTTAGCTAGTAATTAAGACATACTATGACAGTAAAGGTGTTAAGTAGACAAAATGATAAATAATTTGAGAAATTTAAATAGAAAAAAGTCTCGATATTCAACAAAATTGAAGTTCATTAGAATTTATCTCACCATGTAACTGTTGGAGGTGGATGACCATCAACTTTCACAACCAGTCGAACTGATTCACCTTCATAAATAATTTGATTTTCAAGTCCTTTAATAAACTTCGGTGCTAATAAGCGAGCACGTACTATTAAATTTGCAGCACTTTGTGCTCGACCTGCAACATTTTCAGCTTCACACATGTACTCACCAGCATCCTCAGCAAAAGCCTTTATGTGTAAGAAAAAAAAATAAAACTTTTTAGACATGTTGGAAATAATTACAAATCAGATGGGCAAACATTCCGAAGTGGCTGATTTTGAGGTGGTTAACGCATGGTATTGTGAACACGGATTTGTTTGGAACTCCTCAGCAGCGTTCATCTAAGGGGATTCACTTCTAGTGACAGCCACATTATCAGCTAACTACTAAATCAGAACTTGTTTGGCATCATTTAGCCAAGCACCCTTGCTTTCTTACACACCCCCTCTTTAGTGGTGATGTGAACATATCCACAGAGATCTCTGCGTCCATTTCAGTGATTTTCTGATTTTTTTTTCCGACTGTCAATACCGTATAGCATTCACCAACAGTCACCAAAGATAATCACATGGCGGTCAGCATCTCACAATGGACTGCTGCTACTCGACGAACGAGTTCTTATAAGTTCAGCACTGCGTGTGTAGGTAAGTTTACCACCTTCCAAAAACATTTCTTACTTGCTTCAATGTGATACAATAGACAATCAGTTTCACTTGCAAGTAGGGAACAGAATCACACATTTCACATCTATTGGTCAGAATTTAGCGGTTGCTTTATGACAATTTTCAGTTACGCTTTGATTTGATGATTTGTTGTCTGCTGAATATTCTATATCTAAATTAACTCAGTCATATTTTTGTATCTAAATGACAATTTACTAACTATTAAGAAAGAAGGGGTTTTCGTAATATATATCTGGATGAATAGTTGTTCTGTATTGTGATGTGATCACTTCAGCAGGAGCTTGTGACAGTGGTAGCATTCTTCCTTGAGCAGTCATCCCACGAACATTCTGTTAACCATCTCTATTAATAGCTCAGTTACAATCAGTTCACCTTAGTTTCACCGATTAAATAACCGGTCATTTGTACCACAGTAATACAGTCAATTTATACAGTCTGCGATATGAGATTTGAATGAGGGTAATTTAAAATGCAAAGGACATATTATTCTTGCCCTTGTGTGTGTGTGTGCGGATTTAGCAGTTTCACAATTTGATTCCCATCTCATTTGAATACACTGTGAAGCCATCGCGGACAATGCTGTCTAGGGAGACAGCTTAAGTTTCTCAGACAAACCATCCAGCTAAGAGAACACAAGGGCGGTAAAACATTCGTCTGAACTACAGGTTCTCTTCATCATGTGTAGATTTGTTAAAATTTTGTGTGACTTTCTGATTTTGGTGCACGCTGCATATTACTCAACTGTATTTCTATCTTAAACAGTTCAGCTGACATGCATCAAAAAGATAGTTTTTATTATTATCGCATCTATTGTTTTGAAAAGTTCTGTCAGGGAGGAGTGGAGATGTATTATTGGTCATTTCTTTTCTAATTTAAACTGTTAACTAAAGATTAAGCTTTAATGTAGATGAAAGATTGTGTCATTGAATTTTTATTGGTGTGTTGTTAACCCCTTAGAACACACAGTTTTCACACATTAAACTTGTAAGTTGTTGGTCAGGAAACATAACTAACTATATAAATAACTATGACTATACTTCCTGGTTATTTGCCCTGTTTCTTGGTAGCATAAATTATTGCCTTCTCAGTCTCCATACCTTGTCTTCACAATGTCGGCACAGTACCCTACTGGTTAGTTATAAAGAGTAGTGTGTTAAAGTCCCGCGCCTAAACAACGACAGTCTTGCTGGTTTCCAAGCAGGCAGTTAGAGGAAATCCCCAATCAACTGTTAGCTAGTTACTTCAAATATGCACTTTTATTTTTGATTGGTTGGAGGATTTCATCATGATCTGACAGCCGTTAGAGGACCATTGAAAAACCAAGGAGTCCTGGACAGTCATTTCCCAATGTCTTCGATGAGTAACTAGCCTCACCTTTGACCTGCTGTACCCTACTTTTACCTTGCTATTTGTACTAAGTCCTTAAGAACAGGAAAATTATAAGGAGATATTATCTCTCTACGGGTTGGTTGGCAGAAAGATTGTTAGTGTAGAACTTGGGCACTGTAGTAGGATATGGTCTCATATCAAAGAAGTTTATTTGATATAACACATAGTGATTTGGCGTTGACAACCGGATGACATTTAGAGAACACTTGAGAACACTTAATCATATCACTGTATTCACTTGGCTCCATAATGTAATCTGCCTACTTTTCTTCTTCTCTTTATTATTCATTGTAATGTTTCACTCATCTTGTATACGCGTTGCGTTAATAGAAATGACAAATTGCATAAACCAGCTTCTGACAGCTCGAAAAATCTCGGTCAATTTATTTGACCCTAATCAATCAGAATTACGTAATCAGCCGTAAGTTTGGTAATGTAGACTGTTCTTCTCAAACTATATCAGCCTGAATGTTAAAATTTGAGGTTGATTCAGCAGATCCATAGCAGAAGCACCATCATAATTCTAACTTGTCCCACAATTGACCAGAATTTCTCAACAAACAAATCCGCCTTTTTGCAACTCATAGTGAATAATGATGCACCTCACATTGTTTAGAAGTTCTACGTGTGGTGGTAGATTTCATTACAGTCAGAAGTCAAGAGAAATGCTGTAAGGACTTTTCGACCCTTGGCATCATTACAACGATGGTTAGATTAAAAGCTAGATTCATAAATTCCTATGACATGAAATTAACTAGCATATGACGTTACGCAAGTCGTACATGACTGGAATGGCTTAACAGTAATGTTTTTTGGTTAAAATGTTGATAAGTATAGGAAAACAGGGACAGCCATAAATAGGAAAACAGTGTTAGTGAGACTGAGTACTTTTTGTAGAAAAATTCAACGGTGGAACCAGACTTTCAAAAGAAAAACAGAATAATGACAGTAAACAGAAAATGGCTTACTTCGCTAAGTGTTAGTCGTACACGATTATCGGTATAATCTAATCGGAAATCAGGACCATCGCATATCTCTCGTCCAGAACGGTACCATGATATTTTAGGCTGCGGTACACCATTTACAAGACCTTCAATTACGACACACGCTCCTTCGTCGGCTATTACATTAGTCAAAGGCTTGACAAATTCTGGTGGGATTGGCACTTCAACAATGACATCAATTGGACGATACTACAACAAAAAGGGGGGGGAGAATTAAGCAAATTATCCAAGTAGTAAAGTATCTTTCATTTCAAGGCTATACTGTACATTAAATATCCATTCCTTAAATAACCTTTTGGCAAATTATGGTTTTCTATTAGATCATGGAAAAATTCTTCAGCACGATAATTGCTGTCACAAACAATTCGAAAAACGCTAGATAGCTGGGAGTTTCATTCGAAGTTTATATTTACCGACAGTTCAGACATCAGTCTGTTTCCGTCAATGTAGTTATGTCACTAAATACTGAAAACAGGAGTTCCACTCAGTGATATCAATGTTCCAGGTTAAATAAAGCCGTTGGTTCCTATGCCCCTTGCAAAATCGATGATACTGATATAGAAACCCAGTCTGAAGTTAAGTATCTTGGATTATTTCTCTCTTCTGACCTATCTTGGTCTTCTCACGTCTTAGCGATTTCTCAAAGAATATTTCGTCTGACTTTTTACATTAAGAAGTTGAGGCACTCAGGCATAACCCAACCACTCCTCTTACAGTCTGTCAACTCGTGTATTTTACCTATTCTTCTTTACTGTTCACCATTATTCTTTCCTGGATTGCTAAAAAAGGACTATGTCATACTTCGCAGAACTCTGAAGACTGTCAGTAGGGCGAGTGGTATCCCATTGGGCCATATCGTTGGCACTGTCACCGATAGGCATTTGATGTCATGCAACAGATTCGCTAGAGGAATTTTGTCAGACTCTGAGCACCCACTCTACCAGCAGCTCCAACCTTTTGTCTCCTCAGGTAAAACAAGAAGTCTTTTCAGAAGACTTTATGCACGTACGTCTAAGTATAAAAATTCCACCAAACCATATTTAGCACGTACTCTATGTGATGAAAATAGTGTCAGAAATGAACTAACTAACCTTCTTAGCACCACTAAATAGACCATTTCCTTCAACCTTAAAGCATCATTATTATTATATTATTGTTCCCTTGGGTTCCTAGTGGAACATAGGGCTTCAACTGCACGCCTCCACTTGCTTCTGTCTTCTGCTGTACTTTTCACCTGCATCCATGTTAGTCCATGCTGTATCAGCTCTTCTTCACACGATCTCCTCCATGTCACCCTTGGACGTCCCACTCGCCACTTCCCTTTCGGGTTCCAATCGAGTGATGGCCTGACGCGCGATGTCATCCAGCGGCCTCCTCAGCGAGTGTCCAATCCATCTCCACTTTCTCCTGCATATTTGTTGAGCAATTGGTTCTTGTTTCGTTTGTTCCCTTAGTTTCTTGTTGGTGATTCTTTCTGGCCATCTGATCTTCAGTATAGAACGAAGACAGTGGTTGATAAAGGTCTGCAACAGACTGTTGGAAATATTCTTTGTGACCCGTCAAGTTTCTGATCCATCGTATAGAAGAACTGACTGACTTGACGTTTGTATTGAAAATCCGAATTTTGTTGTTGTTGCTGAGTTGAGTGACGAAGATATCCAGATTGGTTTCAGGTCGATGAATGTGTTTATCGCCTTCCCGACTCTCGATTTGACATCCTCGTCCGTTCCTCCTGTAGTTGAGACAATGCTCCCTACATAAGTGAATGAAGTAACCTCTTTCAAATCCCTCCTCCCGTTGATGGTGATTGGCACTGGATGTTGCTGCTGTTGTTGTTGTTGGTTGGTTGGTTATTTTCATAACCTCCGTCTTGTCTATGTTCACCTGGAGTCCTGTTTTTGCTGCTTCTTCGACCAGTTTGTCGGTTTTCGCTTGTAAGTCTTCGATTTTGTGTGCCATCAAACATAAATCATCTGCGAAGTCCAGGTCTTCTGGGTTCTTCACGTCGGTCCAGGATATCCTTGTCTTCTCGTTTCCCACTGTCTGACGCATAATCCAATCCACCACAATTAGGAATATCATTGATGATAATAAGCACCCTTGTCTGACTCGTGTGTTTACTTTAAACGCCTCACTGAGTTTTCCGTTGTGGATAACTTGACATGTGCCGTTGTCGTACAGCTGTTGAATAAGGTTGATGAATATTTGGAGTACGCCGTAGTACTCGAGTAGTTTCCAAATTACTTCGCGGTCAACGCTGTCGAAGGCCTTCTCAAAGTCTATAAAGTTGATGTAGAGGATTGATTGCCATTCCATGCTTTGTTTGATGATGATGCGTAGAGTTTCAATTTGGTCAGAACATGATTTGCCTTTCCTGAATCCAGCTTGTTCTGGTCGGAGTTCTGTATCCAGTGCGTCCTTTATTCTCTCCAGGATGATGCGACTCAGGATTTTACTTGGCGTCGACAGGAGCATGATTCCTCGCCAGTTCTTGCAGAGTCCTAGGTCGCCCTTCTTTGGTAGTTTCACTAGGTAACCTTTCCTCCAGTCAGTAGGCACCTTTCCCTCTTTCCAGATCTTTTGCATCATACTTTATTGTTATTGTATTTCTTATATTTATAATCCTCTCAATTTTTTCGTCTTGTTTATTTTATTTTTCATAAGTGTGGAAATAATTTTAAGCTGTATTATGACTGTTAACTTTGTATTTCACCTCACTATACCATATCAACAGAACATTAGACCCAATTATCCATAACATGCTAAAGTTTCCAAACTCAATCGACAATACCGTTTGAAACAAACTCACTGTTATTAGTATTTATTATTATTATTATATCTAATAATTATGTCGTTAATGTGGACAAATTCCTCCGATTAATTTTTGTTTTAATTTTTAATTTTATATACACTTTGAGTAAATCAGATGCAATATTGTGACAAATGCTGAGAATTCCATTCTGTATTATAAGTACTGTTTTTGGAATAAAGTAAATTATTATTATTATTATTATAAGGAGTGAATAGCAACAGTTTATGAAGAGCATAATGTTGACGATAGTGAATAGAGCAAATGAAGTTCCCTAATAGTATATTTTGGAAGTGAATAGTTTTCTAAACTAATATATGTTCAAAACTTTTACATATATCCTATTAATCAGCTAATGAGTGACTATGCTATTTAGAGTGGTACATTTGCTCTTACTTGCAAGCTCTTCAAAATGCAACAAGCTTCTTTTCGTAACGTAAACAGTACGAATCGCCCTGGAGATGTTTGATCTGTTTATGAGGACTAAAGGTTAACTGGTGGATGGCGATTAGCACTGGAATCCAGGATGTGCATTTCGTCCCACTTGGGATTCGTCATCCGAATGCACCTGCATTCCACAGCGAGTGATGATGTTCCCAAATAGGACGAAATGCGCATCCTGGATCCCACTGCTAGTCACCATACACCAATTAACCTCTAATTACATGCCCAGATATTGTCGAAGCACCTGCACAAGAAGCCGACATGTCAACCTGAGACTGAGCACTTCGGTGCAATCAATCGACAGGAAAATCTAAAATTCAATTAAATGTTTATGAGGACATTCAACTTTGTATTAATACCTGTTTATTACAACAATAAGCTTCAAAATTACCCGCATGTTTTCTTTTAGTTTCACTGTAACTTCGACGAATGAATAAGCCTTTGTATAACTACTATGAATGCAAGGCTAATTCTATGATGTAGTCACTATAGAATAAGGTTCTCTTGAATCAGCCATCTAATTGCTTCTTTTCAAGTGCTGGTTATCAAGATCTAATTCTGTCTTGTCATTTGGATAAAGTAAAACCAACAGTTTAGGCAGGATAAAGTTACATCATTATATTTCATCGATTTCTCGACAGCCTTATACAATCTAGCAAATTTGTATATGTCTATGTACAGAGAACATTTTTTTAACCTGTTTGCAAAGGTAGCATGGTTTCATTTAACGGAGTACTCCAAAAATAATAAAAGGTGCTGAGAAGTTACACTTGTATAACTGGTACACAGAAGGTTCAAGAGAAGAAACGGCTTCGATAGTGATAATGTCAGGCACCTCCTTGATACAGCTCATGCGATGGACACTCTGAAATCCTTTGGGTAATTTCGACCTTTAATTTTTCAAATAGACAATATAGTTAAGTTGTCTTCAGGTTTACTGAAGCAATTGCTATCAAATGTTAAAGACTCGATTTATGTGTCCGGAAAGAATAAATTAAGAGGCTTTCCTTGCCCTGCTGACTAGATTTCCTGACACTTCCTTTTATCTGATAACATCATCCCCTTGGGTATATTATATTTTTGTTCTTCATTTCTGTTTCTATTGCTTGAATTATGCAACTTTTATTATCACAAACTTATGGACCTCTTTTTCAAAAAATCCGAACATTAAAAAAAACTTTAACCTTGTGTGAATAAGCGTGACTTCTGACCACTTTTTGTTATTTTTGTAGTCTCCTGTTAACTAACATCTGGTTAACTTTGCTAGTACGTTGAAAAGTACTCTGTACGTACATTTGATACAATTTTTTTCGGTTGTATGCAGCTGATGAGAAACCGATGAAATAAAATGATTTCGTCTTGTCTTATTCAAACAGTTGCTTTTGCTTTATTCAAATTCAAAAAGGCTAAGAGTGCACGGTCTTTCTTGCTAATATGCCATCTTATCAGTTAAGTGGTTGGTTTTAACTAAAAATAAACTGTTAGAATCTAGGAGGATCCAGTCACTAAGATCCATCAGTTGTTCTAGCTGTCCCATTATCATCCGGTTTCCGAACTGATATCTAACACTGTATATTTTGCAACTTTTTTCAGTATGAGATGCAGTGTGCAAGTTATGCAGCCATATTATCCGCAATTTCAGTTTCATTGGCCGTATGGACCACAATTTAGCATTAGAATTTCAGGATATCTATTGGGAATCTAAGAATACTTTCCATTTTGATTGGACACTAGTAACTAGTATGACGTGTCTATTCCTTTCTTTGGTGTAGACTGAATTCCATCAGTCGGGTTTGCAATGTGGTCACCATTCTAGGTAGCTCCCCATCACGGTGCACATTGATTGGATGATATTAGATAGTTGGAGGCAATCGGCTGAGCTAATAGCGAGCCCGAATAGCTCAGTGGTAACGTCTCTGACTGCAGCACTGGGTTCGAATCTCAGAAGGGACATGAGTTCCTTCATGGTAGTTGCAGACACGCCTTGCTGACTGGTGAGTGCCAACTAGTACGAAACCTGGGTCCAAGGGTTCCTACCGATTGCCTCCAACTATCTAATATCATCAAATACTTTCCACTATCAAACAGTATTAAACTCGACACATAAAATTTTGGTGACAAACTTGAGTCACTGAATTCTCACTGTTACAATAGTTTTTGAGGCGGGGTATTTCGATACAAGAGTATAACTTGTTCACTGTGGTAGGGTATTTACAAACTTAATATTTCGACAAATCTGGATGGCTACCCAATTATGCAGAAAAAGTGTACTACTTCTAACTTTATCGAGTACTGGAGAAAATAACTGTTAAGAAAAACTAACTTTTTCAATGAATGAACACAAGTGATTGTGGTTTTTTTTCTTAAAACGACTTAAACACATAGGGATTACGGCAGGGTCAGTTGCCAGTACCGTAATAGTTGAATACAACAGAAACCAATCATAACTGACTGCGTATTGCTAGATCATTCAAATATATGAGTTTTTCGGTGCCATAGGACTCAGATCCAGCCGCTGAAATGTATTTAAATAGCTTCCCGATATGCCTCATACGGTAAGCCATTAGACTACGAGTGGTCTACACGAAAAGCAGTGTTTAGTATGATTAGTAAAAGTGGACAGAACAAATATTAACATACCAATGTAACTACAATATTCTACAGTAAAATGTTTCACTCATTCGATTTTACAATTACCTGAGCATGGAAATCAGCAAGTATTTGACTTTGATAATGTTCATCGTGTGGAACAACTGGAACAACATTCATATTTGTTTCATGCTCAAAGGTCGATTCAAATATAGACGTCAATGATGGTCTGCTTGGTATTCGAGTTGAAATTGCACTTTCATACTTGAAAAAGACGAAAATGAAAATTGGGAATAGAAATTTTAAAAGGCGTATTTTACTAAAAATAAAAGTTGGAAACACGCATCACCGCTAAACTTCGAAGCTCAGTGGTATCTATGCCGAGCTGAGCAGTCAGGAGCTTAATAAGCATTCATGAACAAGGTCTATGCCGAAGTGCTATTTCAGAAAGCAACCAGTTATTTTTTATAATCTAATGTATGTATGTCACAAGGGAAAGGATTTTCAAAACCTTTATCTATTCCTTCTACGATGGACATTTTTAAACACCACTTTCCTGTGGAAGTGGAGGAATATCCACAATTTACAACTAATCTAACAGCAACAGCTTAGATTACACAATGCGACTGTGAGTTACACACAAGTATACAAATAGCCACTCACAACTTGGGTAACACAACTGATCTAATACACTCAGTTAGAGATTATTATTGATAAGACAAGATAGTTTAATGAGTCCAGAAAAGCATAAACAACGAGATGATGTGTATACATTATGTGTGATGGTCATCTTTGTTATTAATATCACTAGGCTATCCCGAATACTGTCGTAACGCAGGTTGTCTAGTTTCGTAGCCTTTTCGCTACACTTCCTTTGATTTTAAAGAGTTATGAAATGCACGAATTTCTATAATTGTAAATTATCTTGAGTATCATAGAAAGTAAAACTATGGTTAGTATGACTGTGAAATTCATATCTTACCTGCTTTAACTGTGTCTCCATCAGATATGTTCGTTCAAAATGCAGCCGACTTTCATAGCCACTAATCACCTCCGTCTTGGCGGATAAATCTGTTGAAAGTTGTGTCTTGTATTCCGGTACCAGAGGCACAAGTTCCATTTGACGTTCATGTTCTCCTTCAGATGTATAACCTTCTTCTAAGTATGGGTGGCTGGCGACACTTGTGTCTAATTCAGTACGATATTCTGGTACCATCGGTGTAACTTCAAGATTTACAGGATGTTTGGTTTCAGTAGAATATCCTGGTACCAATTCTGGTTTCGATAAGACATCGGTACTTAATTCCGTTTTATAAGAAGTATATGGGACCATAGGTACCACGCTTAATTTATGCTCGTGCTCTTCTTCAGATGAATAACCAGCTTCAAGTATTGGATGACTCGTAACTTGTCTTTCCATTTTAGTATGATATTCTGGTACCATTGGTGTAACTTCAAAAGATCGAATATGCTTCGTCTCTGTAGCATATCCTGGTGTTAATTCTGGTTTACTATAAACATCTGTTGTCAATTCTGTCTTATAATCAGTGTGTGGTACAATCGGTACAACATTCATCCCATATTCACGTTCTTCTTCCGTTGCAAAACATGTCTCCAATGTTGGACGAGATGGTACATTATGTTCTAAGCATGTCTGATATTCACGTCTCATTGGTATAACGTGCAGTGAACGTCTATGCTCTTTCACAGAAGTGTAACCAGAGGTAACATGTGGTCGAGCAACCATATTTCTTTCCATACGTGTTTTATAATGTCTTACCATTGGAACAATTGACATACTGTGTTCATGTTCTTCTTCTGATGAATAACCCGGTGATAGACGTGGTTGACTTGCTACACGACGTGAATAGCGTGTTTCGACATGTTGAACAACTGGTGTAAATTGTTTTTTGTTCAAGTGTTGTGTGCTGCTGTAGTGTTTCACTTGTCCTTGAGGTCTTAAGTGACTCTCAACAGGTTTTGTAATCTATAAAAAGTGAAAGTTTAACAGTTTAAGATAAACAAGCAGTTTAGTTGTCTTTTAAAAGAGAATATAATGTCACGGTACATTTTTCCATCACTGACTAATATTATCGTCTTAGGGGGACACTTCCTGTACATAAACTGTTCTCATCCGTCTAAGATATTGGCAACAACTGCTTCAAATTGAGCTATGGCTTTTGGCGTGATGCCTTGTAAATATTCTCACATTTATACGTTGGATGTATTCGTGGAACAATTAATAATGTGCACTTGTTTGTTTGGTTTGCTTATTCCCATTAAGTTGACGATGTATAATTGTACTGTTGTTAATTCTCTCTGCCTTAGTTTGCCTGATGAACCCTACTATTATTGCTGTCTACCTGATTAGCTGTGTGAATTTCGATTATCGCGATAATACAACATTATTTCTATAACCTGTCTTGTTCTTGCGCTATTCTGAGTACAAATTATAGTTAGTGCTTAGTGTGGAAATTAATTCTTAACTGAATTGAAAAAAGGTAGATTGGGTTTTCGGGGTTTATTCATTATTCATGGTTGAGTAAGATAGGTGAACTGACAGTTATTGACTAATGTCTTCTATACCTACAGTGTGGTGGTCTGTCCTATTCACCCGAAATGCAACTATTTGCTTCCAGAGGCATCCTAATCATTAGGTGAATGTGTATTTACAAGGGTCTTTCCTGTTAATGTAATCACCAGTCTTTTTTTATTCCTTTACGTTCTCAGTGGAACATAGAACTTCAAGCTAGAACTTTGAACTGTTGGTAGCGGTGGAGCTTACTTTTACGGGATGGGGTTGCTAGCCTCATGCCCAAACTTCCCTCTTTGCCAGTTTTATCACTGACTTAGCGGTTTGGGAGTGTGACGGCCGGGATCGAACCCATAGCTACCTGCGTGGTCGGCGAGTATTCTACCATCGAGCCACCGATGCATATCACCAGTCGTAATTCATTAAAATATTTGGAAAGGAGGTTGCTAATAGACTCCTATTTTTACATGAACTACATTTCATCTAAAGTGTTATTCATTGCCTAGTGAATTCTCTTATGTTTTCCATAATTAATTAGTGTCTAATTTGCGGTCTAAAATGCATGTCCAAACCTTTAGCTTTCCAGTAGATAAAAGCATTTTTCATAGTTCGTAAATTATTCCAACACTGCTGACATTTGACAGATGTTTGAACAAACTGTTGTATTGAGAAGTATGCTCACATTACAATTTGCTTAATGGTGGTTAGTGCTGGAATCCAGAATCACCTAAAACTGACTGCAGATAACAAACTACAACTTTCTAATCGAGTCATATAACTGTCTAATAATCAATGTTTCTTAGATTACTATCAATTCCTAGAGAATAAGTTTTCTGAATGTATCACTCTCTGTACACGTGTTTCACTTTTATGAAGATCGACTGAATTTGATAGAAGATCAAGTTAGGGATGTGATCATAAATAGAGATATGACTGCACCAGTAACAGTCCACCAATACAAGGTTATCCTAAACAGTCACAAGCAATCATATGTCAATATTTTCTCAATCAGTCTTCAACCCATTATTTTGAATAGTTCCTATAGACAGTTAAACGTTTCCTAAATCTCTTTCTTACCTCTGTTCGACTTAATGACTTCTCTTTACGTGGTAAAGAGAATGTGAGTTGAATTGGTGGTGTTGCCTGTCTTGGTCTTATTTGTAAATGATGTCTTGTCAAGTAGTATTGGGATGGAGGTGCTGACGTTTCCCTCTGAAATCTAATTGGCGACCGAGGCACTTGAACTGTGGCGAATGATTGTGGTGAAAGTATTGGACCAGTACTCGCTGGCGATGGCGGCAAAGATGTTTCACGCGTCCATTGTTGTTGTCGGATAACTGTGTGTCTTGTTAAACTCATTGTAGAAGGTGGTCGTTTTATTAAGGTTTGACTGAAGCCTGAAGGACTGATCAGTGCTGAACAGGTAACTCTTCCGTGAATATTTTCAGCTATCGCTTGATAACGACCTATGGATAAGTAAGAATTGATTTTATAAGAATTTTGTCAGACAAAGTGAAGCGAAAATGAAGGTTGCAAAATCGATTTAGGCCTCAATGCATCAACCCATACCAATGTTTGAGTATCCACTGACCTCGATAACAAACCAACAAATTATAACTTTTGCTGTTGTTCTAACTCCATTAAACTACCCTTCATACTAGAGGTGTTGAAATCTAAAGAGTGGACAGCTTTAGTTATAAAAGAAATATCTGTTCAAAGTCATCAGATTTATGTGTAATTTAGGAAAAGACGAATGGCTTGCAATCTGATTTTATTGGTAATACATAAGCTGGTTATTAATTAATGAAGCTTTGATCAGTCTGCTGTAGAAAGACTCACGTGTGTATTTCTACGTACACCATCGGTGTTTCTCAGGCTACAGAAGCGCCATAGGTAATTTAAAATGCGAGGTAAATTACTAATAAGACATTTATTTTCGTGTATTTTCGTTCCTCTATGCTTTTGCTTCGTTACACATCACAATCGCTTATACAGCAAGTGATTAGATGGGTGGAGGCTAGTAGTGGAATCCAGGATACGTATTTCGTCTTATTTGGGACTTCTCAGCCGGATGCAGCTGTATTTACAAATGAGTGATGGTGTTCTCCCTGAGACTGGAAATCAGTTCCCATAGTTTCAAACACCAAAGCGTCATTCACTAGACCACTTGGGCTATGACTTTGTCCGTACTAGGCGCCAACAAGTTAAAAGAGACCAAACATTTCAGTTCAATCAATCAAAGGGAATATCGAAATCGACTAGAAAATAAATAAACACTTTTACATCACTTAAATAATTCACGTTACTAGCAAATAGTAAGTAGTATACTTTCTCTACGAAAATTTAACGGATTATAAGAGTATTTGGCCTTAAATTGAGTTAGATGGAATTGTGAATGTCTTCGAATTTCCTCACAAAATATAAACATTATTATTTCTCCTGAAACTGAAAAAGCTACTTATCTAAACACTTCATCAACTGCTGAGTTGAATTTTGACTCAGATTTCTCACTTTTGATTGACTTTTGAAATGTCTAGGTTCTACGCACGTAGATGAGTTTTCCTGCTACCTGCGTTATCTTATTTGTTCTTATAAGTGTTATATTTTAGACTGACTTGGATTTCATGGATGTTGCTAGATCCATCAGAGGACAGTTTTCAAGTTGAATTTTCACTTTAAGTGCAACAAAATAGAATCTGATAAAATAGAGCATCATGTTACCCAGTAATGAACATACCTGCTGATTCTGGTCCCGGTCGTCGAATTATAAGACAATGATCATTTGGCCCAGGTCCTCGTCCAACGGTATAACGTTGATCATCTGGCGTTATAATTATGCCATTATGTGTCCAGTACACTGTTGGTGTTGGAATACCTGTCACTGAACACTCTAGTACTATTTCTTCCAGACGTTCTGATTCTATATAAACATCCCTAGAATGTGATTGATTGTTTGGAAAGAAATAATAGAGGGAATAACAAAGTTAGTTATTGCACACTAGTATCGAGAAATTAACCTCAACTACACATTTTGTAATGATACTTACTTAAATATTCGTGTGAACTCGGGTGGACTTCCACTCATCGCCGGTGATACTGATGTCAGTAAGTCAACTGAGGTTTTCATAGTTGGGATTATTTCCAGATATAAGGTAGTACTACAACTGCCTAATTGATTTGTTGCTACAGCTTCATATGTGCCACCTTTGTCTTTTTCCACTTTTGGAATGTAGAGACGCGCAAATCCAGAGTCCTGAAAAGTCTGAAATTCATAAAAAAGAAAAAGAGGGAGCCAAGTAGTGAGTAGGAATTTCTCAAGAACAACTGGGCCGATTTGTAGTGAATAAAAAAAATATTATTACTGTGGTTATCATATTTTGAGAATCCCGCAATACACCATACATGCAGTTCAACATAATAGGAGGTGAACTAATCGATATTCTTATGATTATGAACACAATAATGTCCTACTATTCATGGATTCAACTGGTTAGCTAAGCTTCCCACTCAGTTAAATTGACTGATTTTACTCACAGAATCCAGACGATACGTGTGGATGTTGCCTTGTTGACTTCGTCAGCTAGAATCACGAGTTTCCACCCACTTCGTTTTGTGATATGTTAATTATATTTAACAACGCTGTCTTCACTGACACATTTTACCTGAGGTTCAAAGACTTGGCGCGTCACGAAAAGCATTTCCAGCAACCTACAGAATTTCATCAACAGCTGCCTTTACGTCATCGCGGAGATCACATGGAAGGCTAGAAAGGATAAGCAACACAATGAAGTCTGGGACGAACTAACCAAAAACCGATAACCCAACTAATATGCCAAAGGAAGTGGAGGAGGATCGGACACACGCTGAGGAGATCGTTGAGTGAGCAGGAGATGAGAGCTTGTAGGCAATCGTGAAGTCAGATTAAGAGCACCGCAGAGAACAAAATGAAACTGAGATGTTCTGCTGAAGCCCTTTGTCCTGTATATCGCTGTTTCATGTGAATATAAAATGGTCCAAGTAATTAAATTATTTTCATGGTTACAGTTAACTAGGAATCATGACGATAGACATTATCAATCGGTCTTAAATAACAATATGAGCTAATCGACTCCTCCATCAAATGAATGTTCCAATAAATTATCGTTCAGAAAAGAAAATCACATATTAGTCCTTCATCAACAACTGTTATGTCCTGAACAAGTTATTGTTAAGTTAAATGCTGAACTTGGTCCTACATTCTTAAAAAGTAGCCACCGTATATAACAACACAGAATTTCGCACAAAAGTGCATCTTTTCAAGTTTCCACCAGCAGTAAACCTGTCGTTTGAAACTTACACAGTTCAACGTGAACATTCATCACTGTCCCCTTGATAATCTGAAAATATTCAGATCTCAGTATCTGATCTACTTGATAAAAAATGAAGAAATCAGGAAAAATAATCTACTGGATATAAGTGAGTGGAAACTACTCACGTCTAACTCAAGGGCTTGCTAATCAAACTAAAGTGCTTGAAACATCGGACGGCCATTTCGAAGCTGTAGGACCGAACTCTTCAGCGATATACCCGGTTAGATTCAGCTTCAAAGAGACGTGACAAATCCTGAGTAATGACACTTTTTCTTTTCTCTAGTAAGCAGCCTTTTGAAAATTCAGTGTTTCAACTAGTATGTTAAACAATTAACCCTTACATAATTTCATATTTTGATTGGATGGAGGATTTCATCATGAGCTGACATCAGTTAGAGAACCATTGGAAAACCAACTGGGAGTACTGGACAACTATTTCATCCTAGTTAGGGACTCCTCAGTAGCACCCACCCACCGGGGCTCGGACCCAGGACATTCTGGTTACAAGGCAAGCTCGTAAATCATTAGGCCAATGGGACCTGATCCAATGGCCAGCCCATGAATTCTAACTTGTAACCAGAAGGTCCTGGATTCGAACCGTGGCGTTGGGTGCGGACTACTGAAGAGTCCTAAACCAGGGAAAAACTCCAAGGTTTCCCAATGGTTCTTTAACCGATGTCAGCTCACGATGAAATCCTCCAACCAATCAAACCAAAAGAAATCCCTACAAAAAAACCGATACTCGAAAATTCCTTATTTCGCTTTGCTTCCATGGTCATCCTAATCACAGCTTACTCCTTAAACTATTTATCTTATTACGTAACTGTATTACGCTTATTCAACTATTTTTATGTGTTGATTAACATTAATAGTCACGTTTGTTTTTACAATGCCTCACCTCACCTAGTTGTAGTTTGATTACTCATCACATTTCTGAAATGTCTTGAAAACAACAACCCTAACTTATTTTTTATAATAAAGGTTTTTATATTTCCCAATGAATGAAAAACAAAACGATATTGTTTTTACTGACGTATAATACTTTGATAAAGCTATTAGCATTAAATAGCGAAACGTCAGTGAAAACAATATCGTTTTGTTTTTCATTCATTGGGAAATACAAAAACCTTTATTATGATGAATATCATATACCCAATGCCCAAATTTTTTCTAACTTATTTTTATTCTTATCGGATAAACCTTATATATATATATATACATATATAGATATATATAATTGCGATTTTACAGCTAAGTGAATGAATTCGCCGAAAAGAGACTCTTCGCTGAACTACGTGTTTTGTTTTCATTAATGTCTAGACATGGATTATGCATGAATTAACTAGATTTCTATAGATTTGAATAACAAGTGGCAGTTAACAGCAATCTCTGTGCGATCTATTATCTGTGAATGATGAGATCCATCAGCAAGAAGTGTCTGAAACCTAATACCAACTAGTCTTACCTCCTACTATGCAATTCTCTCTACGTAGACTTGAAGTGAGAAATGTCACTTGGGTTACATTCCGACTCATGAACTCGTTAGGACAGATGGGAAAGGAAATCTGCGTAGATAGATTGTCTGGTGGTAACCACTCATATCTACGTGTTGCATTTAATTAACTAACCCATTCAACCAATAAACAATAGCATAACTTCCACTTTATGCCATCCACATAACAACATAACTGTTCTCCTGACTGTATATGCTCTGCCTTATGACAGCAGATTAAAGCTGTTAGTATTCAAATACACAGATATATAGTGCCTTTGTTTATTTAAAAAAAAATTCGCTTCCACAGAGATATATTCAGTCCCATCAAATTTTTAGAGGAATTTTATCTATTCTTCACCCGATGGGATCAAGAAAAATACAGTTTAGTGAAAAGTGACTCTCCACCCGGATTCACAAATGAAAATCTAAAGCCAGTAAACTCTGCAAAACGCATAAATGTGATTTTATCATTGGAACTTGAGTTACAAATGATAATATAGTGTCAGTTATTCTTAAGAGATAATGATTATCATGGTCTGTGGATTTGCGTCGGTGGCATAGCGGTTCGGACGCTCGCCGACCATGCCCATGGTCCGGGGTTCGATCCCCGGCCACAGACGCACTCCTTTACCTCGCTAAGCCAGAAATAAAAGCTGGTAAAGAGGGAAGGTTGGGCACGAGGCTAGCAACCCCATCCTGTAAAAATAAACTCTGCTACATAAACTTCAAGCCACTAGCTTGAAGCCCTATGTTCCACTGGGAACGTGAAGGAATAAAAATAATCTGTGAATTGAACATGCTTTCCTATTATACTTCGAATCGTTTTCTCGTGCAAGGGACTTTCGGCTGCAACAAAAAACATTTACCTGCTTACCTAAGCGAATCACCTGTACCACTGACTTCTTTATAAAACTGTGTTGTAAACATTAGTTAACCTAACACAAAGAAATGCGTCCTTACTTTGGCATCGGAAAACTATGTGAATTCAAGGTACATACTTCATTTTGAGATTTTAAAATCTCCTATTAATTTCGTCCAAGAAAAATAAAAGGAGTTAAATAAAGGCATATTTGATTAACTGGAGGACTAGTGAGATTTGAAAGTTGGAACCGAAACTGCTTTTGCAAAAAAGTAGTTTTAACAATTATTTCTAATACGATGAATAGTTGAAGATTCCAGATGGTCCACGTTCAATATGTAACCACGTATGTTCCATCACGTACTGTTTATTTTTTTGTCTCAAATTTCTTTCCTCTTGCATCATCCAACTTTCAGTTCCTATTGAGGAGAATTCTGGAATATTCTTTCTGCTGGTTCTACTAAATATATACATATACATCTATATATATCGGTATACAGCCTTGTGAGTGATCTTCAAAAACTTTTACTGTGACAGCTTTCTTTTCTTTGCAAAACACAGTGTCACTACATGTGTTTATCTTCAACACAACAATACATACTCTCTCAGAATCCACTGGACTATTTTCTCGTGATTTCGTCTTAATGGCGTTTCGGTGGATCTGTCAAGTGTCATACAGATGAAACTGATCTCGAGTGAGGCTTAATCACTCCGAGATTATGCTGGCTGTTCACTAAATTACGTGGAACATTATCAGTGACTGGAGTTACTTGGGAAAATAAAAGACACACTGGCAGACAGACAAATACAATAATCTTACCTGAAAATTAACTGAAGACTGAGGCTGTTTACCATCTTTAAGCCATACCACTGTTGGTATTGGTCGACCAGTAAACTGACAAGTCAGATCAAGTGAATTACCTTCGACAGCTGATAGACGTGCTGGCAAAGGCTTCACTATTGTAGGTGCTCGATCAACTGGTTGTTCAGAGGTGTGAATAGCTAAAATGGATATGTTTGAAAAGGAGAGACAGATAAAAAACTGAAAAGAAAGTGTTTAAAGTAAAGTAATTACCTGTAGAGTTATTCATTTGGTGATTTAGACATTCAGTGAGTTGATGACTGGATTAAATTCTCGACTGCAAAATATTTTAGCCTCAAGAAGCGTATCATTATCAGTGAGGCTTCAGCAAATAACTCCAGTCCTGTGTGACACCGATAAGTTTGACAATCAAAACATTTCGACCCAAAGAACCACCTTGTTTATGGTTACGAGTAACTTGCATCAAACTTACATTTAAACAAATTTCAGGAATTTATGAAACTCATGAAACATTCCAAACAGTTTATTTTTAAATGTGTTATTTCTGATGTTAATTAGGTCACACACGTGAATGACCCCTTATCGCTATCACTTATGCAATGTAACATTCCAGAAGCGAAATGTGATATATATATATATATGTATATGAAGAGGGGGAATTAGAGCCAAAGAATTTGTTTATCTCAGTTGGAAAACATACATGAATTCAAGGTAAAATCAAAATATTTTCTGAATAAATAATCACTTTTAAGGTTTATTATCAGTATGATTAACTTACGTTCAACATCCATTCTACAAGAACTGAATGCATTCCCATAGGGATTTTCAGCAACGCATGTATACTCGCCTTGATCTTCAATGAACACATCGTAGAAAGTGAGACTATGATACTGTCCATTTTCTTGGATGGCATACGAATTCGATCTAGCCAACGGAATACCATTTTTCAGCCAACTCACCTGGAAATGAAAGAATAGCTCAGAATAAAAAGATATATTGTTTTCATTGTGTTTCATTATATCGAAGAATGTGGAAATCTTAGCATGTGGGTAAAATCGGAGTCAACTGATCAAACAAAATGTGAACTATTCACCATAGCCTTTTGTTAACTGACTCCATTTATATACTGAGACCCTCACATACATTTCTTGTATTACTGAAATTGTAGGACAGTATACACATTTCCTCAGTTTTGTACCCATCCGATACAAGATCAATTCGGTCAGATGCCTCACGAATAGAGCAAGACGTATCTGTACAGATGACTCCCTAGAAAATGAGCTAGGATACATCCAAAATACGTTGGTCTAAATGGGTTATCCTAGTAGATTTGTAAGGAGACAAATGAATACCGGGTACAATAAATAAAAACTGACAACAATTAAACTGCAATTTAATGGGGACGTGGCTAGCGAAGTCTAGCATCTGAGATTATCGAGAGCGATAAAACGGACTTACACTGCCACCACCCTTTGTTCGTCATTTTCCAGCCGACCAATTTTGATTGCTCAAGTGAAAGATAAGCTACCTAGCTGTGCCACTTCGATGTGTATCTATAAATTTAGTTGCTCCTGTGGAGAAAGCTATATAGGGCGAACAACTAGACAGCTTAACAAACGCATTAATGAGCACCTTCCTTCATGGTTCGGAGAAGGTCAAATAAAATCCATACGAAGCTCTATTTTGGCTCATTTGATTGATAGCGGTCACCAAGTGGATAAAAATAGTACCTTCAAAGTTATCTATCGCATTCCATCGAGTCTTTCGAACGGAATCAGAACCCGTCTTTTACACCTAGCCGAAGCTACGGGAATTCGAGAGAACAATCCTAGTTTTTGCATACAAAAGAAGTTTGTTCTAACTTTGTCTCTCCCTTGGATTAGGTCAATTCTATTCACAACCCTCCCACCATTTCTTATATTCCATCTCCTTCGTACTTTTATAATATTTATTTAAACTATTTTACTTATTTATTTATTATACATGTTGATACCTGTTGCATGACTCATGATTGGACAAAGTTTAAAAAAAAACAAGTGATGTTTCCTTTTATATATAAACCTCTGTTATGTTAATTTCGATTAATTTCCCTGAAGAAGTTCGGACCAGACTGCCGAACGAAACGTTGGAATTAATCATTTCAATTTCGCTGAGATTTTACAAATATAATTTTATAAATATACATACACTACCTTTGTTATTCTTATCACTTGCATAAACCTTATTATCAATATTTTGTTATCATTATAATTATCGTTATTAACTTCTTTCAAAACATTTACCACATTATTATTATTATTTGATCCACAAAATCACCGTCATTAGTCAAAACATTTTTATATATAAGTCTATTTAAATTAGAGTAAAGCCTGAAGAAGATCTAATTGAAAACAATATTGTTCGCTTATATGTCTTGTTCTAATATTAAAAATGGGAATATTTAAAGATTACTGAAATGCATTCAGATAACAGAATAATGTTTGCTAACCGAACGTCATACTTGAAATACATCATTCTGTTTACTAACGTGGTGCTTTAGCTACCTGGGTTTAATTAGTTTAGTCTTCCTTGTTAAACATAGACACTTACTCACTAATCCTATTTATCTCTTATTAATGAGAAGTGTTCAAGCTGAAGAATATAAAACTATACACTGATACTGAATATTACCCTAGAGAATTTTATCCGAGACCGATATTAGTGTAATAGGATTGTCAGGGAAGTCAAAAAGAGTAATTTCGCTTGTATAGTTGTCATGATTTCTACGCCTAAACACAAAAATTCCGTAATTCCTGACAATGTTACACCTTACCGACAATTCAGTGTTCATAAACACAACTGGCATTCAATGTACTAATTCGAAATGCGTCAGCTAAGCCTGATATACTCTTTTGCGCAATGTTCCTCTTTAATCTGTGTGTAGATGTATATTCTAATCAATATTTGCATATCAGAAATGGTATTAAAAGGGTTTAGGAGTAGGTTGATTATTCACTGTGTTATATATCCAATAAACAAATTATTATGGCAATTTATAATACTACAGTATCCCAGTTTCACATGAATAATTAAGTTAATTATTTCTTGTTAATTTACTGAGTGTCTGCTTAAGCGGATAGTTTATTGGAGAGTGGTTTACTGGTCAACTAAACCTCGGTAGGTGGAAGTTCATTAGTATTAGATGTTGGTGAATTTTCTTTAATCAACGTAACTTAACATCTTAACAGACTTTTAGATGAATGTTTATTCTGATTATGCGTATTTATTGTGGGTTTCTTCGATGGCTGTGTGCAGTTATCTGTCCTTTCTTATAGAGTATTTTATAACAGTAAACCTAGATCAACGTCTAAAATGCATGTCAATTTACTACTTCTTGTCTTCCCTGTTAAGTGTATAAGTCAGATAAGCTAATACTCGAAATACTCAAACCTTTCTGTAGATTTTTTGACTATGTCTCAATTCAACATTAATAATTACTTTAACTAATCCTTCGTTACTATGGGATGCTGCCAACAGCTGTACGATAACGCTGCATGCCAAGCAATCCACAACGCGAAACTCACGGAATCCTTCGAAGTGAAGATGGGAGTAAGACAAGACTGCCTACTATCTCCAATGATTTTCCTGATTGCGGTAGATTGGACAATGCAACAGGCAGCCGGTAACGAACAGACAGACATGAAATGGACTCGCACAAAAAACTCGGAGGATCTGGACTTCGCCAATGATATACGTCTGATTTCCCACAAACTGGAAGATGTGCAAGTGGGAAGCGACAAGTTAGCAAAAGAAGCAGCCACAGGAGATATGACTTCAGGTGAACATAGAGAAAACAGAGGTGATGAAGATTCCTGGCTAACAGCAACAGAAACAACAACAGACACAATCAGCATAAGTGGGAGAAATTTGAAAGAAGCGACCTCCTTTACCTACCTACCGACCTGGGAAGCATCGTTTCAGCTACAGGCGGATGGGACTGATGAGGATATGAAAGTGAGGATCAGGAAAGCAAGGCAAGCTTTCATTACTCTGAAGTCTGTGTGTAGGTAGATCAGCAGCTCTTAGCATGAAAAATAAGATGCGGATTTTCAACTCCAATGTGAAGTCAGCGCTACTATACGGATCAGAGATTGGGCGCCGCGTCACGAAGGGCACTTCGAACAAACTACAGATCTTCATTAACAGCTGTCTTCGCTCAATACTCAAGATCAGATGGCCAGAAGAGATCAGAAACGGGGATCTCTGGGAGCGAACCAACTAGGAACCAATTGTGCAGGAAATATGCAGGGAGAAATGGAGGTGGATTGGCCACACTCTGAGGAAACCAGCAAGTGACATCACTAGACAAGCCCTCGAGTGGAACCCGAAAGGGAAGCGGCGAGTTGGTCGTCAGTGCAAGGACGACAAGGAGTAGGTCATACCAAGAGGAGATGAAAGTAAGTGGGCAGAAGTGGAGCCAGATGAAAACGTTGGCGGAGAACCGATCGCAATGTAGACGTGCGGCTGAAGTCCTATGTTCCTCTAGTTCCTAGAGGAAACAATAACAATAATAATCCTTTTTACTTCAGTGTCAACCTAATCAACCTTGGCTGGACAACTTATGCTATAAATCAGTGTCCCTATACGGTTCAGAGACTTCGCGCATCACCAAAAGCATTTCCAACGGGCTACAGAGCCCCAACAACATTTGCCTTCACTCTGTACTGAATAACAGTTGGTCAGAAAGGATGACAAATAAAGGAACTCTGGTTGTAAACCAGCCGAAACAATAAGCAGAAGGAGGTGGAGATGGACTGGAAATACTCACTGGGGACTGCTGACTCACATCACACTTCACAATTTCGAGTTGGAGCGGGATAGGGAGAAACACGTAGGGCACCCAATGGCAACAAGAAGGAGATCATGTGGGCTATGAGTAGAATTAAAGTATTCGAAATGTGCTTTACAAGTCTTATTTCCCTTTAATATATCCCTCTGAATATTTATTTTCACCTGAAAATTGTACAAGTGTGAAATGAAATGATGATTCAGCCAGATAACATAGGCATTATTTCTGTCATACAATCACGCACTTATATTTACCATAGTGGGGGAAAAATACCTATCTTAGTGAGTGGGCGAGTTTCAATATTCGTCCAAAATCTGAGGCACGGCATGAATGTATATATACGCGCGTTACCATTACTGATGAATCACACTTGTGCACTCGAATTCGATCGTATTGCTGAAAGTTTTAATTTTTCTAGCTTAAATTGTGTTTTTCAACTATAACGAAAGTATTTTTGGCCAGAAAACGTGTTATCGAAAGCTGAAAAAAAACTGTTATATTTTTAGATGAAGTCTACGATTACCCCGTATAAGTGTCACAATATCTTGACTGAACAATGAGACTTTGTATCATATAGCCATAGAATGAATGCACAAACGAACCTAATATTTGAAATCTAACTTCCAGCATTCTAATAAAACACATGTCAGTAGTATAGTGTAGCTAGTGTTAAAAGATGAAGTAATTAGAGTGCGCCAGACGCCACTAAAGGTTAATTCTAGGACTGATCAATTACTTAAGAAGCGCAATTCGTATTCATCAACAAATACCTGATCTGACGATTTATATACTGTATGAGCTGGATGGTCTTTCTAGACAATGTCTTCAACAAAGACTTCAACATGAAGCAGGTTTGTTACATGCATTCTCTTCTGCAAGATATGACTTCTCAGGATGTTATTTGATTGACGGTAGCTAGCAGTGGAATCCAGGACACGACGTTCGTCTCATTCAAAACTCATTGGCTAGATGCACCTGTATCCCATTTTAGTTCGGTAAAATCAGTCAAAGGGGAATTAAAAATGATTTCAACAAATGACTTTTCAGTAAACCAAAAGCACCATTTTCCATCATCAGGTATCTTAATACAAATATCAGATCGTTCTCTGTGAGTTTTTCGATTCCTATGCATTCCGCGTATGATATAAGGCACCAAGCTTGAGCTTCGATGTTACAGTAGCAGTGGTATTGTTTTTACGGCTTGGAATAGACAGCCTCACACCCAACCTCCAAGCTAGGCAAGCTTTTGGAATGAGTCGGCAGGGAATCAAAATCAGTTCACGTGCGTACCTGGCGTAGATTCTACCACTGAACCATCACTGTAGGTTATTCGTAGCTAAATTCTTTCGTTAAATATTTTAATCTGCAGTTCTGAAAATCATTATTTCCCATTTACACCTCTGTATCAAAAATATTAAATTTTTTGAAACCACACTCAAAACATTATTGATAAAAAATTAAGAAGGAAGAAAATCTTACTTTTGGTGCTGGAAACCCGGTGATCTGACACTCCAGCTTGATTTTCTCTTGTCCATCAACCTCAGCATTTTGTAGAGGTGTAAGAAACTGTGGCGGTCTACCATAATCTGATGCTGGACGCGATTCAGGAACATGCGTTCGCATTCTTGATTCAATTCGAAAAAGACAAATATAAGACAAATGCGACATGTTAAAAAGAAAGGACAGAGGTCATTTTGACAAGCTAGTACATAAAATACTCAAAGAAAACAACTGAGATTCATAGAAAGTCAAACCGGCAGGAATACGTGAATTTTTTTCCACAAATAAAGTTTGTACGTTTATGCTTGAATTTATTAGGTCCAGAACTGTCAGTTCAGAGGTCACTGGTGTGAATTTTGTGGTGGTTTAGGCATTCTTTGAAGTCCAGTCGCTTGTCAAATAACTGTATAAAGAGTACATGAATTATATTATAGTATAGTACATGATATTTATAGCTAGACTGACTGAGTAAAGCTGAATTCTTTAAAGACCTTCACTGCCAATGCGTCTACTTCGAATATTTTAGGAAAGTCATACAGTTGTACATTATTCCAGGAAATTCGCAACATCTACAGTCTGGGTGTTTATTACAGAAGATGAAAGTTAGAATTTACTGATAAAAGAAGCTTCTGAGTTAGTTAAGCGATGGTGTTACATCAAATAAGCTGTTATTAAGCCAGGAGTGTTTCAGTACATCTAAATTTATTAAATTCTCGGTTTTTGATAATCATAGTGTGATGTTTTGTGATATATTTACCACCTAACTCGTCATTTTTATGAGCAGTATAAGGCGGTTGAATTCGATCTAAATGGTAGGCTGGAAAAGAGTAAATCAATACATATATAGCTCTTTATTTTATTTATATATATATATACTCATTTATATATATATATATATATATATGACAATGCAAAAACGGTTTCAAAACAAGTAATAAACTTTATTTTTTTTCACATGTTTAAAAAATCTGTTCCACTCACCTCAGTGGTACAGAGACTGTAGTAAGAGGTGGTACAGAAACTGCTCTTTGAAAATCTTGGGGGCTTGTGTAAGGAACAGCAGCCCTAACTGCAGTCGGAGATTGGACTACACGTGGAATTTTAGAGGGTTCAAACACCTCATCAAACTCAAGTTGAATATCTCTTCTGCGACGTGAAGCTGTTGCTCGGAAAGATAGTTGTGATGGTGATAAAGGTTCACGTTTCTCCAGAGGATGAACTGTGACGCTACAACTTGTTGTGGCAAATCCTGCTGGATTACGCACGGTACATGCATATTTTCCACCTTCTAATTCAGAAACCTGAGGAGAGATATCACAGAGTTAGCTTGTTTAAGTTGAAATGTAATAGAAAAATGCGCCTCGAAAGTTACTGTGAAAAATAACAAATAGATACATATTTTTTTTCCTACTTATCTGACTGTTTGTAGAAAAAATGGAACAATCTAAGATCAGATAAGATGTACGTGTCAGCTGGACTTGACAGATAAGGGACTAGAGTCCTGGGGATTATAGAAGTACAATGTTGCTATTTCAAATACTGTCAATATTTAGGTCTTATTTTAAGTGTAAACATCACACTAGATTTGTAGAAAATAAGAGAAATGTAAGTTATTTTATACAGATTGTTAAAAAAAATGCAATTCACTATGCAGTATTTAAAGAAAAGTCTTTTTTAAGCTGATTAAAAGTACTGACAAATCTTCATCTAACTATGATTTCTCTTTTATCATATTTTTTAGTTTCATTACATCGACACCATCTCTTAAATATGGCAGCTTGAACTTGTACAAGGTTAGTTTTAAACGTTGATAATTCAGTTCAGTGTACAGGTTATCCTTTAAATAATTAACAGGGTAGCAATTCGAAATATATTACCAAAGATATTCGTTTGAATGAATGGAAAATTTCTCAAAAATGCAGACATAACAGCAATGAAAATTTTCCTGCACACGAATCATTTTAAAATCATATTTATCTTCAACAGATAAATGCATGCAGTCAGTCAAATACTGATAATAACGTTCCGGAAAATGTTACAAGTAATGTGAGGAGGTGTGTGATTTGTTTGATTGTTGATTACACCTTCATTTAAGGTCTACATGATATCCCAAAAGAATCAGAAACATTCATCATACACTTATGGTGTTGTATTTTTTTGAAGAAGCTGTTTTTCGGGCTGTGCACACACTGATTTGAAAATATCCAGTTAAAAAACAAAAAAGTTATTCATATAAAGTTGAATAGGTGCCCTTCAGGATTAATTAGTGCTGACACAGATTTAATGCTTAGAGCCTTTTCATCATTTCCACTATTGTGTTAGATTTTGTTGATGTCCAGTTAATAAATTCAGTACACTTTAAATTCGAAAATAAGAACTTGGATGGTAGTGACTACATCCACAGATTCCTAAGTGGTGATTAAGATCAATCATTCACTCGTGCAGCATATTTACTAAGCTAATTAACATGACACTACTGTGTTAGTCATGGGAAATCTTGGTTGACGTAAGCATTTTTGGAATTCAGTATTCTAGTCAACGAACTTGAATCACTGTGTTCTCAAGTCACAGACTCTACTACTGCATGAGACTTAGCGAATTGGACTTAGTCTTTGATCAGTCATGTTTCAGAGATCTATAATCAACCTACTAGGAATTACAGGATTTTCATCATAAGCTGACATTAGTTAGAGAACCATTGGAAAACCTGGGAGTACTGGACAGCTGTTTCGTCCTAGTTTGGGATTCTTCAGCAGTACGCACCCACCGGGATTCGAACCCAGGACCTTCTGGTTACAAGGCGAGCTCGTATACCATTAAGCCACTGGGACTCGATCCAATGGCCCATGAATTCTAACTTCTGCCAATTCACGACATAGCGTGACCCTTAGCCAATGTCTTCGGCGAGTATTTGTCGTCACACCCAACCTGCTGCACCCTACTGGTCACGACTTCTCACTAGAACCCCAGGTAACTACCTACCTGAATAGGGCAAGTCGCTAGTAAACATCTCATTGATATGCAAGTGTTGGTTTGTAGGGATTTGGTTGATTGGTTACAGGATTTTCATCATGAGCTTGCGTGTATACTGTTATTTATTGCTAACAGAGATAGACTGACTACCCAACCATTTGCACTGTCTCTCATAGCTGTAGGATGAATGTATACAAGTCAGCAATTGAGTATACTGGATAATTGTTCCTGAGATGTGCTTGTTACCGATGATAAAATATACAAGTGTTGTATTCACTTAATCGTTGCTGTTTTCAAATCATTTTCCAGAAAATGAAAGAAATAGGCAGGCGGATAAAAGTGAAAAATGCCTCTCATATGACTGTCCTTGATTTTATTTGTGTTCGGTCAACCAGATTGTTGAGTTGAAAATCTGTAATTGCTGTTCTAGATAATTCCACAATCAAATCGGTGTTAAAGAGCTTGTCTGGAAGGACAAATGAGAACTTCACAAATGAAATTTCTAACTCAGAGATCACAGCAGTACCAAGAAAAAGATGAAGTTTTATGTTTACATAGAATGGATTTCTTTCTTTCTTAACGTTCCTAGTGGAACATAGGGCTTCAAGCCAGAGGCTTGAAGTTTCGGTAACAGTGGTGTTTACTTTTACGGGATGGGGTTGCTAGCCCCATGCCCAACCTTCCCTCTTTACCAGTCTTACTACTGGCTTAGCGAGGCAAAGGTGTGCGTCTGCCAGGAATCGAACTTCGAACCACATGCTTGGTCAGCGAGCGTTGTACCCCTGTGCCACCGAAGCCTGTCCAGATGATTACCTTCAGAAATAAAAGAGGTCGGTGTCTGTTCTACTAAAAACTATAAAGTAGAGGAGGATAACTGCTGAGTGGTGATGACTGTAAACAAAGTAAATTGAACTCACCATAAGAAGATGTAGGCTGACTGTGTTGTTAACTTCCATTGTAATACGTCGACGGCCTATTTCGCCTTGAATTGGCATATCATTGTGATACCATTCCACTACAGCTGGTAGTGCACTCTTTAAAGGTAAATTTTAAAAAACACAGTTAATTTCTTTCGATTGGATATTACTGATGTATATAAGTAGTTTAATATTACAAATATCAAAAAATTTACCATACGAAATAGATTGGAACTGAAATAATAAGGAATAATTTCTTAGGGTGCACCTGACTCTTTTAAGTTCATTGAAGGTAACAAATAGCGACGATATGCTATGTCTGAAGTATATAAGTAAGGACTCCCTGTTTGCCCAGTCTTAGACATTTTTAATACCATCTACCATGGAGCTGCAAAATGGCTAGTTGAATTCACACAAACAAGTCGAAAAATAGCTTCAAATTTACTTTTGATGAAGGGTATTTTAAAGTAAGTAGGAGGGAAGTGATATGCTTTAAACTGTCGTCACTATTCACCAAAATGCGAAGGATGGAGACAGCGGGATTCATGCACCAACGGATATTGGTAAAGCAAACCGATTTCGAAGTTTCAGTTATTATCTTCAAAGAATTTCTTTGGAGATGTAACATGAGCATACATTTCATATTCAGTGAAATCTGTTGTAGGCAAATGGATGGTCTGGTTATGGATTATCCAGCCTGATTTTGACTAATTTTTTACCTTAAGTTGTAAAATTGTCTATTGAAACGTATAACAGATAAATCGGATTCCCATAATAGTTATACAGACTATATGTTTATTATTCTTGATCAGAAAAGACTCGGGAGTCAGTTTTGTGACATAGGAGGACCAACAACTGTTGAGACATGATATTAACAAAGACAACAAGATGGATAGGTAGTAAGGGCTCGACTCGCGCCTTGTAGTTTTGAATTGTACTCAATACACCTTCATGCTGAGCTCATGGTTTGCTGTCATCTCTTATTTGACTGTCTCTCCGTCTGCTACAGATTGGTGTCAGAGGTGTAAAAAACACTGCTTGACAAACATGAATTCTTTATCAGATAGTGAACCTCATAAGCTGCTCTCAAAGCAATGCTCACCAACCGAGTCTGGTCCTCTTACACTACGTGAAAACTCTGTTCTCCAGCATAAATCAAACTATCAAATTTGGAAAAAAGCATGTTCACTCCTTTCTGCACTGAGTAGCAGTCAGCGACTGCTATCATCAGAAAACTGAAAAGGACGAGATGCTGATGAAATGGGTCCAAGTCCTTCATCTGCACTGAGTCATTAAGTTTGAAGTCAGTTGCCTATATCAAACCTTGCATGAACCTGTTTAAGAGCAACACCCATCGTGCGAGGGCTGATGATACTACTCAGCTGCCCAAGCTTGACTGGATGGAACGAGGTTTGAATTCACGACCTATCAGGTGGAATCCAGTCGCTCTAGGTGATGAGCTACATCACCGCAGGAACCATTAAGAATGTGTCTGGGTTGGTAAGTACAAGAAGAGTGATTTTCACAGTAAATATTAAACTTGGAATTCGTATTAGGCGTTACAAGCAACTGGAAAAACGAGTGATATTCTTAGGTTATTGGTTTTATGACTTCAATTTCGATCATCAATTAACTCTAGTTAAAGAATTATTGAAAGCCAGGGAGTGTTGGGCAGATGTTTCACCCTTGTTTGTACGCTCGCGTGGCCCCAACAAGGATAAAATCAAGGACCTCTAGGTTACAAGCCTATCTCGTTGACCATTCAGTCACTTGGTTGAGATCCAATGGCCCATCAATCCAAACTTCTGACAGTTGCCGATATAACGCGACCGTTAATCAGTGTCATCAGTGAGTATCTGTCTTCACACCCTACAGCTATCCAGTACTTCCTGGCTTTCAATGTTTCTCTAACTGAAGTCAATTCGTGGTCAAAAGCGAAATCCGTCAGATCCCTGCAAACCAACACTTGAAAAGACCTAAGATTGCTGTCACTGTTTAGTATTTGGCAAGTGACTTTCGCGCATAGGCAGGATTCTCAACTCAGAACACACCGATTTAATTGAATCCCATCAAAATTGTCAACTAGTGAACACACCATGTTAGTATGAACTTGGTTCTAAGATAAACAACAAAGTATATTCAACTTTGAATAAATAAACAAGGTGATTCACTTATTGGTAAACTGAGGAAAGTTTTACTGCCTACCATGTCACTTGAAATGTGAGAATTTACCTCACCTCGAGGTTCGTGTGTAATGCATAATAATGAATAAAGATGACCAGCGGGATTGAGTGTGCAGACTTGGGAACAACGCAGTGCTACACCATACTGCCAAAACTAAACTAAATCTATCACACACCATATTGTTGCGCTTACACTTTCATACACAAAAAAGTTCTTTTCAAATATAAAGTCAACAGAATTTTGTTTATTCAGGGAGAAACCTTTAAAGGTCAACTTTGTCTGATTAGTGCACTACTTAAAGTAAACTGATAATTAGATAATGGTTAGTGTTAATCGCTGAGGTGAGGGGATAAACAAAAAAACACTCGGCATAACCTTTTCAAACACTTGGTCGGAGCGCGCGCGCCGGAGAGTGTGTGTGTATTTGGGGCAGAGAGGGGGAAATTGGGCCTAATTACTTCTTCAAGGTCAGTAAAAAGTGTTGAGCATTGTGGAGTAGATCATCGAATAAATTATAATTATATTCCAATAGTTTACACACAATGATAAGTTTTTGTTGTTTTTTTGGTAATATTTCGAGCAAAATTACTGTCCGTGATCACACACCAACTGTTGGAAGTGTTTTGTTTTGATTATTTCTTCACAAATCTCACTGACCTAAACCTACTAACACCAAAAGAGAGAGAGTAGTGCAGTTTTTGTAACGTGTGAGTGTGTGTGTGTGTGTGTTAAAAACAATAACAGTTGAATTTACTTCAACTGTTCACCTCATAACAAGCGCATACGTAAACTGAAGTACCTCTAACATTACAACACATGTGAATAGATCATTATTTGCCTATTGAACGTTTACTGGTCAGTCTGGATGTCAAAAATATTTCTACTTTGAACTTTGTTGCTGTTATTGTTGTTGTTTGAATTTGTAATGAATAGTTAGGTCCATTTATTATATTCCCAACACATTCAGTAGAAATAAGCTACTGGCTTCTCCTACGCCCATGAACGACCTGCTACGGCTGAGTTTGGGTAGACTTCAGTCTTCCTGTGGAAATGCGGCCAGCGTTCATAGCCTCCGGCATGTAAGTCCTATTCACCGCCTTCACGCAAAGGGGATGTCCTTCACAAGAGTTAAGTGGCAAATGCAAATGTTTGGAGCAAAACAACCGGACTGGTGGATATGCTGGTGTCAACTAGTGTCAAATATAAACCACCAATTAACTGCCCTTTAGGATATGCTGGTTTACCACCCAGGGGAGCTGAAAAATCCTGATTCAAAAGCCTATGATGCATACGGGGCTCCGGAATCTGAAGTAGTCGAATGTACTATGAACCTGTTTGGGTCACCGGAAACCATAGGAACGCAGTTCCTGACACTGCTCCACTGTCTCGAGGATCAGATTTCAAGTCAAAGGCTCTGCACGGTGGTCCCTTAAGACAAGAAACTGCTTCGGTTTAGGCATCTGAGCAGTATTCAAGCCCTCGCACTGCATTTGTCGGTATCCATAATGTACCAAGTTTTTGTCTTAACAATAATAATGGTGCTCCACATAGCAGAATGAACCAATAATTGTTTCCACTTTTTTCTTATCTAGGTTCAGTTAAACTGCATACGTTTAGGTAAGAAGATGATTGCAGTGATAGGGTTGGCATCAGTTTGATATAGTTGGTCAGTATGTGTCATGCAAGACTAGCGGATCAAAGGTTATCGTCCAAACTCTCAAAATGGCCTACATTTTTCAGAAGACTAAGTCACCTTCTTGTTACAGTTTCATAAACATTAGGCTTTCAATTCAGCTTGCCTAAGGGTACATACATGTGACTGATATAAGTTGTTGCTCCGATAAGAAGCTCATCCAAATGTTGGTTTGCAGAGATTTGACTGGTTTCAGGATTTCATCACGAAATGACTTCGTTTAGAGAACCACTGGAAAATCTGGGAATACTAGACAGCTATTTCGCCCTAGATTGGGACTCCTCATCAGTAGCTTAGACCCAGGACCTTCTGGTTACAAGGAGAGCTCGTAGACCATTAAGCCACTGGGACCCGACCCAATGGTCCATGAATTCCAACTTCTGCCAGTGATCGCTCCATATCGTGAATTGGCAGAAGTTGGAACCGATGGTCCATTGGATGGTGTCTCATAGGCATAACGGTGTACCAACTCGCCTTGTAACCGGAAGGTCCTGGATTCGATCCCTGGAGGTGGGTGCATACTGATCAAAAGTCCCAATCTAGGACGAAACAGCCGTCCAGTACTCCCAAGTTTTCAAATGGTTCTCTAACCGAAGTCGGCTCATGATGAAATCCAAGTGAGACAAGTTCATCATCGGTGTGACAAATAGGTAGGATCAGTTAAAACCGCCCAGTTTCTTGTTAACTACCTGAACGAAATGATGGTGCATAGAATTCAATTCCCCACTTTCCAGCTTAATATTTTGGGGCAAAAGTTCACTAATATTTCTTTCGAAAGCCAAGAAATTTTCACATTGCAATGTGTGACCTGCACGTTACCACAAATAGCGATCGAGAAAGCAAGCAAACTATCATAATGGTATATACTACTGATTGAGTGATATGAGTAGTTGCTAACCAGTTAAATAGTTAACAATAAAATTAACAATATATTTAAGTGTCATAATTATGACATACAATGAAATAGGCCCAAGGGGAGAGGAAAAGTTATTGAGATATCAACTAAACAATAATTTAACTGTGCAGTGAACCAATTACTCAATACGTATTGTATCTATGAGAATTATACACTTTTGTAAACTCATAGTCCATTCTCTTTCTCCAAAGGCTCCTACACATTCAAAGGTTTTTTCTTTTGGTAACTGCTAATATTAAATACACATTCATTCAAACGCTGAGCTGATATATATTCGTAAGTTACTTTGGTTAAATATCTTTCTCACCTTATACTGAACTGTAAGTTTACATCTGTCGCCAACTTTCAGATTCAGATTTTGCAAGGGCTGAATAATTTCCGGTGGTTGAGCTGGATTAATGTTAACCTGACAGGTTGTTGAGCATTCACCAAGTGGATTGATTGCACGACACACATATACTCCTGAATGACTAGCGACACGACACTGTGGAACCTGTATGAACATTATGAGGATAGAATGTGAAAAAGCAGTTTAAAATGTCGTATTTATGGATTTTGTTTTTTTCCTCAATCATGACATAGCTGATAAACTTCTATGACTGAAGTACCAAGTGATATAAATCTGATCCTCTGAGCTGGTGTAAGTTTCTCTGACTTTACAGATATCTTTTGCCAGTGAATAACAGTCATGCGACTAGAAAACGGGTTATAATACATCAAGGAATAGCTAAGACAATGAAATGGAAGTTACTAGTCAAAGATCCTCTTGATCTCTGAATAGTCTGATAGTCAGCAAAGTATCCAAATTAGGAAATGATCACCATCTTGGAGCTTTCTTGACAACATATTTCTTATAAAAACGGCACTAATTTAAATTATACCGGAATGTTTTGAAAATTATCATACTACTGTCCATTACGGACGGATACATCTGTAACATGATATACTCATGTTGACGACCCAAAAATCATATTGTGTGCAGAAGATCTTAAGAACTCATAACAAATTCCACAGAGAACAGCGGTAACGTGTCACCAAGTTCAGCCTCGGCTAACTAGTGCCTAGGTTTTAAAGTTTACACAGCATAGAAGATTGCATGGTGTAAGCAGTTGGAATTTAGAGCTTGATGGTCATATACAGACTATATGAACATCGAATAGAGATATACTCGAAGGGAATTACAATGAACAACCAAACTTTTAAAATTGCCTATTGTAATCTGGTGCATCCTCATTTGATAAATTATGTTATAAACTTCTGTATTGGATTCGTTGGGTGTCATGGATTTTTATCATGATCATTGAAGAAATATATTTTTCTCATCAGTGTATCTGATGTACAGACAGAAGTGGACTGACTCTGCCCATTGTTTCTGATAGCCAAATTTCCCAACGATACAGGAGGCGAAAAAGTCTGGTGCTACTTCACACAGAAAATTAAACTTCAACTAGCCACACACCTGCGTCGGTGGCACAATGGTAGAATGCTCGCCAACCACGCATGTGGTCCACTGTTCGATCCCCGGCCGACGCACTCCTTTACCTTTCTAAGCCAGTAATAAGACTGGTAAGAAGGGAAGGTTATGCATGAGGCTGTCAGCCCCATCCTGTAAAAATATTAACACCACTGTTACGGAAACTTCAAGCCTCTAGCTTGAAGCCCTATGTTCCACTGGGAAAGTAAAGGAATAAAAAATTTTATAAATTCACATATTTACTGTTCCATTAGCCCTTAATTTCTTCAATTTGATAAGATTTAATTTCAGAATGAAAGTTAGTCATGCGCAAAGTAATTTACAAGAATGGCATAGTTTTTCTTTTCAGACTTATAGGTGCTCCTTAATTGTGCTCATATCACGTCCTCATTGTAGTAAGTCAAAGAATAGGATTAGAACCTCGCAACTATTGGGATAAGAGAGTTTCAAGTAGGACTGCGGTAGTTCACATCACTGAATCAATTTCTAAAGACACAGAATGTGAATATTACCGATTCGGTCCCACTGCAAACAGTTTTAGCACTACAGATATCTTCAAACCCATACCTTCCGACGTGGGGGATACTGATGTTTACTATTCCCCGAAAAAGTCAAATGAGAACAGAAATAACTAACTGCTGACTATTAAACCAAAGTAACAGACCAGTAAGACAAATTGCCTACTCAATCAGAAAAATGCAGACAAAACATTAAACCAGTTGTACAAATTTTATCATTGATTATATTTAAGTACTATTATTAGTAGTATTATCATTATCAATATCGTGATCTTACTCTCAGTATTCCTGATCCGGCCAATTGAGTAATTTTAAAGTCAGGATTCTGATCTATCAACTGATCATTTCTATACCACGACAGGAATGGAACAGGCTGACCAACAGCTTGACAGTCTAACACTAGTTCCTGCGTTTCGTCAATGTAAGTCGACTTGAGATGTCTGTAAGGGAAGAAAAAGTCACGAGTGTAAAGACAGGTAATGAAAATTAAATCAAGTTTATCAATACTTTTGAAATTTACGTGCTTATATTTCTGAAGGTAACCTTAGTGTTCATTTAATGCCGGATTTTTTTTAACTCCTGAACGTTTTGATATCAATCTAGACATTATTTTCAGTACAGGTCAATCAGCAATTCGAGTTGAACTTCTCTCCATAGTTACTCTCTAGATGAAGGTAATATCAGTCAACTGAAACAAGTGAAATGCAATAATGGGATGGTCACAACGTCTCCTTATAAGGGTATTTGTGTAATCTTGATGGGAAAGAACCATTGTATTAGGAAAGTGTCTAAGTCGCTTTCAATTAAAGCAGATATCTCAAACTAACGTAATAGGTCAAACAAATAAAAAATAATGTTAGGTGAGCCTGGATGAACTGAAAGCATGAAATGAAAGGATTTTGTGTACAATTTTCCTAGCACTTTGTTATTACTACTAAAGTTAGTGCAGCTACTTTTGAGTATAACATTTAGTGGCGAAAAATGCCAACATTTATTGTAACATTGTTCTGTTTAGTACACCTTTGAATTATAATTTTTTACGGATTGAGAAGACAATCAGAGGCCAGTAAGTTAATGATTAAAGCCTCATAGTTCACTTATCCTCAGTCTCTATATAGTGTTCAGAACTCCTGAGTCCCATGGTAGATGAGGTTGGATCAGCTTATTAATGAATTTCCAAATAGTCAACGCCACTGACACGGCCTACCTGAAAGTCAGTTGCTCCCTGTTCATAATATAGGATATCAAAACTTTCACATTTTATACATAATGTAAACGTTTCAGGTGACTTGGCTTCACCTTACTACTTGAAAGCAGTCTGACTTGATGGCTACCAAGCCATGACATCGCTTTTCATCTACATCAGGGTTAAATGTTTAGTTTCCACGTCATCACGTGGGAAACTAACTCTTAATGTCTCTTCATGTCCTACCTAATGTGAACGTGTGAAAGCAAGTTCATGAAGTGCAAAGATCTTTTTCTGTTGACTCAGTATAGGAGTATTTCATTCATTAAAACCTAATATCTTGAAAGGAAGTTAGTCATCTAGTCCAGGACGAATGAAATCTCTCAAAAAGTGTAAGTCATTGACTCGTCTACACAGAAAAAAAACAATACGGTAAAGGAATTCACATATTTATAATAGACTAACTTGATAAATTGAGGTGGTTCACCAGTTTCACGAACAGGCTTTTGTTCTCTAACACTTCTAGTAGGCTGGATCATACTTTCATCAGCAGGTTGTGGACTGATTGGCTCGATCACTGTTAAAGTGCATCTTGTCTCAGCTTTACCGTATGGTGTGCTAATATGACATGAAAACACTGCATTGTCTTCAGTTAGTGTTTCAGATATTTTTAGACTGGCTGAATTGGGAGTTAAATTTACTTCATAATCTGGTGTAATCACTGGCAAACCATCTTTGTACCAGGTTACTTGTAATTGATTAGCATCAAATGGATTCGCATCTGGAAATGGTGTAAATGAATCAGAAGAAACGGAATTTGAAATTGGAGATAAAAACAATCCAGTCTGTATTCTCGTCTTTAATGTTTGATTTATGTCATGGCTTAGATACATTTGTGTATGGTGGCAGTATGTGTATGTACTCTATACTGAGTATAAACAATGTCTCGTGAATATGGACCGTATCAATGCTTTTTTAAGATTATCGCTAATATTTAGAAATCAGTCAAAATAAAAATGTACTTGACATAAGTTTCCTGCTTGTCAGTACTAGTTAGGAGGACGTTGATGGTGTTTTGCGACTCTAAAGTTTAGAATCTCAGTGATAAAGGCATATGTTAGACTAATCCTTGACCTAAAGCTTCGTGCCCATTAACAAACGACACACTCACTTCTAAGTTGTGAAGCGTACTTCATATACAATTCCGAAACAGGATCCACTGAAAGGAGGATATTTTATCAGCAGTAAAGTCGAGTAATGTTGCCTAAGGTCCTGAATAAATGACTACAGCTTCATTGATTTAACACTAAGCAGTAACCAATATCATGTATGGAGTCCTCAATGGCGGTCGAATTCTAATAGCCAAATTTGTAATGTAATCACTAAGTTTGCTGGTTCGTCATCACCGTGCGCTTTCACTCGATGCCCATCGCTTAAAACCACTCAGCATCAAAATAAAATGGTCTGACAAAATAAACATCCTAGTTTGAAAATTATATTTATTAATTATTGTCACCTGAGGATAATGCTTACCTGGTGGTAGGCCTGAATCGAATTTAGTCTCCATAACAACCTTTTTACCTTCTTCAGTAGTGATATTTTCCAATGGCTTGGTAATAACTGGTGGTTTCGCTCGCACTGGCATTACTATAGACGTTGATCGAATTTGATCACCGGCCACTTGCATACCTTGTGGTCGTTGTAAATCAATAAACTGTTCTGTTCTCACACGTATTTCATCAGACATTTGATTTAAATTGTTTATAGTTGTTTGAAATCCACTAATAAGTGGCTGTATAAGTTGTTTGGCTTCCACAGCTTTAAATTAAAAAAAGTGATTAAGAGATAGTTTAATAAAACTCAGTAGAGGTAATTTTGTTACATAGCGCAAATGCATCAGTTCATTGAGTACTTAGGAGGTAGGTTATACCAACTTCTGGATGTTAGTTATAACTGAACATTATCGTTTAGAAAAAGTGTGGACACGTACACTTACTAGCATCGTGTACTGAAAGAGACTACTTGAAATGAAAGGTCCCTCACAAAATATGTAGGCAACGAGATTCGATAATCTCGACCTAGTTGCATGAATGCTGCACTGCTAGAGGTACTGTTTACTCATAGATCCTAAAAATCTTTTTCGCGGACTAATGTTACTGCATAACCGGAACCAGATTTAGATGAATTGAATAGCCATAAACCGCAGCGGTGAATACTAGTGATAATATTCACATGTTGGGTTTATCTAGATTTAGCTTCTTTCAGGGTAGATTTCGACAAGTAAGTCGTTAGAGCTAAACAATAACTGAAAGTGAAAGAGACTGACAGCTGCTTCAGCCTAGCTTTGAAACTGTCAGCATTTTATCCATACTCCAGTAAGGAATCAAGTATATCATCTGTCAAGTTACTTTTGGACCTTCGAGTTAGAATCAGATAACTCATTCCTTTATCAAATGTTATTAATTCGCTATACACATGAACCATTATTTAATGTCTTTGGTGGTCCAATGCTGTCTAGTTTTCAGCATTTATGTAGACGGTATTGGTTGGTAGCTGAATCTATCTGAAAACTGTGGCATCTTTGCATTTAAGCCTTTCCTACCGTCAATACATGCAGGCCAGCGGAAGGAAGATATGAACACCTGCTGTGTCTTTTCGCCTACCTATTAAATATAATGATACAGCGACAGAGATTCACAGAAAAAAATCGTATACGAATACTCTGGTTCAGTGATTCGACTGTCAGTTCATGAGTTGCACATCTAATTGTTCCCCAGACAGGTTAATTTGATTGAGTATTTTGTTCAGTGGTGCATCGGTGGCACAGTGGTAGAATGTGGTCCGAAGTTCGATTTCCGGCCGACGCACACCTTTACCTTGCTAAGCCGGTAGTAAGCCTGGTAAAGAGGGGAAGTTGGGCATGGGGTTAGCAACCCCATCCCGTGAAAGTAAACATCACTGTTACAGAAACTTCAAGCCTCTAACTTGAAGCCCTATGTTCCACTGGGAATGTGAAGGAATAAACATTTTTGTTCAGTAAATATAAACAGCATATTCAGTCTAACAAGTTCATAGAATATGTATGTTGAGCATATATCTGTCATTAAATGTTCATGCAGCACGTAGCAAATCTGCTTTTAAATATCTGAAAATTTGTAGTATGGCTGTAACAAAAGCCTCCATGTTACCAGTTCTTAAATCTAATGTTATTGATGATGAGATAGAATAGGTTACGTTTAGCAGACAGGTCTGATTGTAAACAGGCAGTGACAAAGGTTAATCAATAATTTACACAAACTATTTACTCAAGAATGTTTATCCAGTTTCCTAATGACGTATCTTAACGTTATATTTCACAGCAAAGTAACACAGTAACGAAATGAAGTTGCTCTCGATGAGGACATAGAGAAGGGAAATTTGATCCAGTGATGGTTCCAGGTGTAAATGTCTTTGATTCCATACACAGAATTGACATAAGTATTTTTGCTTTACGGATTCACAGGTAGAATGAAAGATAACTCTATTACTTAAATCAGTGATTCAGATATGCTTATTTGCACCACAAACTACTCGGGGAGTTTTATTCAGAAAGAAATATGAGATAGAATAATTATCAAATTATGACATAACACTTTTTCAAGAAACTTACGTCGGGGATATTGAAAAGCTAATTGTTCCAATACTGGTATATGAGTATCAGCCAATACACGTCCTCGGTTAATTTGTTCAGAAATTTCAAAACGAATCTGTTCTATTTGATGGGTGTTTTGTAGTGAAATCTCAGCAATACGACTTTTAACATTATCTAAATTGAATGTGATCTGTGAAAGCACATTCTCAGCCATACTGACAGCGTTTAACAGACGTAGTGTTAAACTAATTTCTGTCCGACAGCGTACAGTTTCTTCCGTAAATGTGGTAAGACGTGATTCAAGTTGCTCGTGACGACGTCTTGTGACGTCCATTAGATCAATATTAGCACCAGTATATTCATTTGGTGATGGCTCACCCTGAATTAATTGCAGTCTCATATCTGGTGCACTTGAATGTATGCGACCTCGTAGAACCTAAATACGTGATGAAAATGAAACAAAAATGCAGTAAAACAAAGTAGAGAGTAGAGTTAATTACTTGGCGATTAGATAGAATCAGTCATTGTGGAGAACAGGACCTTTGAAGATGATATTAAACAGCTTCTCTCCCTCATACTGTGAAAACATCGTGTTGACTAACATACACCATCTACAACACCAGTCTAGACTGTCTGACATTGAAAGAAGTACTCTGGAAATTTATCTGGAGTTTCCACTCTTTAAAAATCCAAGAATATTCTATGATCAATTGTGCCAGTTTCTTCATCCTAATCACTTATCACCTCTATTAACAGTTATCTAATTCTCTGGTAAGCAAATACCATAAAGAACATCTTCAGACATTTCAACAGCTTCTATGTCGCAATACACCTTGCCTAAAGTAAATGCATTAAACTGAAATAATTGCGTTAACAAATTCAGCTGCTAGTTCGCCTCCAGTTACTGAGAATGTATTTTATGCCTTTTTATTGAATATACATCCAAGCAGGCTCTGCATCTATTTCGCACATTCTTAGAGGAGTCATTGGTTTAGCGCATATTAGCCAGATAAGTTGATAAACCTTTTGCCAAAAGTCACCCTAGCATTTATTCTGCTCAGAAATGTTGCCTCTGCGAGAACACTCTTAAATAATTTAGTCTTTGAATAATGTGTTTCGTTATTAGAATTCACAAGTTGCTTAAGCTACTGACTGAATGGGTACTAGTGCATTCGAGTTCTAGTTAAACTGGTCAAGTGTAACGCAATAACAGCATATACAGTTTTTGTAGGATAAAGTGCCACAATAAGATATACATATTTACACGTCTTTTGTAAAAAATTATATTTGTAAAATCTCAGCGAGATTGAAATGAGTAATTCCAACGTTTCGTTCGGCAATCTGGTCCGAATGCAAATCCTAAATCCGTAGCTGTCGAGTCATCTGACAACTCCAGAAGGTCGAATAAAGCAGCTCAATCTTCAGAAAGAAGACAAAGCAATAAGTCCGACAGGGTGCTTCTACTAAACTCTAATCCTAAACACCATAATTTTGAAACTAAGTCTAATCATAAAATTCTAGAGACTAGCAGTTTGAACAGACATGAAGGTGTGATGTTAGCTGATGCATAGAAAATCCTGATTAATAAATAAAAATGGATATGTATCACTAATTATTAATACTTGGTCAAAATTCTCGACTGTCCATATCTTCTTATGGAGTCATTAAGAAATGTTTTACAACTGTTTAAACACACACATATACACACTCTGTTTAAAGTGTTTAACAAAGGTAGACCAATATTTGTAAGTCCGAGGTCAAATTTTGATCACAGATCATACAATTTTGTTTATTATACTTGTTGAATGACTCATGATTGGACAAAGTGGTTTTTAAAAACAAGTGATATTTCCTTTTATATATAAACCTCTGTTATGTTAATTCGATTAATTTCCCTGAAGAAGTTGGGACCAGATTGCCGAACGAAACGTTGGAATTACTCATTTCAATCTCGCTGAGATTTTACAAATATAATTTTTTACAAATGTCCACTTCTCACTCGGCGCCCAAATATTTTAGAACTATTCTGTCAAATCTTGACGACAGTTCACTTGAATTACACGTCTTATTGATTGGGGAACTTATAAAGCGAGGGGAATTTGGAATTTTGTTGACTTACATTTGGCTACTAGGACTTTCATGTATACAGCCATTAACAAATATTCTCTGATAAACTTAAATTTACGAGCTGCTTTTACTTAAATTTCAATCAGTAAAGTGATGTCTGAGTTGTACACAGCAGAAGAAGAAGAAAAGGAAAGCTACTTTGTGAAAACGAAATCAGTTGGCCATATTTTTAAAACTCAATAGACCTAATGTGAATCCCAGTTAAAAGTGAACTCTAAGCAATTATCTAATAAACAACAGTTAATTTATGCTTAAATTAATACTTGTTATTTTATACTTACCGGAACAGTAGCCTCAATTTGACTCAATGCTCTGTCAGCCATTTGAACTTGAGAAATCGGTGCAGTCAATGAAACCATGCCCATAATTTCCTGTAATTTCCTCTCAGCCATAACTATTTCTTCTTCAATTCCCTTTAAAATATATATATAGGAAATTGTTTACACTGGAATTTTAGTTAAAACACAAATATTAATGAATCATTTCACATTTCAATGGAATGAATCATCAAACGGGATAAATAAGATAGTAAAAAAGAAATTCGCTATCGTTGGCCTGTTCAGATTTGTCTAAATATACGATACGATGTAGTCAAGTAAAACTAGTGAAACGTGGATACATGATCTACGGCATCAATTGAAAATATAAAAAATCGATACATTTTGTTTTATTTTTCTCGAGACTTACATCGCGAGATTATAAAACTGTAAATGGAAAATCGGCTAAGCACATGGTTAAAAAAAGGCGTTTTGAGCTGGTTTTTCCAAAGAGACATTACAACTATGAATCTGACGGGCTATTAATTTTGATAGTGATCAAAGCTTTATGTACTTGTAAAATAAAATTTGCCTAACAGGACAATGGTCATGTTCTGACCAAATTGCAACTCTACGCATCATCATCGAACAAAGCATGGAATGGCAATCAAATCTCTACCTCAACTTTATAGACTTTGAGAAGGTCTTCGACATCGTCGACCGCGAAGTAATTTGGAAACTACTCGAGTACTACGGCGTACCCCAAATATTCATCAACCTTATCCAACAGCTGTACGACAACGACACATGTCAAGTGATCCACAACGGAAAACTCAGTGAGGCGTTTAAAGTAAACACAGGAGTCAGACAAGGGTGCTTATTATCATCAATGATATTCCTAATTGTGGTGGACTGGATTATGCGTCAGACAGTGGGAAACGACAAGACAGGGATATCCTGGACCGACGTGAAGAACCTAGAAGACCTGGATTTCGCGCGTGGATGATTCATGTTTGATGTCACACAAAATCGAAGATTTACAAGCGGAAACCGACAAACTGGTGGAAGAAGCAGCAAAGATAGGAAGGAATCCAGGTGAACATAGACAAGACGGAAGTTATGAAAATAACCAACCAACAACAACAACAGCAACATCCAGCGCCAATCACCATCAACGGGAAGGATTTGAAAGAGGTTACTTCATTCACTTATCTAGGGAGCATTGTCTCAACTACTGGAGGAACGGACGAGGAAGTCAAATCGAGAATCGAGAAGGCGAGAAACACATTCATCAACCTGAAACCAATCTGCAAATCTTCGTCACTCAGCAACACTCAACAAAATTCGGATTTTCAATACAAACGTCAAGTCAGTCAGTTCTTCTATACGGATCAGAAACTTGGCGGGTCACAAAGAATATTTCCAACAGCCTGTTGCAGACCTTTATCAACAACTGTCTTCGTTCTATACTGAAGATTAGATGGCCGGAAAGAATCACCAACAAGAAACTATGGGAAGAAACAAAACATGAACCAATCGGCTAACAAATATGCAGGAGAAAGTGGAGATGGATTGGACACTCGCTGAGGAGGCCACTGGGTGACATCGCGCGTCAGGCCCTCGAGTGGAACGCGAAAGGGAAGCGGCGAGTTGGTCGTCAGTGCAAGGGTGACATGGAGGAGATCGTGTGTAGAAGAGTTGAAACAGTATGGACTAACATGGATCCAGGTGAAAAGTACATCAGAAGACAGAAGCAAGTGGAGACGTGCATTTGAAGCCCTATGTTCCACTAGGAACCTAAGGGAACAATAATAATAATAAAATTGCACAGCGTTCACATATATTGTACAAAATTTTCAGCATAGTTTGTTGTATGACATTTTCTCTTCATACAGGATCTTCTGCTACAGTATCACGTGACGGCGGACCTAGTGAAACACTTCTGCCTGACATCTGAAGCGCACACCAAGAAATTATGATCTCTCTCCTTTGTCTTCTTCGGTAAATGCATGTAATTTGCTTGAATGGCAATTAAAAAGTTTCAGGAATCCATTCTGTGAACCAAGGAAACTCCCTGACTCACGATTATGGCTTTTCTCACGATAACTAGAGACTTGCGAATCAGCAAGTTGTAAGCACATTAAATACTCGCCAGAGTATACAACGTGATCAAAGGTTATATTGTTTCAGATTTAAACAAACTGAACGGGAGAAATTATCTGTGAAATATCGATGGGGTTTTTCGGTAGGCCAAATTTAAGCACACCGCCAATATATATATATATAAATCTTTCAGTTGACTACGTTACTTATTTGAAGGATAAAATGAATTTTTGTTTTTTTATTGCACAGCTTTCCGTCAGCTGCTAACAGCCTAAAAAAATTGGCACAGTTTATTGTAAATAAATGTAAATACTTCAGAAATTATTTTAACTCTAAAGCCATGCCACTGCGAAGCAAGAGATATGAATACAAGATAGTTGATAATCTTACAACCAGAGTGTATCTATGCATAATATGAGGGATTGTTCCAGAGAGGAGAGTGGGAGTGAAAGTAAAACCACTACATAAAAAACAACTAAGTAAACTGGAATATTAATAAAGAATTCAGTCTATTGAGTTGTAGTAAACAAAAGTGATGACTTAACGAAACACAGAAACAGAGCAAAGATGTCTAGCTGCAAAGATTAGGTTGAAATCTTCTGATAGCAATAGCTACTAAAAATCGAATCAGCTATGGCTTTTTTTCTGTATATTGATTATTTCGAAAGCCAGGGTGAATTCGACTGAATACTCCGTGGTTGCACTTGCACACACTTTCTTACTTTTCATATGAAAATTATTGGGGATATGCTCAGAAATTATATATGTCCAAACCAAGTTCACTTTTAACAGTTTGAAAAAATTTGGGCATTGGGTTTGTGATATTCATTATAATAAAGGTTTTTCTTCAAATCATCAGACACACTGCAAAACAACCTTTTCCATATAAAAGACCAAATCCCTAAATATTCTCTATATAATTGTGTCTATAAAATAAAATGCTTGGAATGTGATGCAATATACATCGGACAGACATCTCGAGAAATCAAAATCAAACCGTAGAGCATCTGTGCAGCCATCGAGAAATCCACTTGAACTAGAAAAGCTTGAGAAATCATCAGTCATAGCTTGTCAACAGGCTATAGAATCAGGCCACAAAACTGATTTTGACAATATTGAAATAATCCAGAAAATTTTCAGAAATCATAAAGAACGTCTAATATCAGAAGCACTTCATGTTAATTGGAATCCGAATTGTTTAAATAGGAATGATGGACTAAAACAGAATTTGACCTGGTTATAACACCTTCCTCCTCCGTGAAGTGACAAAATCAACACGAATGTGATAAGCAATTTCATTGTATAAACACACGCTGCTTTTATAATTTTACACACTTATCAAATCCAACAATCTACACCTGATTTTGTTATCTTTACCAAATGACCAACTTGACAACGAAAAATGACCCCAGACTAACGAACGATGATCAAGTTAGTAAACTTTATTTTGATACCATAACAGATGTACTATTACCTTTGTTATTTGGTTTAGTGATCTTCATTGGTATTTTAACTTTCAATATGTCCTTTTAACTTGACCTAAGTCTATTTTCTCACCCTTTAACTCTTTGTTATATATATGCTGAGATTTAGTAAATTTCGGTTTAATAATACTTTGATAAGCTATTGGCATTAAATAGCGAAACGTCAGTAAAAACAATATCGTTTTGTTTTTCATTCATTGGGAAATACAAAATAAACCTTCATTATATGCTCAGAAAGTCTAGTGTATTCAATGATCTGGTATGCAATAATATACGGTCTTCTTTTTTCACATTTCAGCTGCATCTGTTCAAGGTGGTCCAAGAATACATTCGTAATGACAGGGCCCAAAGGTGAACCCACGGGCACTGCAACAGTTTGGCGGTGTCGCTAGTTACTGCATTAAAACTAGGTGTTTTTTTTGTATAAAGGAGTAACATTTCTCCCAACTCGTTTTTAGGATGAGAGAGTAATTCAGACTGCTGGCATATGATTTTCACTGTCTTTTGGGCTGCTAGCAGCTGATGACAACCTGTGAAATAAAACTAAATGAGCTGTTTCTATCCTTCAAATACATTCGTTCTCTCTTTGTCCAAACTAATCAGAGGATTTGGTTGTATGAAATTCTCTACTTAACTTCGTGCCCTTCAATCTTACTCAGCTTTACGTAACAGATTTATCACTGTAACTCGTTTTGCATCCTGCTGAACTACTCAACTATAATCTTACAAAAGTTGGGGGTGATATGACCTTACCACTGATGACCCCACTCGACTCCTTAATTTACAGAAACTTAATTATAGAATTTCCTACTGTCTGATAAAATGACTTATTCTGAAAGTAGTTGGAAGACGGCAGTTAATTAGTAGTGAACGGTGCGCATAAATATCCTCGGAACAATGAGCACGAACAGGTTAAATAATACATGGTTTCTCTCATTCTATTAGTAGTTTATAAAAACCCTGCTTATGGTAATAAAAAGCCTAAAACTGATTACTCCATGTAAATAAATCATAATGAGACCAAATTCAAAATGATAAGTAGAATAACCTTCCCCGGTAGTAAATTCAAGCCACAGGCTCACAACTGAAAACACACATATTACCTCTATTGTCGTTAAGTGTCCAAAATGTGTACCACGTCTTTCCAGCTGTATACTTCGGGATGTCCATGCCTTATCCCATGCTTTCCATCTTGTCTCCAAACCAGCTAGTTGCATACACATTTCAGAACGTATACGTTTTCCCATATTTGAAGATGCAAGTCCAGAATATGAAGCATCAACAGCTTCAACAAATCTCCAACCTTGTCCACTATGATCTTGATCATCTGGTCTAGCGCCAACCATTGCACCTAATTGTTGAGCTTTTGTCTTCAAATTCAATGTTAACTGATCAATTTCATTACGTTCATTATGATGCATTTTCAACGCTTCAGTAAGTTCATAAGGTTGACTTGGCAATGGTGTTCGTGACATTCGTGAAAGTGATGATGTCATCGTTTCATCCAGCTGTAAAATATTTCACAAAAATTTTATTAAGGAAAATTAGCTTCAGTAATACGGTAGTGAGTTGAATCAAGGATAATTATACGTAAAAGAGCCCATGCATTGTCTCCCTTACCGTTTCTACCGCCTCAACACTTCTATCAGCAATTAAACCAAGAAATCAATACTATCTCTCTGAAGACCACTATCCCAGCCTTGATCATAAGCTGTGGTCTTAGATACAAAAGTATCACGGATCAACAAAACATAATTCAACCAAAAATATCAAATACAGTCCTACAGGAGGTCAATCGCGGGCCTGAATAGCTCAGTCGTAGCGTCTCTGACTGCAGCACTGGGTGACGCGGGTTTGAATCTCAGAAGGGACATGAGTTCCTTCAAGGTTGCAGATACGCCTTGCTGATGAGTGCCAACTAGCACGAAACCTAGGTCCAAGGCTTTCTGACGATTACCTCCAACCATCTAATACTAGCAATTCACAGTGCACCGTAATGGCGAGCCACCTAGCATGGTGGCCACACTACAAGCTTGACTGATAAAATTCAGTCTGCACCGAAGATAGGACTAGACACATTACACTAGTTACTGACTAGTGTGCAATCAAGAAGAACATACTTCTGTCAATCAGAAATACGTTTAGTTAGGAAACACCAACATAGACACTGGGAAAGTTGAATTAAAGCTGTAGCAAGGATTTGAACACAGCTAATTATTTGTGAAGGTGGAATAAAGATGATTTTGACCCCCCCCCCAAAAAAAAACCCCAGTGAATCCTCCTCACTTAGTAACTTTATATACCTAGTTTAATTTTGAGTAGTATACACTGTTGAAAAGTAATAACACATTCTGCACTTGACGACATACAACTGGTAACTTACACTACGAGCTGTTTGTGTAAATATTTCCCATTGTTCTTGAGCAAGTTTATACTGGTCCCAGAGTTGTTGACAATTATCCCATGATTCACGTAGTTGAACTAAGCGTTTATTATTCAGTTCCAGTTGAACTTGACAGTAATGCACAGTTTCTGTGATCTGCAAATCTTGATCAGCCCTCTGTGTAATCTGTAAAAATTGTTAATATCACAAAGAGTTATGATGTATGCAGAAAAACGATAAAAGTTGTAGACAACTGTCATTTTTTGATTTAAAATCTTTTTGGAAAGTTGTTGAAAGAAAATTCACTTAAAAAGAATCAACCCATTTCGGGCACATACCAGTTATAATTGAGTGTATATACAAAATCTATGTACTGACCAAGTGTATTGTTAATAGTAGTCTTAGCCAATCAGCATACTTCAAAATTTCGGAAAAAAGGGGATTACATATTTTTCTGGTTAATTTCAATGTAGATTTTGCCACGAACCAACATCAGTTAGACATTCATTGGAAGCTATGGAGCACTGGACAGCTGTTTCGTTCCAATCTGGGACTCCTCATTAGTGATTACTAAAAATCCCACTGGGGATCGAACCCAAAACCTTAAGGTTATTAAACCAACTCTCTGACCATCATCCAGCTACCGCTTTGGAATCTAATGGCTGATGCATTCTAACTTCTGTCATTTCGCGATGTAGCGCTGCCGCCAACTAGTTCCACTGACGAGAATCCGCCTTACATCCAGCGTGGTGCTATCCCCGAGCCATTACTTTTCAGTATAACTTTAGGATATCCATCCTGATGTCACTGATGAGCAGGAAATAAGTACTCAGATTTTTGGATTTTTTCAGCGTATCTGATTAATTTCGGTGCTGATTTCGTCATGAAATCACGAATTGGACAAATCATGAACATTTTTAAATGCTTAAATATATGATTATGTTGTAAATACAATAACAGTGTTATAAACTGGTGACTGTGTAAGTGTAACTTTATTGTTCTGTAAATCATATTTGCTCTATCTTAATTATCACAGTTTCTGATATATTCGGTACAAAAGAGCCTTAGTAATGTGCCTCTTTGGTAGAATCCAACGTATAGGCACTAAAGACACACTTGTTGTTGATCAAGAAAGAAAGTTGACACAAACTCTGGTTGATAATAATTATTCAGATAAGTTTATTAGGAGATATAAAGTAGTTAGAACACCAAGACCCACTCTCCAAATCGCTGCTGAGAAAGACGTGTGCATCGAGCTATCCTACATGGGTGATCACAGAAGCTTGATAACTAGACAAAGATTGAACGCTGTGGTTAAAAAGACTTTTTGTGCGGCTAAGATAATATTAATTGAGACTGTGAAATCGATATATCCATCTAAGCCCTTTGAACATGCGAAAAATGATGTCACATCCCACTGTATTTATCAATTTGAATGTACTTGAAGTCACGCGTACTTAGGGAGGACTCATCTATCTCTGCAAGTAAGGGCTGGTTTCAGAGCGCGTTCCAAAATGTCTTCAGAAGCAAATATAATCTCCAGAAAGCATTAATAGTGAGAACAGGAGACCTAGCTCCTCTATCGCAAAACGTGTTACAGAGACAGGACATAAAATTCATGTTTACAAATCTTTTAAACCTTTCTATAAAACGTGTTTGGGGCGTATCCTAAAGTTTGTGGAAGTCCTAGATAGCGATTACGAAGCTTCAACCACATTTATGCACCCCAAGCAACAATTCGTCATCACAATCAACCTTCCTTGGTAAACTTTGTTTTCATACCATAGCAGATGTACTATTACCTCTCTTACTTGGTTTAATTGTTATTTTGACCCTCAATATGTCCTTTTAACTTAACCCAAGTCTATTTTCTCACCCACCTCTTATCTCTTTATTAATTTCACATATATTCCTATGTCAAGTTCTTATGTGATCAGATTGTTCGGAATGTGTTGTGCGAATACATTACACGATTCAGACAAATCACTTCTTCTTATTGCTTTGTCTAAACTCTTATTTACGTATATTTATCCATGAAAAACGATAGTACCTGCATGAATTAACGTTTTTACCTGATTCGGATACCGTAAAACATAGGACGGAGTTTTTGATGTAGAAACCCCAAGTGTACAACCTTTCTCTTTATTAATAAGCAGGACAAGAAGAAACATCTCTGACCTGGTGTAATTTCGCAGAAAGTTGCAGAGGCAAACTTTTTTTGAACAAAAGCAAACAAACCCGAAAATTGAACTTGTTAGTTTGTGCAAACCATCATCAAATCCAACACGCATAAAAAAAGACTCCCTGTCAATCTTTTATACTCACATGATCAATAAACTGACGAATCAGTATCTGTTGTTCTTCTAATCGACTTGTAGTCATATTTAATTCACTGCGCATACGTTCAGCTGCCTGTGGAGATTCTGTAGGACCGGCTATCCAACTCGGATGAAAATCTAAGCCAGTTGTTGTTAATTTCATTCTGTCAGCTTCATGCATCTTTTGCACAGTTAGATTATACTGATATTCGTCTTCACGTATTCGTCTCAGTAATGAAGAGAAATGATTTGCTAATTCTAAGCGTAACTGAATTATTTGACGATAACGTGTCCAACATGAGGTTAATTCATTTAAACGATCCTATACAAATAATGGTATTGAAAAAAGGAGAACTATAGTAAGCAAAATGCATTATTTATTACTATTAGTATTATTATTATTGGGAAATGAATACAGTGAAGAGTAAAACAGTTTTTACTTGAATGCTGGCGACAAGGTTATATCGATGGCTTAACAAACTTCTTCATCGCTTCATGCGTATTGAGTACTAAACACGAAAAAAGTTCTTTCTGTCATTAATAAGTGACTGAATTTCAGAGCGTTTTACGATAAATTTTAAAGTTAAGAACACTGTTTGCGCCTGGTTGTTTGGATTACGTACGGATCACCGGTAATGACTAGTGTGTTCAGTTTCTTAGAATTTTCCAGCTTTAGTTATGTGTTTGTACACATAAAAACATGACTTATGTGCAAAGAGAAACCAGAAAGTTTGTACCCTTCAGTTTCTCAAAGCCTTGTTGGTTGAGAAAAGTTTAGTTTCACTGTCTACAAAAATTCTTAGGGTAACCTTATTTCAAGAACCCATAATTCTAAAGTTTTTTGAAGGAGTTACAGTAGCATAATACTAGATACAGGATTTCATCATGAACTGACATCGGTTAGAAAACCATTGGGAAACCTGAGAGTACTGAACAGCTGTTTCATCCTAGTTTGCGACTCTTCAGCAGTACGCATCCATTGTTGTAACCAGAAGGTCCTGAATTCGAACCACAGTGGGTGCGTACTGATGAAGAGTCGCAAACTAGGACGAAACAGTTATCAGGTACTCTCATGTTTCCCGGTGGTTCTCTAACCAATGTCAGTTCATGCATAGGACATGTTTTATTCTTCGTTTTCTGTTGTTTATTAAAGTCTGCTCAGCGTTGCCAACTTCTCATGTTTCTTCTTCAATCACTTCTCCGAAGATGTTACTTCCTATGACTTAAAAGTTAGTGTAAGTTCAGATGGAGAAGAAATTTCATAGGCCATAGATAAAATTTGATTTAGGATATATTCTGTCTCTATGTTATCTACTTTCCAAATATGAATATAGCATTAATTGAAAGAGTAAGGTTGGCGATGACTGACTTGGTGTGCTTGGTGTCACTTATCTTTCAGAAGCTCGAGTTGAACTTATGAAAAGTTAGCAACTTCTACAACCGTGTTTACTTTGATGAGTTTCTGTTACCTAATCCAAATAAATGAAACTTGTCACTTTCGATTTCGATTTCCATCCTAGAAAAAATTACCAACAGCTACTGAGTGAATTCTTTTTCCCCTAAACTGCTAACAGATCTTCATGTTCATGAATATGATTTGTTCTTACTATAGTTGTCATATACTACTCATGAATGTGTTTTCTGGTCGAATCCCCACTTCAATTAGCACTAAATACAATTTAAACAGTTTACGAACGAAAAACTCTCCACTGACAAGGAAAAAGAATTTACCTGTGAACTTGACTTTCCAGCAGTTGGTGATAGACGACTAATAGCAATGCGTAATTCTTCCAATTCAGGTTCTCTAGACTGCAGTTCACGTTCAAGACGTCGATGTACATCTTCGAAATCGGCTACCTGTTCAAGCGTTGTACCAGATCTTCCGTATTCCACAAGTGAATGGTAAATTCGTTGACTCAACCACATACTCAACTAAAAAGTAGGAAAAATTATAAAACGTCAAGTGATACTGCTACAATCCATGAAATATTCCTTTTAAAGTTCTATACTATTCAGACGTAGTTGAGAACAATTATCTCAGTACACTCATTCATTCACTTTAATAAACACGATGAAAACTATTCATGAAATCAAAACTGTTACTTACATCATTCAAACGAAATTCAGTTTCTTCACGTTTCTGAATTTTGATGTTTAATTCCCTGTGTTTATTGAGTAGGTCACGACATCTTTCTATGCCTTCATCAACCTCACGCATTTTACTAGTCACTGAATTTGCTGCCGCTGGCGGTAATTCAGATTCATAGGCAGGCGGTTGTATTTTAACGCCTAGTTGAGCTCTCAGTCTAGACAGTCTAGCTGGTTCATTATAACTGCTTCGTAATTCATTCATTGTTTGCTTTAAACCTGGTACACGTACTTCCAAATCAGTCAGTCGATTGTAATAGATTTCTTCCAGTCCAGTCTGTTGAAGATCTCTTGTCTTTTTCATGTCTGATTCAAGTTGATAAATTTGACTGAGAAGCTGAAGATGAAAAGAGACAAAGCAGAATTTGTTAATCCATGTTTAAGGCTGTGGTCAGAGAGGATTAATGGCAGGAAACTCTGGCAACGAGAAAAACAAGACATTGTAGCCTAACAAATATGTAGAAGAAAATGGACACTGATAGGAAATATGCTGAGGAGACCGTTGACTGACATCACCATCGAATGGAAACCCAGTCGGAGATGACGACTTGAGCGTCTGAGGGTGACAAAGATGAGCTCACATGACGAGGAAATGAAAGCTCATGGGCAGTTATAGTGTCAGCTAAAAGTAACTACAGAGCACAGAGTGAAATAGAGTTTTTGCTTCTGATGGCCTATGTTCCAGTCGGAACCCAAGGGAATAAGGAATATATAAAAAATCTGTTAAGGCCTGTGAAGTATATATATCGTAACCACCAGCCAATATCATACGCGAGTAGCTGTTCTTTTACCTGACTTGTAACCGGAAGGTCCTGGATTCGAAACTCAGTGGGTGCGTGCTGATGGAGATTCCCATACTGGAAGAAAAAAATTGTCGGTTACTCTCGGGTTTTACAGTGGTTCTGTGACTGATGTCACCTGGTGATCAAGCCTATAACCAATCAAATCCCTGCAAACCGCCACTTCATAAACGCATACATTTTATACAAGGAACACTTTGGAAAGAATGAGTGTACAAATACCTCTGTTGAAACAGGAAACTGAAAACATAGGCTAAAAGTGTCCCACAATACTTACAGCCGGTTTCCAATGGAATTAGAGACATAAGGATTCATCCTAAGGGTTTTCTTATCCTACCTTTGTGAATTTCGTGCATCTCAAAGGTATCAATATGCGTCGTTCAGTTTTTTCCAGTCAAGTGCAGTACAAGACTTATAATTTTCTCCAATAAGGATATTTATTTAGGCTGTTCGTCAGATTAGGGACTACTCGATACAAATCCATTGGTGTTATCTCAACTTTAATAAATTGTCGGTACAGTAATACTTGAATAATTCTTTAGTCTTGTTCCGAATGGCTTTAATTTAGCTTTAATCCCAAGCTTAATCTTCGAATTTTCAGTTGGAGTGGTGTCTCCTATGGGCTCCAAGTTCAACCTTCCATTTCTACAGATTTTACTTCCGGTTGAGCAAAGTTTAGCAGTGCCTTGGCCGACAGTCGATGCACATTCCCCTATAGAATCCCTTTAAGCATATAAATAGTTTGCTGTACGAATGCAAATGATTTATAGGCAAAAATTTTATCTGGACTATTATGAGTCTTTCGAAACGGCCTGACAGCTTCAAAGATTCAGCTGTCTACTCTGATTACTATTTTTACAACCAAAACAACAGTCAATAGCACATTGTAGCTAAATATTTCAGGTTTGATATTTAATTTGAACATTTAATCAAATAGTAGAGATCATAAAACTTTGTAGATTTTGATAGCTCTTTATTTACTGAAGCCGGTATATTGGAAGAAGGTTAGCGTCCGGGTTTGACTCGCGGCTGATTCACTCTTCAATCAGTAGTAAGCCGCATAATAAGGGGAGGTTTGGCGTGAGGCTCCCAACTCCATCCCGCATAAACAACACTACTACTACTGAAACTTCAAGAGTCAAGCCTGAAGCCTCATTTCCCACTTGGAATGCGAAGGAATGGAAGAAAAAAATAAGAGGTACAGAAGAAGAGAATAGAAATGATGGCAGCAATAACTTACAACATTAATTTCACTATAATAAATGACGCTAGTATGCAGCTGACGTCTTCTGCTTTCAATCCTTTCTAGAAATTCCCAAATATATGATTCTGTAGTCCTCAGTCTAGTAATCAATTCAGAATATGCACCATGAGTAACACGCCAGGTATCTGAGTCATGAACACTCGTCATTTCAACTTCATTATCACCCTCTAAACTGACTGGTAAAGAATGCAAGCCCAATTCTTGTTCTTGTGCTCGTAGGATTTCCGATACACTTTTTTCACGTTTTCTACGCCATGAATCTGTAGTTGTCGCTTGATGTAAGTGTTGCATTAAACGTGAGTGTGCATTTTGTAGGTCACGAACCTCATCGGCAAGAGTCATTAACATATCCAAATTAGCTTGACACTCGGATAGACTTGTTCCAACTTGTATGTCTGAAAAACGAGGTTCACCAGTCTAGAAAAACAAAACAAATAAGGTGAACATTAAAAATATTTTGCAAACTTTATTCTCTATATGGTTGGAGGTAATCGGTAGGAAGCCATGGACCTAGGTTTCGTGCTAGTTGGCATTCGTCAGCAAGGCAGGCTTGAATGATAGAATTCGGTTTGCACCGAAGATAGGACTAGACACATTACACCAGTTACTAGTGTCCAATCAAAACTTTATTCTTTGTTTAAATTAATGCGGAAAGAGAAAGGGGAAACAAGGTACACTTTCTCTTTGTTTAAATCTATGCATTAAGTTATTAAGAAATAATAGTAGGATGTCATAGTGTAGGTGTCAGTAAGTGTAAGCTGTCAGTAATGGTTGAAATTAACATGAAACTCTAGTACAGTATCATATCTAGACCCGTGGCTTTATAATCATTAATTCATAAGGGTTTTTAATGAGTTAGAAATCAACCAAAGCATTAGGTCTGCATAAACAGAAGGTGCCTACGACTGTGTACCATTTTGATTGAAAATATACTCAGTCAAACCTCATCAAGATATGCATCGGCATTACTTATTTAAGGAGGAGAAAGTAAACTTCTGTAAATAATTACCTCTGTAGCTAAACCTTTTTACGTATTCCGGCATCCTTAGTGAGATGGCAAATGACTGATGGAGTCATCCAAGGTTGACTGTTTTGAATAAACCTGAAACATGTCTTACTGAATTCACAGTTATCATGTTTCTATGGTTCCTTCTTCTGAATGGACAGCTAGATTCTAAGAGTACGGAGGTTTTATATGCCTTAACGTTGTGTTTAGTCATTATAAATCACTGATTCTGCCAAGTTTTAGCTTCTTTCTGCTTGCTTGACTTTTCAAGCTCATAGTGGAAATGAAAAGCTTTTTATTTGCTTCACCCTCAGAGAATGTGATTTTCTTTCGAGATTACCATTTTAACAGTCTGTTTGCTTTAGTCGAAGTACTCGTACATTGTGGATGATGAAGAATATTTGTTTAAGCATAAGAATTAAGCTAACAGTCTGTTTAGTTAAGGGAAGTCAAACATACATGTTTCTTAATTATGCTTTGATACGGTTCCAGGAATTATCTTACACTCTTCAAATTGATTCCCAGCTGAAGTTTAGACTGTGATTGTCAATATTGATTTCATGTCATGAAGTTTATCTGCCACTCGATGCTGTTAGATAAGATGTGTAATAGTGCTTTCAAATTTTCATAATGTAGTGTATGTGGAAGTTGTCTCACTTTGTCTTCTAAATTATATTTGGTTTTCTAGGTTGCATAGCATGCATTTCTAAAAGTCGAGGGGTTTTGTCTACTTGAGGCCTTGTTGTGATCGACCGTCTGCCAATCCGTAAAACAGGAATATTCACTCCTTAGTTTCTTGACCTCAGTTGTCCTGCTGTCAATGATGGAAGTCTCTGAGTAGCAATTTTTTGACACCGCCTCATGTGTAGATTGTCTTCTTCTGATATATTTTGGGACATTTTTAATCCCGTGGGTTTTCCAATGTTTTGCCTTATGTGCTTTTCATGCAGATTATAGGAATTTTTCTCTGGTAGTGAGTGATCTCTGTGTGGGCTAGATTCTTATAAAACTTTATTTGTATTTTGTATGAATTTCTGTCATTCTTTTAGTACGACAGCTGCTTCCCACCACCATCTAATTTTAAGATGATTTTATACCAGACTGAATTATATTTAGCAATTAGCCATCAGAAATCGGTTATGATTTTAAAAAAATATTTTTATTATTTTTATGATAGAATGAATACAATTCATTTTCACTGCAAAGTTAATGAATGCATAGTACATAATCCTTACCTTCACAAACCAGTCAACAATACGTTCTAGCTCTGCTTCCATAGAAACTACAGCTAGTCTCAGATGAAGTAAATGATCACGACGATTCCATACATCTTCAGCATGCCGTCTAGCAACTCCAGCTTTAGAAGTAATCACTGCTACACGTTCTCTAGCTTCAATACTTGCACGTCCAGATCCAGTGTTTGAGGCGGAAGTTGAACCACCAGCTTGACACGACATACGACCAAGTAATTCTAATAAATTATTAGCTAAATTCAGCATGTTATGCGATGGTTCCAATAATCCAGTACGTTTCAAATTTTCGTGTTCCTGCGAATAAAAGAAGTTTAGTGGATAATATTTTTTTTATAAATGAAAGACTTTTGACCGACACAACTCTGTTGTTCCTTGTACTGGTGCTTCTTGAAATCGGCGAAGTGAGACGCCTTGCGGCTTTAAGTTCAGTAAAGTGGTGCATAAGTCTCTCATATAAATGAATGTGCTTCGTAGTTCACCTATTATCCGAATCATACCCAATAAAAACAATCTTTATGTAAGACACATTACAAATGTCAGTTTGGGTGGATGATTAACGAACAAGTTCGTAGAAAGCAAATACCAATATGGTTGTGAAAAATGGCAGCCTGAATTAATCATCTTTTATACGTTATGACTATGTTCGAAATACACAATATACAATGGAGTGTATACTACTTAATTCTTCAATACTTTATACAGAGGTGTTTTTTAATGAACAGCAGGGTGTGTTCATTTGTTGTCGTCACTTTATCATCTAATTATTGTTAATTGAACACCTAATGCATTATATTTGTGCATTTAGTTAAGTGAAGCGTACATCTACTGATTTCACTGGTTCGAATATGTATATGTTTACATATCTCCCCTAAAACTACTTTTTTTCTTTGCATTCTTCAGAGGTAACCAACAGGCAAACAAAGTATGGTGTTTATTTGAAAATTTTGCATGATACTATTGAATAAAGGTGTGCGTCAGGGGCATAGCGGTTAGGACGCTCACCGACTATGCACATGGTCCGGGGTTCGATCCCCGACCGACGCACTCCTTCACCTAGCTTAGCCAGAAATAAAGCTGGTAAACAGGAAAGGTTGAGCATGAGGTTAGCAACCCCATCCTGTAAAAATAAACATTGTTACAGAAACTTCAAGCCTCTAGCTTGAAGCCCTATGTTCCACTGGGAATGTGAAGGAATAAAAAAAGAAACTGAATAAAAATAACGAAAGTGTTTACATGAAAGTTTATTTTTAAAAGCCTTTTGTTCCTGATATTCACCTACATACAAAGAGCAAAGGTTATGCTTTAATCGGACCTCAACAAGAAAGATTAAGTTAAGAGTTTAAAGTGTGGTTAGAAGTCAAAGGAATTTAGTAAGAAACAACAGATAACAAAAGTATGGTGAAATGAGTCGAAAGGCAACACAGTATCTAATCCAGGATAATGTCCCAAATCACCTCCACGTGAAAGTGTTGAAAATGATACTTAGTCAAAATATAAGTCTGGGGAGTAGAAGACAGTTATGAAGGTGTAAATATGCTGAACTTAAAACACTTAAAAGCACAATACTAAAATGCCAACAACATTGTGTGCGAATTTTTTTAAAATTCTGGTAACTAGCATTACAATGACACTGACTAATTTCGAATATTTAGTTTTTTAAAATACTTAACAAAAGAAGTCGGTGAGAAAAATATTCACAACTCAAAAGCCTACCTCTATTAAACGACGCACTGAATTGACATCATGACCCCAACTGCCAGTGTTACACAGATGTTCAACTGTTTCAGCCTGGTAGATAACATTCTCAGCTGAATTGAAGCATTCCACCGCCAGGTCAAGTAAACGTCCACGTTGTGTTAATATGCCAAGTAAATCACGCCAAGCGCGATTTAAAGATTCCGCCATTGCTGCGTACACTTGACTTTGATTGTCTGAAGTCTGCTGAGTGACTAAATCATCGGCTCTTGACAAAAGCTCAGAGATTTGTTCTTGTTTAGACTGTGAAAGCGAAGAAGCAGTAAAATGAAATAACAGAGTAGAAAAAACAACAATTAAAAAGTCGATAATCTAAGGCACCAACAAAGTGACAACATAGTCGGAAGTAAGAGTTTGTAAGGACTTGGATTTGATTTGCGCATTCATATGCTAAAGTTAAAAAGGTGGCTTTCTGAAATCGCTGAAATATTATTTCGTCAGGGTATTTCGAAAGTGGACAGCGTCATGACGCTAATGTCATACACATGTACAAAACTGCACACTCACTCATTCACTAATTCTAGCCACATATCTGTAATGTCTTTACCCTCTGTTGAACTTAACTCAGATTAGTCAAATTCATTTATTATTCATAAATTCTCTGACTTCAAGTTTATATTATATAGCTTTTAATACACTTCTGTCCTCCTAATTACCAGTTAATAAGTGAAGACGAAATCAACATTCATTTCAAAATATTCGAAAATATTAAACCAAGAGCCAGTGTCTTTTATTTTTTGACTAAGTAACTGATGTCTTTTGTCAGTTAACATCGTGACTAGTCTGTCTTTAGTGTTCAAGTATTTCAATGTCGAAAATATTTGAATATTGAACAGACGCAAAGAAGTGTAAAAGTTCGTATATACATATTTATCACACATAGACACTCATACACACATACACACACAGAGACCCTTACACCGAAGCATTAATTCCAGTTTTTCCAACAAAACAGATTTTGGAAAGAATTACTATTGTGTATTATCAGCATCCTGTTGACAAGATATGCACCATCCTTACTTTCTTACTTTACTAGTGATACTATGTTTTCTTTCTGACTTTATATAAACGCGTGTTAGTGACTGCTGCACTACTACTACTAATACTACTACTAGCAATAGTAGTAGTAGTAGTAGTTTTAAGTGTTCACCTAAACGCCTACCTTGAATTTATGAACTGCACAGAATCATTATTCATCTCCTCGGGGGGTGGTTATTGTTTTTATTTTATCAGCTAAATACACACCTTTTACCACATCGGTAAAAGAGAGAATGTTTTAATTAGTAAACAGTTTAGTCACTGTGTTCACATCTTTGTGTGTGTGTTTGACTGGCTACTGAACAATCACCACTATGCATATTCATCCGGCGTGAACAACAGCGATTATTCAAATCTAGTAATGAGGTCAGGTTTTAAAGAATAATAGCTGTGTAAGTCTGTAAGTTGATGGTTAGTGTTTCTCAAGTAAATAATTTTCATAAAAACTGACGCACAAGGCCATATCAGTATGCTTACACCAGTTAACCTGCTCCTTATGATCAGTGTACATCGGTTATACCAAACGTCCACTTGTAGAAAGCCTTACAGAACACTATACAGACTGTCTACTGAAGAGAGAACAAAGATGTGTCTTTGATTTGACAACAGAACGTTTTTGGGACTCAGGACAACCGGCTTCATTTGATAAATCTCTTAAAAGTTTTAAGCGGTACATACTTTTTTTGATTAGACACTAACTAGTCAGTAGAACAACTGGACCTCGTCTTTCCAAACTCATATCATTTATAGGTACAACATTTCCTTTCTTTCTTTTCCTTTTCTCTCTCTCTTTTTTTCCGTTTTGTGCTGCTTTGTTTCTTTCTCTGGCTTACGCCAGTAAATATGACAGCACCTACTTTTCTAACACCTTCAAACACTGTTCAGCTTCGGCTTTGCTACCGATATTCCAATATGTTGTTGTCATAATGAACTGAGATTTCCTTAATCTATGTAGAATTCTATTTATTGATAATGTACTAACTGGATGCAATACTGTAGTAAAAGTGCTGAGAATTCCATTCTGTATCACAAGTACTGTTTTGGAATAAAGCAAATTATTATTATTATCATTATTATTTTTACGTATAGTCCTCTGTTTACTGCAGACTGAATTCTATCAGTCAAGTTTGCAATGTGGCCATTATCAAGCTAGGTAGCTTGCCATCATGGTGCACTCAGAATTGTTGTTATCAGATGATTGGAGGCAATCAATAGGGACCCTAGGACCTAGGTTTCATACTTGTTGTCACTCGTCAGTCAGTAAAGCGTATCTGCAAACTTGAAGAAACTCATGTCCCTTCTGAGATTCGAACCCGTATCACCCAGTGCTTAAGTCAGAGACTTCCCTACTGAGCTATCTGTGAGGAAATACTTTCTTCATTGATTTGAAATTATGCTCTGAAGATCATTGAAAAGTCAGTTATCTTCATTCATCTCAAGTGCCTGTCAATTTCCTAAGATAAACAATCGAACGTGAAAGAATTTACCTGGCTAACAGAAACAGTTAAATCTTAGTTCAAAATTAGTTTTCACCTTCGAAATTATACTGACTTATAGTCAAAGAAGCTTACAAATTAGCTTTTAAGTTATTTTGCCGATGTCCACTTGCTTTATGGTTTATGAAAATATTTTCATTCTTACCCTTCTTGAAAATGCCACCTAATAAACTCACTATACTCAAACATTCTGTATGACAAAAGGAGATTTATACTGACTTGTATGTCATTCACTTTATCGCAGAAGGATTAATGAAGGTTAATGTCTAAGACGTCTAAAGTAAGAGGAGGTTGTGCACTCTGGCAATCACTGAGAAGTCAATGGAGGTTTGGGATCATGGAAGCCATTGAAAAAAAAAAAACGATTTCAGACAGATACAGTTAATCACCAATCACATAAAAGTAACCATATCGAGTAACAAATGAATAATCAATGAAAAAGAATAAAAGCTTAACACATGTGGAACAAATTCATATCTCTTGTTGGGCAGATAAACGTGAAGAAGTGAATACTAGCTGTGCTTTCTCAAAAAGTAAGGTATTAAGAGTTCAGATGCAGGAGGTCAGCAGCGTACCTGGAATTCGCCAAACACTTAGATTATAAGATACCAACAATTTTTTTTTTTTGGGGGGGGGAGGGCAGTTAAAATTATTGACCTTCTTAATACTGTGGTGGTGTAATACAGACAATGTCTGCCAACGGAATGTTATGTCTCACATGTTCCCACAGTTCAATACGGCATTAACAACAGAATACAATACATCTATTTCAACATTCTATTTGATGGTAGAGACAGAATACTTTCCCACAGTTCAATACTTCATCGAAAACAGAATTCTATGTATATTTGAACATTCTATTTCATGTCCCTTAATGTAAACCGAAATCACAAGCTCAGTGATTGATTAACGAATATAAACTGTAGTTATATAAACAGCGGTTTGATCAGTGGAGTATATACCTTTGCTTCTGTGCCTTGCCTTCTACTGTACAATAATACCGTACGACAGATTCCATTCTGACGCATAAAACTGAACAGGAACAGTGGAGTGCTGTGAATTTATAAGAATGTTCTAAAACCGGGCATAATAAGCACATCCTGTGATTTGCTTTATTTTCAGTGTACTAATTATACAATACAGAACTTTGGTTCGTTGAACAAAATATAACTGTGTTAAAAAGTTTCAGATAAATCCAGTAAGGTGCAGCAGGTCGGGTGTGAGGACAAATACTCGCCGGAGAGATTGGCTAGCGGTTGCGCTATATCGTGAATTGGCAGAAGTTAGAATTCATGGGCCATTGGATCGGGTCCCAGTGGCTTAATGGTCTACGAGCTTGCCTTGTAACCAGAAGGTCCTGGATTCGAACCCTGGTGGTGGGTGCGTACTGATGAAGAGTCCCAAACTAGGACGAAACGGCTGTCCAGAACTCCCAGGTTTTCCAATGGTTCTCTAACTGATGTCAGCTTATGATGAAATCCTGTAATAAATCCATTCTACCTGTCAAGAATATCAATTCCCAGTTGATTTGTATGATAAAATATTGACAAAGGAAATAGGATTTGAACTAACGATGACATGTCTGCTAACATTCATTATAACATAAAATAAAATAAATAAAAACGATTTCCTTTTGAAACTTACAGCCAACTTAGCGCATAAATGCTCATGTATTTCCTGTAGTGAACGCGCTTCATCAGCATTTCCTCCAATATCATATAGATCTGGTTCCATACGCTGAATGCGAACACGGATCCAGTTACCACACTGAAAGGTTGTGAACAGAAAATGCAATTGTAAAGCATAGGTTCGTTAAGTATTATAAAGATAACATTATAGATAATTCCCAATATTGTTGGTTGATTATGTACAAATTGTAATGGAAATTTATTGTCCGTTAAGCTAACTACTTTGAGGTAGGCAGCTTAAAGAAAAACCAAATGTCATCTTAAGCGCAATTATCTTATCGTTGACGACAATACTACTAATCAGAGCATTAAGAATCAGTGTTTTAAAAAAATAAAGATATTTCCACAAAAGAAACAGTAACTCATCAACCAATCTCGCAGATATTATTCCCCCAAGCAAAGTATGTATGAAAATAGTTTGACTGAAAACAGAATGAAAACATTTTTACAGGTTAAAATACCCATCGGTCTTTATTCCATGGCTTTTCACTAACTACTAACAGACTAAAAATAAATTGCTATAAATAAATGTAAATATATGTAACATCTAAAATTATTTGAACTCAAGGGCTATAGTTCAGGAATAAGAGATACTAGTACAAGATAGCTAACAATCTAACAACCAGAGTTTGCTTATACACAATGGGATGAAAAATTCTAGAGGCAGAAGTCGGAGTGAAAAGAAATGGTGGATAGAAGTAAAATTATCCCCATAAACAGACAAATAAGTAAATTGGAAGACCAATAGTGAATTCACCTCAGTGAGTTGTGAGTGATCAGATGAGGAACTGAATGTACAAATAGTTTCACTAATGAAAACTATTTTATGTGGTTTTTAAATCTGGCAGTAAAGAACTTTTATGACACTTCTGTAAGACTGCCATATTTATTCTTATTACACAACCATTCAACTAAGCTTCTGGAACAAAAGTTATCAGTAATAAAGATGACTAAATTTGTTATTCTGTTAATAAGTTACGAGAATGCTAGCTTAAAAGTTTACAGTAAAAGGTAAAGAGGATTAATGTCGTTCATAAGACTAATTCATTCATTCATTATAATGTATATATAATTGTAGAACCTGATGATGAATTTATCGAAAAAAGTTCTCTTCGTTCCGTGTCTATTCTTTTAAAGAGGATTAACTTTTTGCACACTGTGTGTGTATTTGCGTTGCTTTTGAGTCCACTATTAGGAGGGCAATGGGTGCCTACTGCCGAAAAGTTCCAAAATAGGATGAAATAGTTGTCCAGTACTCCCTGGTTTTCAGTGGTTCTCTAACTGAAGTCAATCCGTGGTTTAACCTGGAAGATTAGTTAGTTTTCTGGTTAGTTAGAATCCCTTTGTCCAGATCAGACTTTTCTATAACAGTTTAGTCTCGCTTATTATGAGAAGGCTGGTGATGGCACATTGTTGTTCAGGCTGAATTGAGTGGAGTAGGGTTCAATCCGGAGACCCAGTGGTCGCAAGTCGATTATACAAGCCAATGAGACATTAGATTAGTATGGAGTGTTAACAACTAGGAGACTGGAATTCTTCTAGCTGTGACATTTGATAGTGGACATTTTATTACTAAGCTTGCTGATATATTGAGTACTAATTTCACTAGGAAATTAGGTCGTAAAGCCAATTCCATACACATACTCTTAGTATTCTGCATTTTGAGACTTCATACATCTGAATATAAGAAATGTACTTGGAGGCATGTAAAAGTTTGTGAATTAGCTTACGACGAAGTGAAGGTAACCATTAGAAGTAACAATCCATCTTAGGAATGATTTGAAGTAAACCAAAACAGTGAATGCATTAATTATAATACCTATGAGTGTAATTAAAATAGGATCATAACTGTACGAAAGAACCTTTCTCTCGATTAGCCTTCAAAGGCTTCTTCCATTTCCAGTCTACTTTTGAAATTAGCCAAAAGCTTACTTGAAACCCAATACCTGCTGAGAAAAGTTTGTTTCACATTGGGATTTACTAGCCTTGTACATCAGTGAATCATGCTGGACTGACTGAGTGATGGCCAGCTAAGTTTTCCCAGGAGCATTACTACTGGAGATTTACTTGAAATGAACTTTTACAGGTAGGGACAGAAGTATGGATAATGGAAGAGTAGAATTTAGACACCTTGGCAGAATATAATTCCATATTTGCTAAGCTTATTGTATATCACACATGGCGATACAGTATTGATAACTGGATGATGTTACATGCAAATTTTATCGCTCACAACCAAGTCGGTATACTCACACAACTTCATAACCTGTTTTATGTAATCCCATATTCCCTCTTGGTATTTACTGTAATTTCCTATATGTATGCGGCGTAAGTGATGCGTCATTTCGATTGTATTACCTTAGCAGGACCAATCATCCTAGCTTTAGATGAATTCCTGTGTTTCGACAATCAAACTGATCCCTATCTACTAGTTTGACCTATGTATTTAACCTGACAGTCATGACGTGCTATACAGTCCTAAAGTCGACAAAGTGTATCTGTGAGTGAGTTGGTTGGTTTAAATGCCACCCGAATTCCGGCCATAATAAGAACTGTGGGCAGATGTTGCTTATTTATATGTCAATACCACCATATAAAGAAGAAGCATTATAATACATGAATCTTACCGCAGATAATAATCCATTCATACCATCAGCTATGGAAAATAAAGATCAGTTTGGATGTGTGTTCACTTAACTCGTGCTTGTTCAGACATGCTTACCTTTTCATCCGTGAGTCAATCTTATCGTATGTTTTTATCATAAACTGAGTGCGGAGTTGTATTAAAATGCTTATTACCCTGTAAAACACGTTATAATGGTCCCGATATAACCAGTCACGATGGTATCCTAACAACTAGTAGATACCTTATTATTATTATTATTATTATTATTACTATTAAATGAATCGTACACACACCCTGGACATTTTCATCTTTTAACGACAAAATTCAGATTTGCTCAACCATTTGTGAGTTACATTATTACATTAAATTCATTTTAGAGTTCAGATCAATGAGGATTTTTATTTTATTCCCTAAGATTTCATTATGAAATGGATCCAAACTAATTGTCTGTAACATCCTAACAGATAGCATATAACAGTCCAGTTATCCCATCCTGTTTGTTTGCTTTTAGGTAGATACATGCACACACACACAGGGATAAAAGTGATGAAGAAGCCTATTCTATAATTCTATGTAACCACTGTGGATGTACTACTGCTAAAAGTTCGTAAGTAGTATATGATATGACGTCTTCTGAAAAAATGTTTTAACAGAGGAACAAAAGAAATGAAGAAAATTGTGAGTCAGGATAGAAAGCATCAAATGCACAGAAAGAATCACAAGAGAATTAAAGCAGAGTTTCAGTGTGTAGGTATGAGTATAATGTAACGCATGCATCTTGATCTAGGATCATCTGTGTTCTCCCCCATAGCACCACGGGACTTCAGATAATTTGATCCCGGTTGTTGTTCTGCCTTCGTGTGCATAGATTTGAAATAATCGTCAAAGAAGCAGTTCTCAAATACCTAACTCTGTATGCTGGATATAGATGTAGTTGCTAACTGCAGCAGAATTTCACTCCGAATTCTCTTAGATGAAAAAATTTCAAGGATAAATATGCTTGGACACGTTTATGCCCAGTATGCATGCATCAGTCCTGATTTCTAAAAACTTTGAAGCGGCGGAATATATTGTCACACACTTGAAATATCATACCTTGAAGTCGACATCATTTATATGATTTCAGTATAAGCTCAAATTATCTTGTAATGCATTCATCATACCAATGGTAAAACATTTATAGCTTTCATTATTAGTACATTCAGAAGTTCTTTTACATGGTGTTAATAAGGAGACGGCTTTATAAAATCTAGTAGATTGTGTAGAAAGATTAAATGACACCAAAAGACAACCGAAAGAAACAGTTTTACTCTCCATGATTAAAAGGCAGAGAGCGAAGGAGCAAGTCGTTGATAAGTACATCAAAATGAAGCAGTTGAAATGAACATCCAGGAATGTCTTACTTTTTAAACAAATTCGTTGTTCAATATCGAAAATATTCACGTTTCTGGTGCTTATTAAACTAAGTTAGTCATAAAAACGCACAAACAATCACCTTATTTGACGGTTTATGGATATCACTGAAATATCCTCTGTTTACATTAGTACCATATCAGTATACTGAGGGAATGGGAATGGAAAACCCAAGTTGGCTAATATAAGATGGGTGTATTTTTTATGAATAAATATATGTGACCTTAGCAGAAAGGATGGATGTTTATTTAATACAATTAGTTTCCTTCAGTGAATTTAAACAAAGCAATAAGAAGAAGTGATTTGTCTGAATCGTGTAATGTATTCGCGCAACACATTTCGAATAATCTGATCACACACGGACTTGTCACATGAATATATATGAAATTAATAAAGAGTTAAGAGGTGGGTGAGAAAATAGACTTAGGTTAAGTTAAAGGGACATACTGAAGGTCAAAATAACAATGGAGATCACTAAACCAAGTAAGAGAGGTAATATTACATCGATCCTGGCTGATATCAAAACAAAGTTTAGCAAGGAAGGTTTAGCGTGATGACGAATTGTCGCTTTGAACGCATAAAGGTGGTTTAAACATCCTAATTGCCATCTAGGACTTCCACAAACTTTAGGATACACCCCAAACACGTTCTGCAGATAGGTTTGAATGACATGTAAACACCAAATTGATGTCCTGTCCCTATTATATGTTTCGCAACAGAAGACAGGATACCTGGCTCCTATTTATTTATTTAGTCTTATGATTTTGAATGGAAACTTCATTGAGCATTACTAATCGCATATTCAACTAAGACACTTGTTTAACTACTTCATTATTCCGTGAAAATAAAACTGTGGTCAACTGTCTACTCTGCTCTCCATTAAGCGATTGAATATATACAAGTTAATTAAACAAACTGCTGATAGTTCACATAATGTTGTTAAATTATTCAAAATAAATAGATGCCACTGTGTGTGCAATTTAGTTCAAGCACGATCTATTAAGACGACTGGCCAACTGCGCTGAAATTTTTCTCTTCAAGGTCTTGACTTATGTAAGCGTATTTCCTGAAGATCTATCATCAGTAAGTTTTAATGTGGCTGAATAATCGGAACACTTAAACTTATTTCTCCTACGTTTGAATTTCATAATAAATCTAAATCAACTTATAACAATGATAGACGGATGTGCATCAACTTGAGCAGTTGTCAGTGCACAATTATTCACTGAAATCTGTCCATCAAACTTCTTTTAAATGTGACTTGAAATTGTAGGTTAGTTAGTTCTTATGTGCTAATATGTCTTGTCTACAGAGTGCAAGAATTTTGCGGCGATTTTCTTAGTTCAGTCATTCCTCAACTTTTAGATGTGTATCCACATATTTTGCGTTTTCCTATTTACTTTTATAAATCGTTAACAGAATGATAGCGATTAGAAATGAATAGTGGGATGGGTGCTTGAAACATGCACCTACACTTATTTGTTCTCTGAAATTCTGGATTGACATCGATTACCTTAAGCACCTAGTAATCTGATTTGATTTAAACGATGTTAGTCGTATTTGCAATCTACAATTTCCAGTTCTCTATGAGTTTCAGTGAAACACCGTTATGCTACTGGCCTATATGCATGTTTTTATGCGTGTGTGTGTGTATATATATAGAGTGGGTACGTCTCCAAATTATTCTGCGGCTGAATTCACAGACAGTTATCTCATAACCATAAGTGGGAATCAAATAGTCTTCACAACCACCCCCATTCTATGTTCGAGAAATAAGGATAAACTACCTAAATTTTCCTCTTCTATGTGTATCTACCAGTTTGACTGCAGCTGCGGAGCCAGCTACATTGGGCGTACAATTAGGCAGGTTCATCATCGTATTTCCGAACATCATCCAGCATGGTTAAGCAAGGGACAAACAAGATCTATTTGTAGTTCTATTTTAGCACACCTTGTTGATACTGAGCATAAGGTTGATGTTAATACTGCATTTAAAATTATTTATCGCATTCCGACTAATCTTAATTTTGCTCTACGAGTTCGTCTTCTACAGACAGCTGAAGCAATCGGGATCCACCTTAAGAAGCCAAGCCTATGTGTTCAGAAGAAATTTGTACAGCCACTTTCCTTACCGTGGCCATCGCTACAAGAATGCATAAACAGGACTACGTCGCCCTCCTCCCCCTAAACCTTTAAAAACAATAAAAATTATAATTGTCCAAATTATTTTATTTTTATTTATTTTGACCACTTCATCTTTAATTACGTGTTATCCTTCTAAAATTAATTTATTCTATCCATTTCTACCTTTTAAATGTGTATTGATTTACTTCGTTAATTATCAAGCCATTGACATTTTGACACTTTAGTTATTGTTAACAAACATATCACCACATGTTTGGTAAACTGTTGTGAATTGTAATAAAAATGCTATATATATTAGAGTAGAGCCAGAGATGAGGGTCTAATTGAAAAGTAAATATTTCTTCGCTCAATCTGTTTTCTAAATAGTCATTTTCATGAATTTATACCTTAAATCTATTTTTTAACCCATAGTAATATTTTACCTAGATATATATGACATAAATTCGTAAAAATCTCTGGGTTGCGGCAGGATTCGAACCAGTTGCTGGTGGTGTCTGCCAACTTTCAACTATTTCATTAAATTCTTTCTATGTGGCTGGATTTAGAAATTTACTTGATTGGCAGTTATTCAGATTTGTTGTTGACCTATTGGTAATTATGAATTTAATAATGGGCATCTTCAAAAATTGGAGACATTTATTTCCCGATACGGATTTAAAACGAGCAATCAATGTTAATAAATTTAATGAATTTATCAAATTTTGGTAGAAATCTCCAAATGAATATGCTGTATGGATCTTGATTTTTAATTTCTCATGATCTTTCCCTTTTATCTATCTGAACTTGACCTGAGAAACACTCGCACCTGTAGCTTTGCGAGTGATTGATTCATTTTTGTTTATTTATCAGTCACATCGCCTCATGTTTTTTTTTCAAAGTATGTGTGACAATTAGTCCCTTTAGAGAATCAAGGATTACCGAAGGAGGTTAAAGGTAATACCACGCGGGGACAATAGCTGTTCATAAACTTAAGCGCCTCACACCCATGTGTGTACAAAACCAATTTATTATTACTCTTAACCAACCTTGGTAATCCTCATTTGATTAGATAACCAAACGTTGTTTTAATTATTCCTATTATTCTTAAATCCCTTAGCACTTTGTTCATTTTAAGCGGCATTTTTATTGTTCATGTAAACTGATTTGAAAAGTAAGTTTAAGGGATCCCATTGTTCGAAATGTATGGTGCAAATACACCACAACATTTTCCAGATAATCTCCGTCTTCTAATAACACTATCCAGAAATAAACATAAATGTGTCACTGCAAGTAGGGTGTTCAGCTGAGCACTTCTATGGAAATTCCAGGAATTTACTAAATCCTGCTTCATTAACATTCTTTATTTGTTTTAATACTGAGTAGCATCTAAGCGGCAGTTTTTCTGCAGTCAGTTTTGCACTTTTCTGTATTACAGAGGGAATGTACTTCTTCCATTGGATTTTATCCTCTCCTTGCTTATTTCACTACTCTTTCACTACACTATTTGTCGAGAAATGATGAATTTGATTTTGGTTAATCACGGATATTTTTGAAAATTAAGATGTTTACTGGTGGCAGGTGATATTTAAGAGGAATTCATCATAGCCACTTCATTGTATTCTGGAGTTGTCATTGGGATCTATATTTGGTCCTAATGAGTGATGGTTTACCAACCAACTCTAAGTACAGCGTAGAAACCATCGTTTCAAACATCGAAACTAAAAACGGGACAGTGTAGAAGAGTGTAATTCCATATTAGTCTGCTTATTAGATAAATTACTCAGTGAAGCAGTATTATTATTATTTGTTGCATGACATTTCAAACACAATTTATCGTTTATAATCATATCAACAATTGTACCCACAAAAATTCGAAACTTTCCTTTTACAGTTCTAAGTCATCTGGGAAGGTTTAATTAAACACTGAGACTTAGGAAAATCTAGATTAGTACTATATGTGTTCATACAGAGCCATATATATTGAGAGTTCTACAATCTACTACATCAGGCTAGAGAGACAAACCGAAGCTTTTTTGATCGAATCAACTGAGAATGCATGCAGCAGACATGATTTAATACTTGTCCTGGATATCTAAAAAATTCTACAACCCACACTGTAGATGAAAGAAGAGACGTAGAACTACAAAAATCAAGTTTCCAAGTTTTGGAGTTGTATTTCAATATGATTATGAACAATAAACTGTGTTCGAAATGACAACCCACCAAGTAATGCTGTTTCATCGTGTGATCTATGCAGTAAACAAAGTAATATGGAATCGAAGCTCCAATCTGTCAGATTACTACTTAATATGCATCGAAGAATAACTTCGTGCCCTTTATTCAGCAGTTCCGAATCATCTAATGAGTAGGACATATCAAACCTTCGTTAAAAAGTGTCATAATTACAGCGTCAAAATGATACGCAGTCGTAGCCATTTACCAGGTAATGGGAAATATTACAATCGCGTTGGAAACAAACATAAGAATCTCCATGGTAGGATTCATTTATCTTGTTAATTGAGGCATGGAAGCTAATTTTAGTTGAAGTAAGAGATTCCTGGGCGTTAGTACTAACCTGTAATTTCAACAAACTGTATTGAATGGGCTTATCTACTTTGGGTGAGTCCTTTCAGCTAGAAGTAGTACTGTTTGAACTACAAGACTCTCACTAGCTATCTGATAGGCATCAATTTGAAGGCCTACAGTATATTCAGTCCTATTCAGATATTTTATTCCAACAGCGTAGGAAAACTTTTTTTTTCGTTACACGTGGTCTACAGTGACTGACTTTCTAATCCGATGATATGTTAAAGTCAGTCGGTCAGGTAAAAGTACCTGCCTGAATCAGCTTTATATAACAACGAAACTAATGGTATGCTAACTCTTTTCTAACAGATAAAAACATCTCAGAAGGAACATGAAAACAATGAAGTATCTAAAATCGACTAAGTATAGTCAGCAAAAACCAAAAGACGCATAAACACACACAGAACTTACTCGCAGTACAGCCAATACAATACGTGCATTCCCAGCTTGTACAGCAACTGTACTAATGGTTGTTGTCGTTGGATAACCATCGGAGAAATCAGATGAATCACAAGAACTTGCCTTATCCGACATGTTGTTGTCGTCGTCAATGTTTTGTTTTTTTATTTAAATGGAAATTTTTTATGCTTCTATAATTAGATTATATGAATGCGAATGGACATCGATAATTAGTCAGTTAGGTCAAATGGAATGATAGTCTATATGAGAGTAATATTTGCAAGAGAATATTATCGTTTGTGTGCACTGCTTCTAGATGACAATACGAAAATTAAACTTGATGTGTTTTGAGTGTTCGTGTGTGTATGTGTGTGTATAGATGTTTCGGCTGACGTTTATGTTAGTTGAATACTGCTCAAGTTAATTTGAGCTATTATCCTTTTTTGTTCTATGATTTAGCATGTCCGCCAATATCAAAAACAGTAGTCATCAGGAAAAACACTCGGCTGTTGAAGTAATTATTTCGTACGCTAAAAATATTTTAGAAAAAAATTAAGGTCTATTGCAGAATGAATATGTCCAATGCGGGTTTTCGGAAATTTTATTTTGTCCTTTCTTGGTTGAGATGTTGTAGTTAAGCTGTTGTACTTGAGATGTTTTCACGTTGAAACTGCCTTCTTTGAACAGAAAGGATTTTTCGAAAGTGGGTACTTTAGTCTTATCTTTGAGAAAAGCAAGAAATATCAATGCGCACTATTCAACAAAATGCCGAGTTTACTAATCTAAGGTAAGCGTTCAACATGCTTTATAACAGTGGTTAGGTAGCCTCTCTCTCTCGCGCGCGCGCGTGCGCTCTATCCATCCCCACCCTTTTCCTCTTTTATGACTACACTTATCCTTACACATACACGAAAGCGTGGTTACGTGTAAAGATATAGCATACACACACACACTCACTTTCTCTCTCACACATACACATACACATCTGTAAATGCATCTTCTGCTTTTGTTGTTGTTGCTGCTGTGTGCCTCAGTCTAGTGGTTTATGTGATAATTTTGGTCAGTTGCCTACAATCTCTATTGGTTAAAATGTTATTATTGCAGCAGAATTACTACTCTTCATTCTATTCTGTTTGCCTCATCTCTCCGTAGATTTACATCACTAGCATAAGATAAATACAAGTCTGACTGTCACAACAAAAACTAATGCATTGACAGTAATCTTTGCCCAAAATTCGCCCACGCATGCGTACACACACACAAATGAACCAACGCACATGCACATACATATATCTATTCATCGTAAGCACACTTTTCGTTATGTGAGTGTGTACACATTCTTGTATATGCATGTAACATGAACTATTTCCCTAAATAGAAGTCAGCTTAAAATCAATTAACTCCTATTGATCCACTTGGCACAGTGTAGTATCTAATCGTGTAAACACATATTAAGGCGAGTGGGACACTGTGATGTATGCATGTATTTTTCCATTTTCATTTCCATAAACGGGCATTTATGATTGTTGTGATTAGTGTTAGTATTATAAGTGAAACCGCGTGCCTGTTGCCAGCCAAACAAATAAGGCATGCTTTCAAGGGATAATATGAATCAAGATGCTAGCCGAAGCTGGTCCTTATTTTTTTATCCTTCCCCAGTGGAACATAGAGCTTCAAGCTAGTGGTTTGTAGTTTCTGTAGCAGTGTTTATTTTACAGGATGGGGTTACTAGCCTCATGCCCAACCTTTCCTCTTCACCAGCATTATTTCTGGCTTAGCGAGGTAAAGGAGTGCGTCGGCCGGGGATCGAACCCAGGACCATGTGCATGGTCGGCGAGCGTCTTAACCGCTATGCCACCGATGCATGTTAGAATATAATACGTAGAGTCCAATTATTTAAAATATTCTTTAACCTTTCTATATACTACTTACCCATTGGGAAGCGAGCAATACCTTATGTTTCTAAATACCACATGATTGCGCTTCGGCCAATTGTATGTAGGCCATTTCAAAGGTTATTAGTAAGCCTTCACTATTCCCTGCAACTCAGTGGTCAATTTCAGTTAAGCAGGTTCGAATCTCTAAGGTGAAATAAGTTTCTACTGAGTTTTGCTAATAACTGCTAAAAAGCATTAAATCTAAACTGAACAAGATTTACCGTTGTCTGAATCCACTTACTAAGTAAAATACAGTACACTGAAGTATCGTATCTGTTGACCTGGTCATCACACAGCGAATTTCATCGATAAGCCATTTGACGATTAGATTTGTGGTTGTTTGTCATGGATTCCTGTAAATCAGTTAGTTCATCATCCCGCTAGTTGGTTCATTGATAGCATTGTGATGACGTTTCCTCTGCACGCATTGGATAGCCGAAGTTCAAGTTTATAAGTTTCTTTTAGCCACATTCATATCAATGCATGTGGACAACTACCAACTGGAATAATTAATCCAAAGTAATAAGCAGGGAAAGATTGAGAATGTCAGGGAATTCCTAGAAGCCTGGTATTATTATCCCTGCCCCCTCCCTTCTATTCAGAGCGTACTGATGAAGAGTCCCAAACTAGGACGAAACAGCTGTCCAGTACTCCCAGGTTTTCCAGTGGTTCTCTAACTAATGTCAGCTCATGATGAAAATCCTGTAAACAATCGAATCCCTACAAATCAACACTTGAATATCAATGAGGTGCTCACTAGCGACTTGCCCTATTCAGGTAGGTAGTTACCTCGGGTTCTAGTGAGAAGTCGTGACCAGTAGGGTGCAGCAGGTCGGGTGTGAGGACACAATACTCGCCGAAGACATTGGCTAGGGGTCGCGCTATGTCGTAAATTGGCAGATGTTAGAATTCATGGGCCATTGGATCGGGTCCGAGTGGCTGCTGAATGGTCCATGAGCTCGCCTTGTAACCAGAAGGTCCTGGGTTCGAATCGTGGTGGTGGGTGTGTACTGATGAAGAGTCCCGAACTAAGACGAAACAGCTGTCCAGCACTCCCAGGTTTTCCAATGGTTCTGTAACTAATGTCAGCTCATGATGAAAATCCTGAAACCTAGGGCTTTAGTAGAACATCTTCATTGCACTGTATTCTCTACTGTCATGCTTACCTGGCTCCTCGCCTACTTTACAAGCCACTTCTAAGCCCCGTAAAGAAGGAAGGTTGGACGTAAAACTGGCTACCTCACTCCATGAAAAATGACCCTACTGCTAGTGAAACTTTGAAGTACAGAAAAAAAGAAAGCCAGAAGCTTGAAACTCAGATAAGTTTACGACAAGTCAGTATAGATTCAATTTATTGATCAGTGAAGACCAAATATCAGTTTAGCGAGATGATGCAGACCAATACAGGTGAGTATAAAAATGGGAAAAGCTCTAGGAACAACCAATCACAATTAAGGTCATCAGAAACGAATGTAATTTCGCTCCTGAAGAAATCTGAAAGCTTATCTTCTACTGCAGTTAGCACTGAAACTGTTATGCAGAAGGAGTAAGAACGCGTTTATCATAAATCATCTATCCAAAAAAGACAAAAATAACAACACCCAAATGCTGTCCACGGAGGCAGAAACAGTTGTCTTATTAACTAATGTACAAAGTAAAGTACGAAGTTGACTTAATTAGCAAAAATGTTGGTCACAATAGGCTTTCAGAGTGCTTCATTGATTAGAGTTGTGTTAATACGACTGAGTGACTGGTTGTCGTGTGAATTTTTGTGGCGTTATTCATATCAATTTTGAAATTTTATCATCAGTCAGCTATCCTGTGTATTAAACCTCATTGCATCGCATATATTGTTCTAAAAAACATAACTGTAGGATTATCAAGTTAGACGCGAGATAAGTTTACTACTTTTTGTAGATAGAATCCAAAATATCAGTTTTTTGATGGTAATTATGGGTTTGCTGTTTACAAAAAGCTTTCCGCTGGGAATATATTTTCCCTTGGAAGCACAGGAGCTGAGACATTTATGTTAAAAGAGTAAAGCATTTAAAATTTAAACTGATGTGTGGGCTGCATGCACTGATAAAACTTAATGATCTCTCTTAATATTTGTATTATGTACAAGTTCGCGTTAATTTTCACGTGTTATTTATATCGGACCACGCTGACAAATTCATTTTAGTGCACTAGCTTCTCAAGTAAAACAGTGTTTGTTAGTATAACCACCTGTATTATAGTGTTATATGACGCTTACGAATCCTTAGATTTGAGCTCGACTTACATCATTCTATTTGGAAAGTACTTTTTCAAGACCGAGAATGACTTTTATATCATACCATAAGAAACGACGTTCATCTATTTGGTTATCTGATGTTTGGTTGTGGATTGATTTCAGTTAGAGAAACATTGGAAACTAGGGTGTACTGGACATCTGTTTTGTCCCAGTTTGGGACTCTTCAGTAGTACACAAACACCCGGGTTCGAACCCAAGACCTTTAGGTCACAAGTCAAGTTCGTAAGCCATTCAGCCACTAGGACCCAACTCATTGGGTAATGAATTCTAATTCTTTGCTTTCCGAGTGGAACATAGGTCTTCATGCTTTGAGTTTAAAAAGTTTCGCTAGCTATGGTGTTAATTATTTTTACGGAGTGGAGTTGCTAGCCTCACACCTAACCTGCCCTGTTTACTTGGCTTGCTAGCGGCTGAAGGAGGTTTAGAGGTGCGTCAGCACATAGTCAAACCCCGGACCACGTATGTGGTCGGCGAGCTTTTTACTGCTGAACCACCGACGCACTTCAAGTAGTGTTAATTTCCCTTTAATTCGAAACTGACTAAGTGTTCAAGTCGTGAATATAAAGTCCTGTGTTATACAAATACATATGGGATTTGTAACTTTGCGTAGGCAGATGACTACATTAATATGTTAGCATGTAATTAGCCTAGTTTTCTCCTCCCCCCCAAAAAAATACTCCACACTTCCTGTTATTCATTCAATGACGACTTTTATCATCCTTGAGACAAACATTCTTTGGTACTCTGACATTTCAAAAGAGTGAATTGCCTAATATCTTTGCAAACAAGAGGATAAATTCTAGAAAATAGATGACATTTTCGAAGAAATAGAAATATTTAAGCAATTTACTGTACCTAATATGATTTTATTGTAGGCATTCGTCAAAAAATCTTTTATCCGCACT